TGATCTGGGGGATTGTTTGGAGAGGACGTAAATGGCAGGTGGAGACACTGCTACTTCGGGTGTTAACTCTGGGTGTCTCTCACTTCTGTGGGTGGAGGATGCGCTTTTCCTCCTTTTCTTTGCGATAACTCGATGGAATTTCTGCAGTGGTGTTGACTCGCGCACATTGCAGTATTTACATGGGTTATCTTCTACAGGCGGCCAGGGCGCATCCCTCACCAGTTGCCTTCCTGAAAATCCTCCTCCTGGGGGTCTGGCCCCATCTCTCCCTCTTCTGCCTCTGGTCCTTCACCCAACTGCCTCTTCAGCCCTTCCATCAAAGCTCGTAGGTCCTCTGGATGCAGGCATTGGACTCGGTGGACCTTGGGGTGTGGGCATTCTCGTGCGACATGGCCTGGGGCGTTGCAGTTGTAACACAACCCTCTCCGTCTTTGGTCAGTCCTCGATCGGTCAAGGTCCATTGGTTGTGGGCCTGTTCCTGACATGGGACGGGTTGCAGGGGTTGTGGGTGCAGGTGTGGGCACAGGTCGCAAGGTGGTGGGTGTGGGCCATGTGTAGGGGGGGTGGTGGCTGGAGGGGGCCTGGTTGGTAGGAGTGGGGGGTCTAGGTGGGGGTGCCCGTGGCTGGGTGGCTTGGAAACGTCACCATTGGTTGTTGAGGAGGGTGGCCTCGCATTTCCATTCAGCCCAGGTGGTGGGCATAGGGTTGAGACGGTAAATGCTCTTGCGGAGCCGGGCGTTGATCACTTGCTCGAAGCGGTCGACCAGCCCTACGTCACCCAGTCTCGGGGCAGGCCCTAATATCTCGAACTCCTGGATGACCTTGTCCACGGAGTCGCTCCCCTGTCGGATAGTCGCTAGCTTCTGCTGGGTGGTGGCTTCCTGATTTGGGTCCTGAAACATGTCATCAAGTTTCATGTTGAACTCGTCCATGGTGAGCACTGGGGACCCTGCCATCAGCAGTGAGATCGTGCGCTGCATTGCCCATGCTCCTGCCAGTCCTCCCTTCATGTAGGACAGCACAAAGAGAATTTGGGAGAGGGCAGTGGGGAACTCGGACGCGTGGACGTGGAAGTAGATTCCACATTCGGCTTTGAAACGGTCCAGGTCCTCGCTGGCTCCCGAGAAGGGTGTTGGGGGGCGACCTTAGGTGGCTTGGGTCTGGGGGCGGGTGGGGGCGCGGGTGCAGGGGTGGGCGCGGGTGCAGACGCAGGAGCGGGTGGGGGATGGTTAAGGACTTGGTTTTCCACGATAGCCTGCAGTTCCTGGAACCAGGCTAGGAGGTCATCGTACTGTTCTTCTGTCACCATGGCAGGGGTGGCAGGGGTGGCAGGGGAGGTGGGGGAGATGAGGTTGAAGCCTTCTTCTGCTGTCAGGGACTCATCCGGGGTCGAGGGAGCCCGGGTGTAGCGTCTGGGGCTGAGAGCCTGACAGGGGGCAGATCAGGCGTGCGTACTGACAGGCCCGATGCGGGACAGTGGTCCCTGGCCACTTAGACTGAAGTGGAAAGTTTTTATTATCATTAAAGGAGAAATACTATACTACTTACCTGAAGTGGAAAGTTGAGAAGAAGGCTACTTCTTCGGTTCCCACTTCAGGTTCGTTTATATACATGCAGCTTAGATCACATGACAAGTGCCACATCACCCTCACACACAGCTGTAACCACCCAGGTGTCTCCATGGGAGATCCCGAGGCCATCTGGTGCATGCACGCATGCTGGGCACAGCGGGAAGTCGCCCGAGGTGCCCAGGCTGGGTACATGGTGGGCGCGCAGCAGATGGGTCAATGGTACATTGATACAAAGAAGTCGTCCATGTAGAATAAAGAGAGAATAAAGAAGAAGTAAGATAGAAAGAAAGTGAGGAAGGGAGAATGAGGTGAGTAGAAGGGGAAGGGGGAGGAGGTGAGGAAGGGTGGACAGTGGGGTACCGGGTCAGGTTGGGCCGGGTGGAGCCAGGTCAGGCAGGTGTGCCCTGACACTGGGGAACGCTGCCTGAAGCGGCAGATCCTGCTACTCTTACAATTGCATGCATGTTCACTCTCAACGTTGCTATTGGCTGAGATGAAGCCTGAGATTCGTTCTCACTCTGTAAACCCACCGCACACTCTGATTTCAGGACCACATAATTTACACTGCAGCATGCAGTGAGCCGAATAGAACTGTATGGGGCAGAGAATGGACCCTGGGTTTGGGGGTCATACAGGACCCTGTGCATAGGACAATTGAGTTTGGGAGAAAAAAACATAGGACCTGCTACGGAGTAGTGGGAATAAGCCAATTCACCCTATATAAGAGACAAGGAGCCAAACAACATACTTGAGAGGATACTCCAGGATGTAGGCTCAAGCTGTGATTATGTTCAAGCAAGGAGAGGTCCTCAATCTTGTTGAGCACTACAGACTATACAAACACAGAGACCAAATATTCGCCCGGGTTGAATTCGTACTGGGAGAATGCCTGAAGAGAGCAAAGCCATGAGCAGGAATTGAGAGACCAAACTGTTCCTTGGTGACCATGAAATTGAGGAACTCAAGACAAATCAGGCTCAAGTGGAGATGAAGATGTCAATATTTCCCTTGCTGGTGCCGGGAGCGATGACAGGTTGACAGGCTGAGGTCTTCAGTTGTCTCGTATGCTCTGCCCGTTGTAGGAGAAATAATATTCAAAGAATAAAACAATGATCTATCAGAATAGTCAACGAACAGGTGACAAGTTCAGACGTTTAACAGATCTCATGATCTTTATGAGACTGGACAGACATTAGATCATTATAAATTATCTACACCCATGTAGTATGAGATTTAATCTACTACAATCATGCCTAGAACTTGGCATAGGTGTAATATTCAAAGAATATAACCCTACAACAAGAAAATAGCACATAGACAGCAGAATAAGAAGGAACATTGGGAAAGAAATGTGAATATTTCGGGAACCAGTAAACTTTTGACTGTAATCTTTTTACCATCTGAAAGGACTGTTTCTTAACTTTATTCACGGTTTTGTTTCATTCTAAAAGCTTCAAAACTGACGGAGATATCGCTCAAACGGCGAAACACCTTATAATTCATATATATTTATTTGCTAATTCTTACAAAAAGTAATGTGACTCAAGGGAAATATATTGGCGCCTGGAAGTCTGGCGGACCGAATACCATATGACAGAGTATTCCCCGGCGCGGGCGGATAGTTTTTGATCGCATCAGAAGAGGAGAAAATGCTAAAAAACTGGATCTTGTATATTTTCCCATGATTCATCAAAACTTTTTGATTTTAAGCTCAAATAAATCGGAACAAAGGAATGATTGATGATCTGGATTTCGGATCATAAGCATGAAGTGATTCAGAAGTCCGCGGATCAGTTAATTAATTGGGAAGGCTCTAGAACATTAGTAATGATGCGGCTTCACAAAAAGGGGTCAATTAGAGAACAGTCTAGAAAGTTCCTTTATAGCCGAGTCATTTCTAAAGATAACCGTTCGTAATTAAGGTGGTGTAGAGCATAGCTTCAGCGCTACAAGATCCCGCTGAGATCGGCCCAAAAGACAAAGAAATGAATTACTTATTGCTGAGTCATGTCCTAAGTCCATTATTAAGCTTACACAGCCCAAGCCCCTATATCATTCTAGAACTATCTATAATACAAATGTAGCACATGTAACTAGTGCGAGGCGTGGGAGTAGAGAGGCCTCTGAAAAGCATAAAAGGCCACCGCTTCTGCCCCCTCTCAAACCTCAGGTAGAAATAAAAGTTTAATTCTCCTCACCAGTGGTTGGTTCGTTTGCCCAAAAGATAAAAGCAAATATTAGTTGTTAGCTAATATAAAACTAACACGTCACTCTAAGCGTGAGTTAGGGTCAGTTAGACACAGCTGAACAAAAGTGTCATAGTGAGAATTAGTGAGAATTTGGTGGAGGGACTTCTTAATTGAATAATCTCTCAGCAATTTTTGGTTATCACACCACAGGAGAAAAGTGAGCAATCCTGAACCTGCTAGATAACTAGCACGCACTCTAAGCGATAGAAAGAGCAGTTTGGTCACTCCTGTATTGAGTAACATTTATTGCGGAATTATTTTATTAGCAGTTTTCCTTCAGTAAATTATCAGGAAAATCACATCCTACTGAAAAGTGGTAAATATAGGTGTAATATTGACTAGAAATCATAGTAAAGTCAATATAGAATTTTATCCGTAGACGATCTATACGTCAGGTGAGATCGTTGGGGGGTGTTTATTGTTGTTTAGACAGTGAACAATCATATATTTGGCAACCAAAACACAGTCAGTACGCAAATCAGCACAAACTCTAATATCGTTATTGGACGTAGGAAACTGGTTACATAAGGTGATCCAGCTCCGCTCCTTCACCGTGTTAGTAGGTTTAGGTCTCCGTCTGTCTTGAAGAAGGTCTTGGTGCGCAGTGTATAGCATGCAGTCTGTCAGGATGTGGTCGCATGTTTCTGTGGGTTTTCTGCATCTGCAGCTAGGGTCTTCGATTAGGGGGAATCATCTGTAGTAATGGCATATAAAGGCATGGCCTGTTCACAGTTGTGTGAGGCGACTGAAGTTTTTATGCCCAAGGGAGTGTTCTGGTGTTCATCTGTTTGGGTTTAATTGCACATGAAGGTGTCACCAGCGTCATGTGTTGCAAGTTTGATGTTGTGTTTTGTAGGATGCGGTGCAGAACTCTGTGCACCCCCTTGATCAATTATGGTATGTACTGCTCAATCGATAGTACAACGGCATTGAAGCTGCGATTCACTGAATCCCCAGCATAAATGATAATATGTAAGTACACATATACAACATCAGCTTCAATCTGCCCTTACATCTCTTCGTTTACAGAAAGTAATCTTGAGAACCATAGCCTTTTTCAGAGTCCTGATTAGTTGACAGCGCTTGCTGAAGCGTACTGTACACGTTTCATTGGAGATGCTGCAAACGCATTCATTCGGCATCTCGGGGAGATCGATGAGGCGGGCAATCCCAATACACCATGTTATGCCAGAACTATCTCAAGCTCTGGGATCGGGAAATCACGAATGCTCATGGAGGTGTGCCTCTGCCTATCTTCCGTGATCTTGGAAGACAACATGACCATTCTGCTCCAGGTTGGCACACAAATCTTTACACTCCCCATCTGTCTTCGTGGCACCAGGGATCTGGGTTATCCATTATCAGATGCCCCCATGGTTGACTATTCCAATAGCTCAGGATTGAGTGCCAGAGTATTGGTTTGACCATTAGAATTCTGGCAAGCATTGCTAGTCTCCTTGCAGCTGCACATGAGACAATGCTGACCTCGCTCCAAAACATTCTTACCAGGGAGAAATGCAAGGAAGCAGAAGTCCTTGGACATTGGCACGAGAGGATGGAGGGAGGCAAAGTAAGAAATTATCGGACAAAATTTTTCAAAACCGTGGTGGATCGGGCCAATGAAGTAAATTTCCATTCATATCCTCTCCGCTGGGATTGATGATTGGTTTAGTTACGACATGACTATGCTGCAACCCAGAAAAGTCCGAAGCGCAGAGACAGGAATGAATATGATAACTTCATCGAGCAGGCCAGGGACTTTTATCAGAAACATGCAAAAGAAGCTGTTGGCAACCTCATGAAGTTCATTAGCAACCTTGCCTCTAACCCACCATGCATGACATACTTCTATGAAGCTCACAAGCTGGAGATATGTTTCTGGATTATGTTACATTTATTGTACAATCAAGACAATTCCCTAAAAATGTGGTACGTCTTATGGGGACAAATTCAAGCATAACAGATTTTGCGCCTCCTGAAGACAGTGAGTATATAAGCAGTTACCTGGAGAAAGCTCATTGTTTTTCACTGATTTCCACAAGACTCAGAAGGAAATTGCATCCACTGGAGCTCCCCCACCCTGCTCTTGGTTTTGATCAGTATGCCATCAAGGAGACCAAAACTTTGAAAATTCCGACGATTGGTCAGCTTGGAACATTGCATCATCTCACCCAATATGGGCGGCCACTGTATGTCCTTTCTTCTGGGGCGCAAGGACAACTATCTACTTGCCCCTAACAGGTGGCATGAAATGTTGCCCAAGGAGGGTGATGGACTGGTGGATCTTGCTGTCATCAAGCTCACTGCTAGTGAAGAATTTAGTGCTGAGGATGAGCATCATGTATTTTCTGTGCTTGCACAGCGGATTTGTCTTTATCCTGTCCTGGAAATTGCTGAGACCATCAAATTGGTTGATCAGAGCGTCTCCCATCACATGAGACTTATCACAGGCATCTCGGCTGACAATATGATGTTTTGGGCCTCAACGATGGATGTCAGTTGAGGGGGAGTTCTGCTACCACAGCGAACACCTGGCATGGGCCTAAACCTTCACGCGGTGCCCCTGTTTAAAACTAATTAGGCCTCTAACATCTGAAGGGAGGATGACGTGGCCACCGTGGTAATGCCAATCAACCGCAACCCTGTAAGCCCAGAGCCACACTGGCTGGAGAGATGCAAGAGCATGGGTGCATGTCCCACCGTCAAGCCAACCCTTCCTTTCTTCTCACCACTACCTTTTTGGGATGATGAGCATGATAGTGGCAACGCCAATGGTGACCTCCATAAGCCCAGATGGGACTGGCCAGAGGACTGTGGGTGTCAGGGTTCAGCACCCTGCCTTAGGGTGCCCCAGACTCCCCACCTACTTTACCCCCTTTTATTCTTTGACTGTTGCCTTGTTGTTGCCTTTGTGTGTTGTGTACATGCGCGCACGGGATAGCGTGGGAACTTTCTGAGCGAGCAGCTCGCCCAGAATGTTCCCACGGGTCACAGCCACAGTTCTGGGCGAGCAACTCGCCCAGAACGTTCCCACGCTTACTGGGCACTGCCACCTGGATGTTCCCTCCGGGTCACACTACACAACTCTAGGAGCTGTATAGTTGTGGGCATGTGACCCATTCCTTTATATAGCAACCATGCGGGGAGATGAGACCTTTACCCTTCTTCTCATCTCATGCCCCGCATAGGCAAGTGTATATATTCCCTTTCTTTTACTATACATCTCATGCCCCGCATAGTGTGAGGACAGGTTAGATGGGGGTTGAGGTCAGGGAGCCTCCGAGTCTGAGGCCGGGCCCTGACAGTGGGTTCAAGTCCCACCGTCACCCCAACCCTTCCTTCTTTTTCTCTTCTCCACTACCTTTTGGGATGGTGAGGTGCAATAGTGGTAGCGCCAATGGTAGCCTCCATAAGTCCATGGGCAGGCTGGAGGAGTGCAGGTTCAAGTCCTGCCATCACCCCAACACCCTTCCGATTCATCTTTCTCTCCACTACCTCTTAGTGACGAGGTGCGATAGTGATAGCGCCAATGATAGCCCCATATGCCGACAAAAAGTTGACTGCAAGGAATGCAGGTTCAAGTCCTGCCATCACCCCAACACTTTCATTTCTCTCCACTACCACTTCTACCAAAGGCCTATCTGCCACATGCCTTTATTCAACAAGCATGAGCAAGATGCCACCAACACCCATCGCCTTTCACTGCCACTGGACCATTCACCAGCCTACCATGACATAAACCCATGAAAGCACCCTCCAACTCACCCACCTGCAAGAACTGCACACTCAAACATTGACTTAACCATAGGCACACAGCAGCAAAACATGCGACCCCAACACTGGGGGTCACATGTCCTTTTCTTTGGCTCTATCCAACCTCTTTCCGCCTCCAGGCTCTCTCACCTGTTGTTCAATCTCAGTGCAGGGGTCGCATGCCCCTTTATGTGTTATTGCTTCATCTCACTTTATTCTCCTTCATGCCATTGATTACTTGATGTCTCATACTTCCTAGGTCAAACAAATTCCTTTCTTCACATCCTTATGTTCTCCAAACTTTTTTCACCCGAGTCACTATAGTACGGCATATGCCAATAGGCACAGTTACGTACTTTAAAATGAATCCATCCATCAATACGATGTTTTTCACTCAGTTGCCATCGGAACCAATTCTATCTTTGGGTGCTGCGTCGATATTGTATTACCCTGACCCCAAGGCCTCTGAGCGGTTGCCTAGAGTCCTGGAGACATTGAGCCAAAATTTGTGCCATGCCGGTTTAGTCGAAAAAGGTCTTATGGGTGGACTTGCTGCCCACTTCCTCCTCACTGTGCATGTGACTATGCTGCTCCAATTTATGAGGGACACTGTGACTTGCCAAATCCTGTTCACTTGTTGGACGTCCTGGGAACTCTTTTCAGTGACATTAGGTGGGACTTCTAGGAATCTTTCAGTAATGCATTTGTCAACTTCACACACTGGACTGTCACAAGGGACTTCTTATCTTCGATGCCTCCTCGGTGGATATTTCTTGCACGCTTGTTCACATGTCTAGTAACTGATGCTCTTCAGGAAATTACTTCCTAACCTCTGGGCTCGGGGTACCATATTGCAATTCTGTTCCAATCAATCACCCATAAATTTCTTATGCTCCATTTATTTTGGCTTTGTCCACCCTGAAGACGTTTTTGATCCTGACAAGCTGTCAGGACTTGTCATTCAGGTCAAGTCCAAAAAAGGAGATATGAATCTACTATATATAAAGAGCGCGGACACGCTCCATGAATCACGAATGCCGATTGGTTGGAGCGCGGTCTCACACACTCTCATTGGATGAAGACGCTTACCTCAGCTCCCGTTTGGGATGCACTCGCTTAGCTCGTCACCCCTTTAGGGCACTTTCTCACCCATTTGCGTCATCCAAACTTGAGTCAAGGATGAAGAGCGAACCTCGATGATAAAAGAAATTCCATGTACCAGCAGTCTGGCGGCTGTCTGAGTCGTTGTTGAGGGGCAAGATTTGTGAGGTCACGTCAAGCAGCCAAAGTGGGATCTAAAGCCACGGAATGATTGACAGACGAAGACCGTGCATCTGGGACGTCAATCCCAATTCTGGCGAAATGGGAACCAATGAGAGGAGCACGTCGGAACCGACCCAACTCGGGGTTAAGGTTAAAACCTCAAAGAGCGAGGCTTGAGCCAATCAGAGGGCGAGAAAGAGTCGTCCGGCTGGACCCGCGCTATTAGTATAAGTTAGATGTGACGAACGGTTTAACCAGTGCTCGAGTTCAAGTTTCCTCGACCCTTAACACCAGCTAGACTCAGTGCTCCCACTGGATTTGCGACCTGCGGACCCAGCGCCTATTCCAGCCATATCTGGCCAGTCGTCTCCGGTTACAGGTGAGTTCACTCAATCACAAGCCGACTATTCGTCGGACGAGCCCCAATAACTCCCCACTCAAACCTGTTCAGCCACGTCCGTGACCGTCTCCATGTTGAGGAGCAACACCACCTCCTGTCATATTAACTATCTGCCTGCGGAGATCCTGCGTGAGATTTTCGTACTTGGTCTGAGCGATGGCCCTTCTTCGTCGGAAAGAGAAAGAATGCATGCTGTTTCGTTCGTATGCAGGCATTGGCGCTTGCTTGCATTGGAGGAGGCACGACTCTGGTCGGAGATATCCATTTATTTGAATCTGAGTGATGTGTGGTGCGGAGGTTACGACCCACCAATCTTGCGTGCTAAGCTAAAGCGCGCCGCTTTGCGTCTCTGCCGATCCAAGGGTGCCCCATTAACCTTGTCCATATCGCTCCATAGGCTACCCATAGAGGTCCACGACCACGTCAACCATTTGGTATCGCCTCACTACCATCGCTGTCACCGGCTGAGTATCGACCTGTATCATGATCAGCATGACGCAGTTGATCGTGCAAAGGTTTGGCTGCCGCTGCCCGATTCAACATTCGATCGCCTCGAAGAACTTCGCATTGCTGTTGGCCAGAGAGCTGAGGGAAAACTTAATCTTGGTCCTCCTCTCACTTTGCGCCGGCTCGACATTTCCACGTCCATGACAATATCTCTTCATCCTGGTTTCAGGATTACGGACGAGGTGAAGTTGTCGGGACTGGACCCAAAGACAGTTTTCAAAGTGTTGAAACATTGCTGCGATGTCAAGAAAATTAAAATATCTTCCTGCCCAGGACTCGATCCTCTTCTCTCCTCTTTGTCGTTCCCCACTCTCGAAGAACTCACGCTTCAAGCGTGTGCCGAAATATGGTACAGTTTCCCCATCCAAAATGCGCCAAACCTCAGATACCTGGATTGTCCGAGTCTCTACCATTTATCGAGATTGGAGGCACTCGACGCCGGCACACGCAGCGGTATCATACGTGCTCTCAACGGTCTCGAGGTGCTAGTGATACGGGGCTTGAGTTTTGATGCCTGTGATAGTGCCTTTATACGTTTCGAGAACCTTAGGATGATGCGAGTAGACTGGGTCGATGATGATTTCATTCACCTCCTTAGTTTGGCTCCCGAATTCCCGCCGTCCCATAATGGAGAACCACCCACTGGACCAGCAGTGCACTTTTCCTTCCCTGCATTACAACTTCTTATTGTCCGTGGTCATCAATATCACAAGTGGTGTCAACTGTTGCTCGAAGTGGTTCGGGCCCGTCCGATGCTGAATCTGGTCTTCGGGTCTGGCTTCTGCCCACCAGAATTTGATCTAGTACGGGGAAGGGTGCACTTCGTTGAAAACATATGGTGGATAAATGACAACGAGCTCTTCGCGCGTTTCTTGGGCTGATTTTAGGTCCGCCTTTCGTGCTGGCTGGAAGATCGGTCATACTTATGTTCCCGACACTAAATCATGTGCTCCATAAAAGCTGTTCTCATCCTGGAACTGTAATGGCCTGGCCGACGGCGTCATGGTGAAGCATAGCTCATGGTGGTTACATTATATATTCAGTGATTCTACACTACCAAATGTGTCCCCACCTAAATACTATCATGGCAGACTCAGAAATAGACAAATCGGTGCAACTGATGACAAGTCGGGGATCAGAAACTGCACAAAGAGATTTGTGCATGTGTTGAGTCGATGCGAAGCTGAACATCGATCGGCTCTCGGCTCAAAAAGAAACCAAACAAACTTCTCAAGCATTAGAGTGGAGTCAAGTATGGTTTCCCCGTCATTTCCGTCGTCGGATAACGAGAGTTAAATTTCCATTGCTGGGATCACACGGGACTGATATTTCCGACGCCGGAGAGGGCTGTGGAAATTTTGGGTTTAAAACGCAGTGCTAGTACTGTTAAATAAGCGATCACTGACTTCGAGTTTTGAAATATGTACACTTGTTTGCTTCGGTTACGCCACTACATAAGAGCCATTGGGGACCCATCATCTTTGGGAAAAGTTAGTGAAGTCCCAGCGGCGGTTCAAAGTTCATGTCCCAAGTTTAACCCTCGCTACTCCACGCATTTGCATAACCCAATCAATCTGAAACACGACCCTAATCTTGCAACATAGTGCTCCCAACGGATAGAAAACGCATCCAATCATTGTGATCGTTCCTGCGAATGTCCAAATTCATGAGCCCGCCAAGTCTCCTTGGCCCTTACATCAGGGAAAGCAACAATATTTCTGCCTACGACGCCCCGACCTGTTCAGCCACCTCCATGACGTCCATGTTGAGGAGCAGCAACACCTTCTGTCATATCAACCAACTTCCTGCAGAAATCCTGCGCGAGATTTTCGTGCTTTGTTTGAGTGATAACACCTTCCCCCAAAACAGGCGCATTGTTTCGTTGCTGGCACTGGCGCTTGCTGGCCTTGGAGGAGGCACGACTTTGGTCGGAAATATCGATTAATTTACACGCGATTGATATGTTACGCTGGAGGAAAACCATACGACTTCCTGAGCTAGAGCGCACCGCTTTGTGGCTCAGCCGATCCAAGGGTGCCCCATTAACTTCGTTCATATCGCTCGGTCGGGTACCCGGATACGTCCACCACTACGTCAAAGATTTGGTGTCGCCTCACTACCATCGCTGTAACCAGCTGACACTCAACCTGGATCTGCATGAAACAGTTGATCATGCAAAAATTTGGCTGCCGCTGCCCGATTCAACATTTGATCGCCTTGATGGACTTGGCATTGACACCTGCCTTACGGGTGGAGATACACTTGATCTCGGTCCTCCTCTCACTTTGCGTCGGCTCCATATTAGTACTTCGGCCACCATATCTTTTCATCCAGGTCTCAGACTTACGGATGAGGTGCTGATGGAAAGACCGAACTTCAAGACAGTTTCCGGCGTGTTGAAACATTGCCGCGATGTGAAGAAAATTAAAATACACTCCTCCTACTTGCGGCTCGAACCTCTTCCCTCCTCTTTGTCGTTCCCGCTCTTGAAGAGCTCATACTTGATTTTGACACACACGGGTTTCCCATCATCCGAAATGCTCCAAACCTCAGATGGTTGGATTGCCGGAGTCTCGACAATGCATCATGGGAGTTGGAGCAACTCGACAAGAGCGCACGAAGCAATATCTTGCATGTATTCAGTGGTCTCGAGTTGCTAGAGATACAGGATCTGAAACTTGTCCCCCATGATTCTATACGTTTCGAGAGCCTTAGGATGATGCGAGTACACCGGCTCAATGTTTTACAATTTCTTAGTTCATGCTCCCATTTCCCTGCATTGCAGTTTCTTGTTACCCACCGCGACGTTAGGGCTTGGTATTACAATGGGTATCAACCATTACTTGAACTGCTTCAGGCCTATCCGACACTGAACCTGGTCTTGTCGGACCTCCAATGGACCTCCACTAGAACTCGATCGCCTAGGGGCCAGGGTCCAATTCGTCAAAAGTATATGGAAAATGAGCACCAGAGAGCTCTTCACACGTTTCTTATGCTGATTTCTGGTCTGCCTCTTCGTGCTGGCAGGAAGATCGGTGAGCAGAACTGATCATCCCAGTCGGCACGCTCCCTTCGCGCTAACTTATGCACTCCCGAAGGCTGTTCTTGGAGACGTCATCCTGGAATTGTAACGGCCTGGTCAACGGTTTCATGGTGCAATGTGACTCATTGTTGTTGGGTCGCCCTACTGATTCTACACGTACTATGTACCAAATATGTTATCCCCCACCGAAATACTATCATGGCAGACTCGGTCGAAATGACAAACCAATGCAGCTAAATCGTAAGTTGGGGATCGAGAATGTAAGTGGAGCATCGGAAAATCAATTTAGTAACATTTGGGGCAGAGATTAATGCCCTCACCCCGATAGGCCTGCCATAGGCCGCACAAGGAGTTCTGTGGATGTGCTCAGTCGATGCAAAGTCGGGATCTGAGATACTTTGTCACAGCAGCGGCAGCTCTCAGCTCAAAAGAAACCAAGGCGCAAACTTTTCTCGAATGGCGTCAACCATTAGGTAGAGTGATTTTCAAGTTATGTTTATTCCAGAGCTGAAGTCGCCGACTCGTGGAATGTTGGTGACTGCAACCCGCTGGAACGTGTCCACTCAACATGTAAACGGGAACTACTCGCCTATATTTGAAGGAGGCGAAGGTCCCGATGAACCCAAAATCTACGATTAGTTCCCCAACATCATAAAAGTTTTTTTTTTCTCAAGATGTCCGGCCATCGCACCGCCCGAGGGACGCAGAAATAGTATGTACACTTGAACGAAACCCACGTCTTACCCGATGGTCTGGAGCATCGGATCATGAAAATGGGTTGCAGCGAAGTATGACCTGCATTGGGACGCTGAAATATGAAGGCCTCGACTTGTGCCACATGAAGATCGCTACTGTTGATGGGAGGTAGAGATGGAGAGGAATTTCGGAATTTTAAGTGCGGTAGTGTCCTAGTTAAGAAGGGAGTGTGTGGCCGGTAGACCCGAAATATGGAAGGCGACGTGGTTATCAATATGAATAGCTGGTCGTCCGTTTATGTGTGCCTAGCTAAGCGAGAGGTTGAAATTAATCAACCTGCCAGCATCATCCCTTGGAAGGGTGCGGCAAGGAACCATGGTGTTTTCCTACCATGGCACCGCCTTAAAGGCATAGTTTTATTTGCGCTCAATGATACGCCTTCGACGGAGCGGAATCTCGGCTCCATGAGGCACCTTTTCAGAGCGCTCTCACCGACTTTGAGTCAGCGTTTTGGTATACAGGACAATGTACACTTGTTTGCATCGGCGACGTCTGACACCTGGTTCAAAGTTATTTTAAAATCCCAGGCATCTGCATAACATCCGTGATAAGCCCAAAACACAGGCATTCGCTACGAGACACTGCCCACATCCAAGAATTGTCCGCGACTCTTCGAATCCATAAGCAGGTTAAGTCTCCTTGATCCTTACATCAGGGAAAGCCAGCAATATTGATATTTCCGTCCACCACGCCCCGACCTGTTCAGCCACTTCCATGACGTCCATGTTGGAGAGCAACAACACCTTCTGTCATATTAATCATCTTCCTGCTGAGATCCTGCGCGAGATTTTCGTGCTTGGTCTGAGTGATAACACCTCTTCCAAAAGAACGCGCACTGTTTCGTTTGTCTGTAGGTATTGGCGCTTGCTGGCATTGGAGGAGTGCCGACTCTGGTTGGAGATATCCATTGAACTGCGTCTGAGTGACGCACCCTGCTGGAGTGGAACAGATTGCCAGGCTGCACCAGTCATACAATCTGCTGAGCTAGAACGCGCGGCGTTGTGGCTCAGCCGATCCAAGGGGGCCCCATTGATTTTGTCCATATCGCTCGATCGGGTACCCGAATACGTCCACCAGTACGTCAAGGATTTGGTGTCACCTCATTACCATCGCTGTAAGCGGCTGGAACTCATCCTGGATCGGAGTGACACAGTTGAAAATGCAAGAATTTGGTTGCCGCTGCCCGATTCAACATTCGATCACCTCGATGAACTTTACATTGTCACCGGCCTGACGGAGAGAGACAGACTTGATCTCGGTCCTCCTCTCACTTTACGTCGGCTCCATATTAGCACTTGGGCCGCCATGTCTTTTCATCCTGGTCTCAGACTTACGGATGAGGTGCTGATGGACAGATCGAACTTCGAGACAGTTTCCGGCGTGTTGAAACATTGTCGCGATGTGAAGAAAATTAACATCCAATCCTACTGGTGGTTCGACCCTCTTCCCGCTTTGTCGCTCCCCACTCTTGAGGAGCTCACACTTCATCTTCACCCATCCAGGCACTCCATCATCCGAAATGCTCCAAACCTCAGATACTTGGATTGCCGGGGTCTCAGCGCCACATTATGGGAGTTGAGGGAACTCGACAAGAGCACACGAAGCGATATCTTGCGTGTTTTCAGTGGTCTCGAGGTGCTAGTGATACAGGATCCAGACTTTCACGCTTCTGGTCATGCTGCATGTTTTGAGAGCCTTAGGGTGATGCGAACACACCGGCTCAATGATGATGTCATTCGACTCCTTGCTTCAAGTTCCTCTGTCCCTTTACCTTTCCCAGCATTACAGCTTCTTGTTATCCACTGGGGGGCCAGTGTTTGGTATCGCAACGGGTACCAGCCGTTGTTTGAACTGCTTTGGGCCCGTCCGACACTGAATCTGATCTTCGACTTCTGCAATGGACCTCCACCAGAACTTGATTGCCTAGGGAACAGGGCGCAATTCGTAGAAAATTTGTGGGAAATGAGCACCGAGGAGCTCCTCACACGTTTCTTATGCTGATTTCAGGTCTGCTTCTTCGTGCCGGCAGGAAGATGGGTGAGTAGAACTTGTCGTTCCAGTCCACATGCTCCCCTTGCACTAAATCACGCACTCCTGAAGGCTGTTTTCGGAGATGTGATGCCGGATTTGTAACAGCCCGGTTGACGGTTTTACGATGGCGGCGCATTACAAGGGGATACAACTGTAGCAGTATGTGGAGGCGTCCTAAGGAGGTGATCGATGTCGGGCCAAAGTCCACCGGGTTAGCCGTTCTGGAGATGTTTGGTTGATGTTTGCTTCCGACATGTACTTACCCACCTCCTGGATTTATCCCAACAACAACAGTACTTGAATTGGGCACTTCCGGATGAACGATTGGTGAACGAACTCGTTTAGACATGCAAGGGAGAAGAGCGTCGAGCACTTGTTGTTGTTGTGACAGGCAGTGTCCATAGTTATTATGTAATTAACCAAAAGTCTGGTGTCAAGTCATTCACAGCAATATTTTGACCTTCTCCAGCGCGCCTGTCATAGAAGGCCTAGAAAGATGGACTTGTGCGGAAAACCCAAGGGAATGGCGCTACAAACTCGCTCCCATCTTTGCCGATGATGATGGAAGGTGTTGATTGCCGCCCAAGGGCTGTGCTGCTATTACATTGTTTACTGAACGACTTTGTTATGAAGTGAGTTACTTTGTGTCTATCATGTGGTCGTCGATCCCCTCCTGTACTTTGTTATATTGTTATATTGTTACGGGATAGCCGCACTGCCACGTTCACACGCGGCGGCGGGGTAACAAGAGAACAACTGAGCGACTGTGGGACGGGCGACTACACGCACTCTTGCTTCAGAGGGGCTCAATTCCTGTTCAGGCTATGTTCCATCAAGTTTTTGTTTTTGTTTTGTCTGTTATAGAGATTGACGAGCGATAGCCAAGTGTTGGATATTCATAGCACAGACTCTTCGCGCTGGGGTCAAGTCCTTTTCCAGCGTTAGCGGTGCTTCAATTCTCCTCGGCCTTCCCTGCGCGGCAACCCGATAGCAACCTATTAATTTTCCCCCAGCTTCCCATTCAGGCTTTTCCGAGTAGCTGGCGTTCAAACCTGATCAACTAAATGTTGCATAAATAGTAAGTATTGAATCACACGGCCCTTATAAGAAACCCTCATCGAACTGGGCTTCTGCTTTTCTACATCCCCCCCTTTCTTTTCCCTTCCTTTCCCTCTTAACAATGTCCTACGAGCCAAAGGACCCCACACAGGACAAGATCCCCTCCAGCGGCTATGCTGCGTATGGCGAGGAGGCCCTCGCCGACGGTCAGGAACACACCCTCAAGCGTCAACTCAAATCCCGCCATATTGCCATGATCAGGTCGGTATCGCATGTTTGCATCCAAAAAAAAAACCACTTCTGACCTGACACCCTCTCTGTAGTATTGGTGGTGTCATTGGGACGGGACTCTTCCTTGGAACAGGGACTGCGCTCTCAAACGGTGGGCCTGTAGGGTGAGCATATCGAACTAGCAATGGCCCAACTTTCTCCTCATTCATGTTTGCGTGTGCGCGCGTAGTTTGCTCCTCGGTTATGCAATCATGGGGTCCATTTGTTACTGCGTCATGATCTCCTTGGGAGAGATGGTCGCTTATCTACCTATCCCTGGTGGCCACATCAAACTTGCTGAACGCTTTGTCAATCCTGCCTTCTCATTCGCCATGGGGTGGAATTACTGGTATAACTGGTGGGTATGGTTTTTTTTTTTTTTTTTTTTTTGGCTCTACATCCCTTATTCCTCTCTCCGTCCCATGATCACCATGACACCGCGCGACCATGATGTGGAACGCGTGCTCTGGGCAATCCTAAATATAAACGAAATTTGAAATTCTCCTTCGACCCACATGGATTGCTAATCCCGAACCCTCGGAATTTGATTTTTTTTCTTCGATAGGGTGATTGTGTTACCGGCAGAGCTCAGTGCCGCGGCTGTGCTCGTCAACTATTGGGAAAAGCACAAAGTGAACGACGCCGCTTGGATTACTATTTGTCTTGTCGTGGTTATCATTATTAACTTGTAAGTGATTATTTGGTTCCTTCCTCCATTTGCACATCCATCCGCAATTTGTGCTACGAGGCCCAATGATATTGGGCGGACACACGCGTATTCAGGCTCTAACACCCCTGAGTGGCTAGCCCTTTATTCTTTTTCGTGTGATGATATCTCTCGTGCATTGTTTTATTGCCTCCCATTATACGTTTCATTTCGCCTAGACCTGAAATGAAAATGGGCGCTAACCATCACCTTCTTTTCATACTCTTAACATTCATTCCTTATCATTTAGGCTTGGAGCGGGTGCATATGGTGAAGCTGAATTCGTCTTTGCTTCCATCAAAGTTATTACCATCACTGGTTTGATCGTATGTAATTCATTCTCTTTATTCATCTCATATCAACACTGACTTCACTACCCCCCTGGTCCCAGATTCTCGGCATCATCCTTGATCTAGGGGGAGGTCCAAATCATGACCGGATCGGTTTTCGTTACTGGAAACACCCTGGTCCCTTTGCCCAATATCACAAAATCCGTGGAGCCGAAGGTCGCTTTTTAGGGTGGTGGTCCGTGATGACCCAAGCAGCGTTCTCGTATATCGGAACCGAAATCGTCGCTATCGCAGCCGGAGAAGCCAAAAACCCTCGTCGTAACATCCCACGAGCCATCAAACGGGTTTACATCCGTATCCTTCTATTCTACATTGGTGGAACTTTTGTGATCGGATGGCTCGTTCCTTCCACCGATAAAAGACTTGGTCTCACATCGGATGCCGCTTCGTCCCCCTTCGTCATTGCCATTTCGAACGCTGGGATCAAGGGTTTACCAAGCGTGATCAATGCGGCGCTCCTCACGTCCGCTTGGTCAGCTGCTTCTTCCGACTTGTACACCTCTTCGAGAGCTCTGTACGGACTGGCCATTTCTGGAAATGCCCCTCGTATTTTTGCACGAGCAAATAGACGTGGTCTACCTTACGTCTCCGTCACCTTTTGTGCTTTATTCTGTGCACTTTCTTACATGGGTATCAAGAAAGGGTCGGGTAAAGTCTTTGGTTGGTTCGCGAACATGACGTCCATTGCGGGTCTCATGACTTGGTTCGGTATCTGTCTCACCTACGTCCGATTCCACGCTGGTCTCAAAGCCCAGGGATTCGATCGTTCCAAATTACCGTTCACATCTAGTTTACAGCCTTTTGCAGCATGGTATGGGATTTGTTGGACGTTGCTGGTTTGCTTTTTCTCCGGTTGGAGCGTGTTCTTGAAGGGTAACTGGTCGACGGCTAATTTTGTTACGAATTATCTGCCGTTGGTGCTCTTCCCGTTGATGTATTTGATTGGGAGGTTCGCGGTGTATCGGGCGCCGATGGTCACTCCGGAGAATATGGATTTCGTGAGCGGGATTGCGGAGGTTGAGGCGGATTCTTATGATGAACCACCTCCGGATAATATTTGGGGAAAGTTCTGGGCTTGGTTGATGTAGATGAAAGGGGTGGGGGGGTTGATGGTTATCCCGTAGGGCTAGTAAGTGACTATGGGCGGACTTTTGATTCCTATTCGATCGGACTTGCGAATGTTGCGATTCGATAGTGCTCTTAACGCGGTCGTTTCTCTCAATCGCTTTCTTTGCTCACTTCAACCTGCAATACATATAACTCTTTCTGAGTTTTCTCTTCGGGCTTTAATTTCCTTACCGTAATCCCAACGATGAATGGGACATCTTGCATATAGTGTGAGCTAGGAGTTGGGCATCTAGAGCTCTTCATATTGATCAAGTAATGAGTATCAAGTGTGATTTCCGAATATTCGTCTCCCAGCCATTAACACCACCACTCCCCCCAGCCATGTCCTCAGCAACAAATGCTTAGAACTCCATCCGAGCCCCCAAGTACTGTCGCGCCCTATTGACAGTGCGTGTAAATCTCTTGAGTGAGACCTTCAGCCCAATGATAATATCAATTGGATTCACTGTACTTGGTTCGCCGTCCGCAGCGACCTCGACGCCGAATTCAATGCTTGTGTCAAACCTGGGAGCGATGTAGAGCGGGGCGCCGAGAAACTGCACCCTGATGGGGCGAGAACACTCAACATGGAAAGAAGAGAGGCCCGAGGATGAAGACGAGAGGGCAGGTGGCAGTAAAGTTTGTGTGCAAGGATCAATGTTCATGAGAGCACGAGAGCACGCTCCAGTGGCAATACAGGACACGTAGGGAAACGACTTACAAAAAAATCAAACAGTGCGCAACAACAAGATAAGCGGGAAAACACAGACAGCAAAACCAAACATAGGCAGGAAAAGAAAATACAAGACAAGGGTGGGGAGGAAGGTGGGAGACGAAAGTTTGGCGAGAAGAGCGCTAAGAGACGGGTCAAAGCAGCGAAGGCAGCAGTAGGACTGAGAGGAGTAAATGGCGTTGTTTACAGCCCTGTTTAATAAGCGTAGGGCGCTCCTATCAGGGAGCGAAGCTCAGTGCGTATACCTCAGCTGAGATGGTCCGCTCCGCGCATCCGCGCCGAAACATCCAGCGTACGACTTGAGGCTGCGTACCTTGGCCCAAGCCAAAAGCTAAATTGACATTACCAATCGGAAATCGGCAGGGGCGGGCACAAACAGTGCCGAGACAAGCGCAGAACGGGTGAGCGGAGGCAACCTGGCATACTTGGCGCTTACCCCGTGATTAGTCATATGAGTACCGAAGTGGATGCCGAGACGAGCGCAGCAAGGTTTCCCAGAGAGTGGCGAGCGGGGGGATCTGGCTGCTATCCCATGATTAGGACGTTTAAACAGCAAATAAATCGCCTGCGCATATGGTTTGAAACTGAGCCATGCGCTATCAGCACATGCTTGTAGATAAATCACCGTGCTTCAACACCAAGAAACAGGATAAAGAGATTGAAAACAGCAAGGGCGCTTCATTGAGTAGAGACCCAGAAAACTCACAAGATTCCCGAACAGAAGGCAGAGCGCTTTGAATGCATCTATGGTGGGACTTGTTTGTATTGTAAATAAATGTAAATAATGTATTATCTAGTTGTGAGCCACCCGTGATAACCGTTCAATAAACCTCATGAACTAAGATTTGGTTCTAACCTCCATATATATATAATATGTAGTACGAAGTCATGGAGTCCTTGGCGCTGTTATCAAACTGATAGCACCACCCGCATTTGTCACCACTCGTGTTGCTATGGCTGCCACCAATGACTCCAACTCTCATCGCGCTATTCGTGTCAGCTACACCGAGACTCCTGCAGTTCCAACTACTCCATACCCTCCTTCGTCTGTTGAGGCTCAGTACTTCTACTATGGCATACCCTCTCAGCCCCGTTTGGTCGCTCGCTCCAGTGCCAAGATCTGGGTCGAGCCAACAGGCCCCGAAGCATACCTTCTTCCCAAGGAGTCTAGTCCTCTTGGCTTGCACCCTCTCCAAAAGATCTGGGAGACCACAGTTGGTCCCACCATGATTGACTATTTGGACTCCAAGGGCGTAAAGTGCACGAGTCTGGACCCAATCCGCATGGGGTATGCTGGCAGACTCTCTCCTCCCGCTATCATCTGGATGGGAGTCATCCCTGGGTCCCTCTCTGCTGAGAATGGCATCAAGGTTGCAACCCACTGCAAGAACATCCTTTCTGCTTACAATATCGATGATGTCCATGTCGAAATTCGAGAGTCGGAGGTTATCCGTCCTGCCGGTCTCAAAATGTACAAGCCCGTCCCCACCTCCCACCCCACCGCCCAGGCCCGGGAGCCTTGCTCCACTGCCCTTGGTCTCCCCATCTGTGCCGAAGCTACCCCGTTCATCGAGGGAACTGGTGGTTTCTTCATCTCCGACCCCCGCAACCCTGGCAAGATTTACCTTGTCACGGCCAGACACGTTCTCTTCCACCCCGATGAAGGACCCAATGAGCTCCACTGGCATCGCAACTCCAGCCAGCGCCGTAGGAATGTCTTGCTGTTTAGCGACGCTGCGATAGAGGATCATATCCTGGCCATCGGGTCCGAGATCGGTGGCAAGAACATCGTCATCGAGCACTTCAAGCGCCGGTTGGAGGATGCTGAGCAGATGGATGAGGAGGAGGCTGAGGCAGAGCGCAATCAGGTCCTGCCCCAGTTGGAGGAGTTGAGGAATGCGATTGGAGCCCTTGAGAAGTTCCTTGCGGATGTCTCCGGAGAATGGAAGAACCGGAAAAACCGTGTTCTCGGACACGTTGTTCTGTCTCCCCCCATCGGTCTCAACGTTGGAGAGGAAGGATTCATGGAGGATTGGGCGGTGATTGAGATCGACGATTCCAAAGTCGATTTTTCTAACTTCGTTGGAAACGTCATTGACCTCGGCACCATCATCCCCATTGATGAGTTCACGGCCTGGATGTCCCCTCACCCCACCAACCCGCCTTCGTTCAAATATCCGGGAAACCGTCTCCTCAAGTTCTATGGCACCATCTCAGACGAGGAGATGTGGAAGCTTGGCCCAAAGACTGTCGACCACCACAATGACCCATCCATTATGGTCATCAAGCGTGGCTACGGCTCTGGCCTCACTGTCGGACGCCTCAACACCATCCGTTCATTCACCAGAGTGTACTTCAAGGGTCAGCCCAGTCAGATGTCAAAGGAGGTCGCTGTCTTGCCTCGCAATTCTGAATCAGGAGCTTTTTCTAAGCTCGGCGACTCTGGTTCCGTTGTCGTCGATGGCAAGGGCAGGTTTGCAGGCTTGCTCACTGGCGGCGCTGGAGTCACCGAAGCGTCCGACTGCACCTATCTTACGTCCATTAATTTCCTTCTCAAGCGCATGCTGGAACACGGTCTCAAGGCCAATCTCTCAAAGCTTAAACGCCAATTCAGATCTTGAGGCTGACTCGTTTCTTCCTCTCTTCAAGTTGTTCTGCCTTCTTATCCTTATCCCGTTTCCCGTTTCCCTGTTTCTTGACTCAAACCCAGCCGTCACAATGTTAGAAAATAATCAAGTACCCCTCTGTATTACAATTCAAAAATCTCGGTCTCCGGACCAATCCGCAATCAATGGATTTGATGCAGACCAGCCCAATACCGTTTTCAATACAAATGATAAGTTACATGGAACGGGGTTAAAGAGTTTATGTCCGATCATCTACTCCGAAAACCAGCTCGCTACTTGGATCCGAGTTTTTAGGAATTGAATGCACTTTTACGATTACACGTACAGCCGGACCCATGCAAAGACAAGAGGTTTAACTGGGTTCTGAGCTTCTTGTGATAAGGGCCGATTCTTCTTTGAAGGCTGAATACAACTGCAAGATCAGATAGTTCACAATCTATGTAAAGGAACGAAAAGAAGGCTTGCATAAATGCGCGGTCAGTGGGCGAAGGTATAAGTTATTTAGAAAAGGCAATAAGGCAATTGATCGTCCAGCTCGAGTCAGAAAGGACATGAAACAAAGGGGAAGAAATAAGAGAATGGTGTAGGTTATGAAGGGTAAGATCTGCGGGATTACGAAAAAAAAACTTAATTGTGGCTCGTTAGAGTCCACTGGTCGATGGGGACGCTAGGTGGAGTGACGAAGTCGCTGCCGCTCATACCTGGCCACTGAGGGTTGAACAGGACCTGAATACTGTTCGTACCCTTCGGTATGTCAATGATAAGCACAGTCACACCATCATTAGATGGATCCTGATTGGCATCACCAGCAGGTAATGGAGGATCAGTCGGGTACCGAACCGGTTGAGCTGTCGAGAACTGTATGCCTGATGGTGCATTCAGTATCGTTGCGATCACCTTGGTTCCTGTGCCTGGCATGACGAGCGTGGCGGTTGTTCCACTGGTTGTCACTGTTGTGTTAGTGTGCATACGCCACTGGGATGTGACGTTGGCATTTGTTATATCATCCTGGAGCAAGACCTGCTTGCGTCCATTCAGAAGACGAAGGCCGCGTTTGACAGAACTGCAAGACAAACTTTGAATATAAATGATGATTCCAAGGACTCATTGTACTCACACCCCGAAGTAAGATTGTGTGAGATCCGCAGTGAAGAAAGCCGTCGAATCTTTCGGGGGTGTAAAAACAGTGGTGCCTCCAGGCTGGACAGTCCCCGAAGATCCGAAATGGGTAGTGGGCTGGCCTAAAACATTTTGGTTCTGATAATTCACAACGATGGTATTTTGACCTTCGGTGCGTTTCCTGTAGTACAACCACCGGTCACTAATCTGCGTCTCATTTGAGAAGTAGTTTTGGGCGAGATAGTTTGCAGACCCAAGTTCGCCTGCTACCCGATCGCCCATGACGTCAAGTACGAAATCGCCCGCATCAAGATCTCCATGTGCTTGGTGGCCAGTAAGATTCCCTGCTTTGATAGCGACATATAGTCCCTTATCATCCGTCCAACTGGTACGCATCGACGCCCACTGGTCCTGTCCGTTGTCGAAGTAGTGATCCAAGGGCAGGTTATCCCAAAACGCCCCATTGATACTGGGATCATACCAGAACATGGCACCAGGTTCGGGAGCGTCAATTCGATCACGCTGCATAAGCGTGTAGGCTGGGATATTAAAGAAACCTCCATAGAACATCATCGCATTTGCAGTTGTGCTGTACTTATTTGGGCCACAATCGCCATAGTTGAAGAGGGACGTCATCCCAGTAACATAGAGGTGGTACAGACCACTATTATTGGCTGCCGGGTTAGCGGTAAGGAGTCCATAGTGTGACCCAGTTGCCGTCAGGAGGGAGGACGACATCTCCGCGTGCGCCTACATGGTGCCAATGGCTGTTCATGCCCATTCCGGGATTGCGAAGTGAGCAGATTACTTACCTGCGTACCGAAGTACCTTCATTATTTGATAAGACAAATTCATCAACTTGGCTGCCTTCAAGATCAAGAAACGCATTCACTCACCAATAATTCGCCGTTTCTGACCAGGTTCCGTCAGTGGAGGGAGCGAGCGCACACCCTTGGACAGCATTGGGTATTGTAAGGCCGAGCATCTGCGCTGCCATCCCGGTTGGATCATCCCCCAAGATGGCGAGCGCACCCATTGTCAAACCAGAATTGCAGACACAGTTCCAGTTCCCGTCGTTATTTCCAGGTAGGCGCCACCACGCGAACCAAACAGAAGAATTTGTGTAACCCTGAATACCCCATTTGAGTCCCAGATTGAGGATGGACCACATAATCGCCTGGCGTTGCGTGGGCTGCCAGTACTCGTATAACCAATCGTATGCGATTGCATATGCGGCGGTAAACTCGGCGAGATCGAGGAAGTGCTCCGTATTCCAATTATCTGGAGCAGTACCAAAGGAATTGGTTGTATTGCCAGCTCCGTTCTGGTTGAGTCAAGAGTCAGGATGCCAAATATCGTATACAGGGAATACAATCGCTTACTTGAAGCTCCCGAAAAATACGGTCGGCATACTGTGTGTTGTTTGACATGCGATATGCATATGCGAGGGACTTGACTCTCATTTTCATCTGACGAGCGACATCGAGCACACCACTCCCACCCAGTCCGCCATCAATGGCATAAACAAGTGGATCTGCAGCCAACGCAACAGAAGCATTGTGGAAAATGGTATCATTCCAGCTTTTCAGGTAGGGATCCTGAGGGATCAGACTGGGTAACGCGACCCATTTGTAGGCAGGTGCTATCAACCGGGGACGGTCGCTGCGGACGGTAGTGGGTGCAGGGCTTGTGGGCGTGAAGGGATCTTTTGGCCACTGGAGCTTTGCCTGTGGGTTGAAGGTGGGAGTTCCAAAGAGTGCAGAGTTCGTCTGAACATCAAAACCGCATGGGCATGGGTCTCTCCGACAATGCAATCTCAGCACGAACCGTAGAAGGGTAGACTGGAAGACCATATGCGTCTGTCGCGGTGTAGAACACTCCAAGATTTTGGGGGCCAGTTGAGGACGATGGGCCTGAATGATTGCTGCTTTTGTGATTCTTCAATGCCAAGATGATGCCGACTACAGCACCAATTACGACAATGACAGCTACCGGGATACCTATTTTTATCCATTTTTTCGTCCCATGCTTTGGAGGTGCGCGCGGAGTGTAACTATAGGACTCCACGAGGTCATACTCCGAGTCATATTGGTGAGTGCCAGCGGCGAGTGGTCGCCTACTTGAGTCAAACGAACTGGACATTCGCGGGCGGATCTGAGGAGGTCGCAGACTAGGGAGGCTGAAAGGAAGGTAAGGGCAAAGAGAAGGGCGTAAGGAGAGACCTGATGTATTTAAAGAACGGTTGGTGAGGTCGTTTCTACAGTAAACGATCCCAATAGGAAATAGCCGGCTATTTCCACGCCACGTGTAGCCCGCCACCGAATTGAATCAACAACATGTTCGTGTCGAGCTGTAGGTCCAGGAAAAAGTAGATCAATGGACTCCATGAATTTTCTGCGACAGAGGGCCCACCGGCGGTTTTTGTTTACAAATCCTAAAAATTGTTGTTGCATGCGATTCAGTAAACTCGACCTCGACAAATTCCAGCTACATTGGGTTTCTGCGCAACGGGATTTCTCGCATGCTTACGGTACGCGCCGCATGTAGTTTGGACTTGGCACTTGGGGTGCAATCCGGAAATTATCGTACTAATTACTTTCCACTGCGCGCTGCTCGCGGTCTTGCGGGTTTTGAATCGCGTTGGTGCTATTGGTGACAACAGACCTCAAGTGTCGTGGCTTGCTCTTGCGGAATACTTGAACTTTGCTGATTTTTCGCAATACACAACTGGCATGTCGACTCAGGGCGTGTTCAGCCGAATCTATCAACGAGATTGGACTCGAGAGCATTACACCATCTAACTGGGAAGCTGGCAGCCATCCAGAAATAATGTGCTAATGCAAAACAAACTGAACTGCAGTTCTGAGCCATTAGAATCGGGCCGAACGGCTGGTCCACGAGGTTACATTGCTCCATGACGCCCCTTACGTCATCTTCTATGCGATGCCCAGACAAGCAGCATAATCGCATTGGTCTGATGAGAATAACGCACAGTTGATTAGCCTCCGGCTATCAAGTCATGTTTTAACCGCTTCCCTCAGCGGTTTCCCACCTTTTGACCAGGCGTCTCGCTATTGGCATTCTGTCGCTCACATATGGCTCCTTGTTTTCATCCCCTTCGTTTCACATCCTGTACTCGCCCAAACACCAACCGCCGCATTGCTTTCATCATTTGACCTGTGAATGACATATGTGCGCGCCATATATAGAACCCAACTCAATTGATGACCTCGTGCTTCGTGCCTTCACCAAGGCCAGCAACTGCAGTATCAGGTCCTTTTACTCTTCTCCCAGCGATCAAATTTCCAGGGGACTTGAGAAGATACCACATATCATGTTGCCCTTGCCAAGACGCTATTGCGAGAACCCTACCTTTATGAGTTCAGACCAAGCGTTTGTCGTTCCTTCATGATTTGCCCGATCTCTTCATGTCCTTTCTTGATACTCGTTTCTCGAACTCTTTTGTTTTTGAATACGCTGATGGATATGGACCATATTGCAGTAACTAGTACGAAACAGGAAGGTCGGTCACAATAACCTGGAACGTGGTTGCGCGCGCACAGTGAAACGCTCGCCGACGGAACTGGTGATCAGTGCACAGTGGACGTGGACCCCCGCGTTCCATGGGATGAGCCCGCGCGCAATCCGAATAACCGTAGTCGTACGTGGGCACCCCAAAACGATGATATATCAGCTACCTTTGCATCGAAGTCATGCCTAGATCGGTAGATACCCTTGAACACGCTCCCCCCCAAGTTCTTTCTTAACCGAACGACTCATCCATCATCCTTCTCAGAATTCGACAGCCTCAGATTTCCTTGTGACTTCATCATGCCGACGTCATCTCTTTGTTTGAACCACGGAGGAGTGAGAACGACCTACTGTCTTCATGTCCTTTCTGTTGGTTCTCATCAAATCTTACTGCGAGGTCAAACGACAAATCCTGTAGATATTGGTGTACGTACATCGTTCAGCAAATCACAAGGTTCGATGAAGGCTCGGAGCGTGGCGGACTTCTTCATTTCCGATGAGAGGGTTCCTTAGGTTTTTTAGTGTGACGCCTAGTTGGCTACCTCCTGATAATGGCCATATACAAGGCTCCGGAGACTTGGCGGCTGCGTACGCACTGTACGTTAATTTGGTTTTCACCTATAGCAACCCAAGTCCACCGTCTGCTGGTTCCTAAAACTTCCCGCACCCCGTACGTATGTACATACAATAGCCCTTCTCTCAAATGCCTGTGGCTTTGAGTGACTCCAATTCATCGGCTTTCTTGAGTTGCATCGCCCTCGGCCATCGGATTCCTCCTTCGATAGATCTATACTATCTGATCTCTGTAATGGCAGACTGCTGGCTATGTACCACCTCATACGCACATGCACAAGTCAATTGTGCCATCTCAGGGGCAATGCGTGCATCGTAATAAGCGGTCCCCTGGCGAGAGGGACTGGCATTCGTGAAGGTACGTACAACATGAGTGATAGAATTACTAAGGGTGATATCGATCTGAATATGAATTGTTATGGATGACTTTGCTTAGAAGAATGCAAGAGAACGACATGATATGGAATGTGATAAAGGGGTACTGAACTAATACTGATGCCGGGCGGAAGAACAAAAAGCATATGAGTGAAGGGTTGAATGGGTAAGGGAAAACACGATGCTTGTGTGACTTCGATACGAATGGAGGGGTAGATGAAAAGTTGGTGGAACAAATCGAAAACACGAGGGGGGAGGGGCAGAGCACTGGAAATTTGGGTTGGGAGAGCAGTTATAAGCTCAAATGCGCTTCAACGGGTTGAAGGGTCTGGAGGCGAATACGAATCATTGGTCGGCTCCCTTTCGGTCTTCCTGCGGGTGGACGTGTGCGCGTAGAGGGATGGGCGACGCAGGTCGCGTCAATGCAACCGGGAACCATCACATAGGATGAATGGCGCAACGTCCAGTCATCAGCACCTCTTGATGCAAAATACAGATTTTGTTGCTCGTGGAATGTCCTAGGACAGGTCTTCTCTTCCTCCTGAGCGTGACCTAGCCGGATCTCGCCAAGTAAATGTATACAGCCATCACGCATAGGCACGCGAAGATTAGGAGTGCATACAGTGAACGCCACGCCCACTTAAGCTCGGTGGCGCGAATGATGCCCAACTCCTGTGCGTACTCTGCCTCGGTCTTCACGTCCGATGCTAAGTCACCAGGACGCGGTATAGGATTGAGGTTCGAGATGAGGATAGAGGCCCCCAGTATCCAGAAGAAAGGGAAAACTGAGTGAATAGCGCGCAATAGGGGCCACGGTTCCAAATGCGGCATTAAGAGTTGCAAATAAGTTCCGAGTCAGCGCCTCACTACGCCAGTGATTATGAGGAAGATGACCTACAAAATCCATTTCTGAAGAGATATCGCGCCAGAGTCTCCGGATTCTCGTTTATTCGGGTGTATTCTGGCCCAGTATCAACAGTGGGAGCGTACGCTGGTGGTGGCATGAATGGAGGGTCCTCCTCGTTGTCGGTGGCCATGAGATCAGATCCCTGTGGCGAGGCCTCTCCACCCAAGTATGAAGTCTGCCTCTGAGTTAGACCGCTCGCTGTCAGCGGAACCTCAGTAAATGGGGGAGGAGGGTGTTCTTGCGCAGGGAATGGGGCACGTGGTGGCGATGGTGAGGCCGACAACGTTGAATCTGGCGGCCATGTCGGGTATGAACTGGACAACACCGTGTAGGATACAGTTTCCGATGGTGGCGTGGAATCGGATGGACGTGGGGAGATTGGTTCCTCTACTAAGACGCGTCGATGAGTTGACGAGGAAAGGAGAGTGGCTGAGATTGCGAGAGTACCGAGCTCGACATCAAACTCAAGTGGATACGAGTGAGAAGTCATTTCTGGAGCCAGGGACGACAGTCGAGGCGGGAAATAGTCGAAAGGGGGAGGGGGGAGGAAACACCAACAGGAAGCTATGGAGCAAGGTTTATAAATTGTCTCGGTTCCGGGGGTCAATTCACTTCGCGGTCACACAGCACTGTTAGTTGTTGATGCCACCCGCTGTTCAACGCGTGTTCTTGGTGGAATTGCCTTCGCAGGGGACATGGACTACCCAGGTATTGGGTGCAGGCATCTTTGCAGGAACCACCCAAAGTATGTGCTAAGGAACACCGCTGCGTGGCGGAGCAACAGCCGTAAACAAACTTGGTCATTTCTCGCCTCCTTGCGTATCAACGTGTGGATGCGCGCCTACCCGAAGCACCAAACAAATCTCATGTTCACCAGGACTTTGGAACGTATCGGAGAACTTGTTTATGCCTTTGTCACTTTGGGAACACGATGTCAAGGTCTTGCATTCAGTCCAAAGCTGCCGCATACACGAGTCACTGATTTTCGGGGTGCCGGCCCTGCGATTCTGAAAGCTTGACGTGAATGTGTGCATGATTAAGCATTCATTGGGAGCGCGCTCCCTAACAGCATGCGTACCTGGATCCCTGACTACGTATTCATCCTCGTTTAACTCTTCAGTCGACCTCGACGGGATGCCACTTGACAAGACACCTAGGTAGCTTTTAGCCCTAGTCGAGCCTCGCTTGCAATTCACGCGATTCAATATCAAATTGACGCTATTGACTCTCAAGCTTTGTGACAATGAAAATACTAGGGTGAGGCCCACCACGAGGCCAGGAGCCATAAATCCGGTTCTTACTATAACCAAGCATGCATGATGTTGGTGTTTCAGCTGTTTCAAATGGATTTGCACAAGCAGTCGATAGCAAATACCGGTGACACCCTGGCGCCAACCCTTCGTCACTCCGAGCGGTTAGTAAGTCCTCAATGCCCACATTCACCAATCAAGATGAATGAGGAGTGTTGCAAATCCGATACGGGAGGTTGTCCAACATAACGGAAAAGATACGGGGACCATCCCATCGAATTGGTTCTAGGCTAGAAGCACCTCAGATAAGCAAGTATAATGCAGAAAGCTATGGGGACTTGATGGGTCATTAGAGAGCTCCGTAACCCAATATCGAACTTTCACACCTTGATGTTTAGGCGGAAACGTCTAGTTTACCAATTTTGCGCCTCCAGAATAATGGCAATCGTGGGTTGTGCTTCCCCAAATGGCCGCTGGCGATAGACAGCGGAGAAAAGGGTTTCTGCTCTTTCGATTGTCCCAGAACGGGGGCCATCTCGATGAGCCTCTCTCCTGCTTGGTGAATCTTCCCCTCGAAGATAGTTCCGTTTTGACGCTCCTCCCGCTCTTGGGCAGTTCTTGGTTTCGATAGTTCCTCAGGCTTAGGAGTGATGGGCTTCGGGTCCACCCCCTGTTTTAACCCATTCCAAAACCGAGGTTCTACTATGAGTCGGTTCTACACAAGACGATATCAGGTACGTGACCTCCAGAAATTGGTTCGCACAGCACTCACAGCCCATTCTGCAGCCCTCTCACCAAACTTCCGGCGGTCTTCTTCCGAGCGATATCTCAGTACTTTAAATACATTGAGTGCCGTGCGTGGACGCAGCGGGCTGGAATGCGCCAACTCAGGCCTGACAGGAGGGCGTTTCGTAAAATCCCCATTAACAATGTTTTGTTCAACAGTTTCTCTTCCAACCGCTCTAGCAGTAAGGTCAAACTTAATGTCATGTGGGCCATCTACAAGTTCAATAATAGCATGAGGTGCATTGTCGCCGGGTCGGTTGCCGAACTTGTGGATGCGAGTGTAGCCTCCGGGCCGTTGGGCATAACGTTTAGCGTAAGTGTCAAAGAGTACAGGTATGGTTTTGCTGTGGTTCTACAAATAGCACTGCCTTAGTGAATGATTTATTTGTTGAAAGCTTCATCTTCACCATGAGAAACGCTTCTGCCTGACGTTTTGCTGTGTTGTCACCTCTCTTTCCCAGAGTAATCATCTAGGACACTTCAGCAACATCCGATGGAGGCCTAAAATATATGCCCACTTTCTCGGTTAATCGAGCGGTCTCTTTCGCTTTTGCAACAGTGGTCTTGATCTGGCCATGTTCGAGAAGAGAGGTCACCATGTTTCTGGTAACTTGGTCATGGAAACAATGCATGATATGCACAAACGAATGAGCCACCTTAACATAAGCATGCGGTGTGAGCTTGTTCTTGAAAGCTTTCTAAACGCGACTCCATGCTTCATAATGGACCCAGGTGTTCACTCTGGAGTTGGTCAAGGCCCAAGGGTAAAGAGTTTGGGCAGTCACGTGCAGTTTCTCGTCACATTTCTCAGCCGTTCTTAAAAATGTCATCCTTCCTTCGTCTTCGTATACCAGTCCATGCTGCTTTCTCAGCTGCCCGCTCGGCAGCAATAGCACGCCCTGCCATAAGGGCTCTCCCTCTGGCGTTTGCTAGACGGGCATACTCGGCCTCTAGCTTGTCGAGAGAAGACATCGAAAAGCGCGTTCTTAATGTTATCCAATCTTTTGAAAAGGTTCAGCCGGAGAAGGTGTGGCGGGTATTTTTGCTGACTGATAGAGGGTCAAGCTAAGGGTGCATCTTAACTAAGTTGACCACGAGCGCCTCATTCGATAAAGACTTGGGTTTTGACAGCTTAGATGCTGTTGAGGTTGTCATGGCTGTCGAAGAGGCAAGTGCTTCCACCCGCTTCATTCCCCACTACTTATACCGCTGCTTCGTAGGAGTTCTCCATCGAGATTCCAGATGAGGAGGCTGACCAAATAAAGAGTGTTCAGCAAGGTATAACTTCTTCAGTCAACATTGAGGAATATTATTGACTGCGACCTTTCCCTTTTGGCAGCAATCGACTACATTGCTAGGACTCCTGCAGGTGAGTGTCTGCACCGTGCACCTCCCGCTGATGCTCATTCAATGCTCCCCCAGCCCACTAAGGTGTGATGCTCCGTTGCAAAGTATTTCCATGGTGGATAAACGGTTTCCCATCGAATACACAATTATACACGCTACACCTGATTGTCTTGTCGTTATGCTTGACAGCTTTCAGTCACGCTATTGTCGACATCGAGCGGGGTTGACTGCGGGCAGTTCCCGTATTCTGACCCCGGTTGTTACTTGGTCAGACACATTGAATCCCTAACTTGGATTGGATTCACACAACGTAATTGAATTATCCAATGAGCCTGAGGCGGGATACGATGCTTTCAGAGCCACTCTTGAGTACCCCAATGTTACTGGGGAATCCGGACTACGCTCCCATCCTTGATGCGTTCTTAGGGTGCATAACTGCTCATGAGAGCCAACTGGCGTCCTCCATGTTCTCCCCATCGAATGGACGAGGGCCTATCATTTTGAGTTAAGACTGGTAATTCAGATATCAACAAGTTAAGCAGCAGGTCAACATTGGGGAAACTAATGGCGGGTTTTTGAGTACCATTTCGGCTTCGCCAATGCGAACTTCCCTGTCTGACAATGAGGGGAAGTGTGAATTGTGAATTCCTTCCAGCCCTTCGACGTCAGGGTTCAGCGTTGCAGATGGTTTGACGATAGTGAAATCTATTCCCTGGGAGTCCACTAAGAGACTTAGCTGGGCCGGGCAGGGGTGGAAAGACAATGTGAGTAGTTTGGGGGCCATCTACCATAAGACTTGTATTTAGCTCTGCAAAGCATTTTCCGCAACCACTGGGGAATATCTAATATATGCATACAACTACGATATAGAGGCAGAAAAGCCACAGGTCGACGGGTACGTATTGACACGGCCACACACGGACTGCTTTGTAACTATTGAAACCCTATTTTTGGGATTAATTTTGTGCAGATCTCGTGCGAACGCCTGCCTGGAAGAAGCGGTGTAGTGAGAATCAATGCTGAGGGAAATGTGACTTGCGAAAATTTGACCCCCAAGAGCTTTTAGGGTGCACGTTCCTTCGGTGGTCCGTGCCCATAATTCCCAGTCTTCTAGCGATAACAGTCCTGACCCTCATTTAGGACGTAATACGGACCACCTTTTCATCGCGACTGCGTCATGCCTCTGCTGCCAACGACCTCATTGGGGCACAAAAGGAACAGTCTCAATATCTAAATTTTGGGGGGTTTTCGTGGTGGATTTTATGGATAACACAAGGAAGGCCAATGCCGACACGAGTTCCCACTCTAGTACTGACCTGTTAGGCGAGTGGTAATTGTGTTGCATTTCTTCAGGGTGCGTAAATTGTAGCAATCCGCACTGGCGTAGAAAAAAATCCCTGTTGCAACTGCGACCCCGTGATCACATGGTAGCCGTAGGCATCCCGTTATATCGGAATGTATGTGTAGGGGACGGCTAATATACGAATAAGGCGTTCTGGCACAACCCTCGCTGTTTGCGTCGTGGGACTCGGCAGGGAACACCTTCCATATGTGGCCGATTAGTTCGGCCAGCTCCACGAGGACATGAATGTGACTAGGGCAATACGTATGTATTGAACTCGGCCAACTCCGTTGAAGGTGCGGCGTTTGATCACGTGTGACCGACAACGGGGCCACAACCTTTAGGCGCCCTTGTTGGTGCTTTTGTTCGTTGAGATATCTGTTACACGGGCTCCGGTGATGCCGAAAAGCTCAAAAGGGAAGAAAGGACAACAGGCTGACTTTAAGGTATGCTCGATCAAAGGTATCTTTCGGGTGCCTGCTGATGATGCGGACCAGAAAACGAAGCTCAAATTGGGGAAGGGAAAGAAACTTGCAAGCAATGCTACGGATACGTCATTCAAAGCAAAGAGTGAGCTGTTTTATTATTGAGTCGCTTCATTGGATTGTTTTCACCTGTTAGGGCAGCTATTGCACTACCCCGACAAAGCATAACCGTCAGAAAGGGTGACGACATACCGAAGACACGTCGCAATCTGACGTTTGACGAGCTAGTTACTCATGCCCGTCACTATAGTCCTGGGGTTCGAGCTGGTGAGTACGTTGGAACATTTGAGTACCTCATCGTCTGACGCCATTGCAGATACCTTACGGGGATTTAGAGAAATCCTGAGCGAAAACCCATCTATCATTACAGCCTCGCTGGGAACTCTCATCAACGCTTGTGTAAAACTTATATCCGACGACGTAAATATGACTCAACAGTGAGGGTGATTTGGTTTTCTCATACCCGTTCGTATAGGACGCATCTGTACGGAATGCTCTTATCTCCTTCCTGTCTTGGCTCCTCCCAATCATCCCCAAGGTACGCAAGTGGCCTGTCGGGATATTCCGGGGGTGACCTGATATCCATTCAATAGAGTAGCCTCAAGCCTCACATGCCACTTCTTATGCTATTCACAGCATCTGCTCTTTCTCACATTTTCCCTGAGGTTCGGATAGATGCTGTCCGACTTCTCGATGTGTTCCTTGAAGTGATTCCAGAAGAGGTGGTCGGCGGTTGTTTCGGGCCATCCAATTCTGGTTCATATTCAGCCCATTATGCACAAGACGAATCATCGTCAAAGGGGAACGTTCAGCATGGAAGGAGGCTACTTGATGGGTATTTGGCACAATTAGATATCAAATCCAAGCCTGAAGGTCAGGACATCGATTTCTGGGTTCATGATGACATTGATTACGATGACTGCAGAGAAGGGTCCCTTTAGCTCCATGTCCAGTCTTATGTTATCCACAAGTGTAGGCACCGTCTTGACGCATCATTCCAGCAACTCTGACCCGCAAACATTAGTCGAAATCAATTCTTCTCAAGTCTCTCTCAAACTTTTTAAGGGTCAGCTTGAGCCCCGATGCGGCCAGCGATGCGGATATGTCCAATGGGTCCACAAGTTGGTCGGAGACACCTACATGGTATTTTGCTTCATCCTTCGAAACTCGGGCATCCTTCCAATCATTCGCGAGCCGTTCGATTCCCACACGGACAGTGAGCGGTCGGCGGAAGGGAAGGAGCTCCCGATGGATCCCTGTTGCGTTGGAGGAGCAGGATTCTTCCACTGAGGAGAACTCCTGTTGCCCTTCCAATTTCTCGCTTGTCGACGAGGCGGGGCTCGGAGAATGGAGCTTGGATACGATTCAGAGTGCCTGCGCTGACAACTTGAGCCGGGATCCGCATAAGGAGAATGCAGTAGAAGTAGGTACACACCGAACAGCGTCTCGTTGATCTAACCCATTGCCTGAAGGAACTCGCCATTAAGTTGCACCCTGTTCTCGTTGCAACATGGCTTGACGTTGCCCCATTGGTATTCGCCCCGAGTATGCGGACTCCCTTTGATCCAGTCAACGTGGGACTCTTGCATGTGGTGGGCCAAATTGCAAGAACGTTGTATGTGGTCCTATTGGGTAGAGATGTGGGTCATCTATCTTAGCGTTAACGTGGTCCTCTCCTATATAAACGCCTGAACTTCAGAACCGGCCGGATATTCAAGTATTCGACAATCTTCGAACGCTCCTTGGGTATATGGCGACATACTTCCCTTTCCATGCCGAGACAATTCATGATTGTGGTTCTGAGGTGCGTATTCTTGGAACAATGTATGCTTGCATCCCATGTGCTCAGACAAGTATTGGCTTACAGAGCGAACAGCTATTGCAAGAATTGGGCTTAGTGAACTGCGAACTCACCTCGTTATATGTGACATCCAGCTCGGGAGCCTCCCGAGGAAGTAAAAATGATTTTACGAAAGCCAATGCAAAAGTTTTAATACAGGAAGATCGTGTTGGAGATTATGTTGTTGAGGCATTACAGGGTACAGTACGTACTACGCCGTTTTCCGCTACCTATTGTTCTCACTTGGCCGATTCCGCCGTTATTAGAGAGTCACCTCTTCGAGGCCGATGGGAACACCGCTGTCGGCGACGGCGTACATTTCACTGCTCCCGACCCTGTGGTCGCTTATCAACTCAAAGCAAGCCAGCATGAGCGACAGTTGGTTTTCGGGGACAGAAACGGAAACGATCGCTGATCGAGTCCTTGCGGCTGTATTGGAGCATGGTTCTCGGACGAATTCGATGTCTGCGGTGAAACGACCAGCAATTGAGTTCATTGCCCGATTGTGCCTTGTGAGTTCTTCGATCCGCGGCCAAACGCCCATCAAATCTTCAGACACTCAAACAGACCATTTTTTTCGTTCTTTGTCCTCAGGTGAGTTCCGAACGGATGTATCGGGGTCGGTTTAATCTGGGGGCCAACTCGCCCTCACGTTCTGATTTTGTTAAATGGATTCTGGGTTTACCACGTTTCATCTGGGAATTGGGGACCAAGGACCTGCCGACAACAGAGGTAATCAAGTTTGCATTTTATGCCCTCACTGCACTAATGAACCGACTTCTCGCCGTCAGACCACTCTTTTATTCATACTTCACGTGTGTCAAAGACGGCGCGGTCTGTTAAGCTCACAGGTGAGCCCAATAGTGTTGGGACTGTTACCCCTTTCCGAGCCGCCAGCGCCATGACGACGAGGGACAAGGATTTCATTATGTTTAAACCTTGCCTCTTTCTTTTTATTAGGACACCCTGGAATTGCGGCAACGCATGTGCCCTTGCTTCATTGTGAACCATCCAACGAGAGGCATGATCTCTGGACCTTTTACCAAGATTGAACATGCTGGCTTGCGTCGGCTGTTTCTTGAAGTTGTTTTGGCGACGGCAATCCCCGTGCGGCTCATGGATGTTGACGATGCACTACCCGAGGCGTCGCTGAGAGCTGTTATGGGAACTCTTGATGAAAATTTTCTACGTGAGGGAATGCAGATCATGGGCTTCCCAAAGTCATGTCTCGATTCTTATGACTAACCCTTGGGAAGGCCGATCAGTTTGTGGAGTCGACCGAGTGCACTTGCACCTTTCCGTTGCGCTTTCTGGCCACAATCGATTGGAAATTTTTTGGGGGAGTCTAATACTGCGTGCATCATGAGACCAGTTAGTTCCAGACACCCACCAATAGATTTGATTTTGTTTTTTGCGGTGAATGGCCACAAATTTGTAATTTATTCAGTGACATATTTGATGGAATATATGGGGGATTGAAAAGTATTTCCTGGGTGACTTTTCTCAAATCCTTCCCGAGAAGGAATCAGGATTATTCGTGTGACGGGATTATTAGCAAGCCTAGAAAAATAATTACGGGGTGCTCCTCTGCCCTCTCCTCCCCCAGCCCCCTTCAAGCGTGCAACCACCTTCATTACTGCCTCTGGCGCTGAGGGGGTTACATCTGTCCAACATCAAGCACAATAGTTGATTGTTGGACAGCTGGTATCTCCTTCACGCAATTGTCGCTGTCCGATCCGGAGTCCCATATCCCCACTCTGCATCCTGTCACCACCTCCGGCGTACGACGCGACTCAAGACGTGGGTGTAGGCTCGGCCATGCAAAATCACATCGCCCTTCTCGCCTCACTTCGTGCAGACGCGTCGTCTCCAACAACCATTCGTTTCGAAGAAGGCAATCAGCGAGACTCATCGACAACGCTCCTGGCCCGTCCACTACCCGGTGGCAGTCCCATCCTCAGCTGTCCTCTGGGTCCGGAAGGACTTCCCATCAAAGAAAATAATGCAAAGGACGTGTCCCAATTTGGTGAGTTCAACGTTTGTTTGAGTCCCTGGAATCTCCCGAAACAACCCTGAAGTTGCAACCTGACGAGAAACGGATTGGCAACAGGCTTCTGCCTCGCTGTTCCTTCTGTGCCCGTCATCGTTTGCCTCCTCTTTCTTCTGTTGACGCAAGCCTTGAGGGCACTCTTTCAATCATTCCCCCAGCGGCCGAGCGCGCTTCTGCGTTTGGCAAATCGTGTGTTGACCTTCCGTCAGAAATCCATCCCACTTCCAGCTTTGCCAGAATATCTCTCTTCTAATCGGTTCACTCACCCGCATCGATAACCCGCATTTTAGGTGTCGACCCATACAGTTTCATCAGTCAAAACTTGGAGAACACCCTTGCCCATCCGTTGACATCAATCCATCAATCAGCGCGTCCTCGAGCTCCTACGCCCGCATCTTATCCTTCTGGATCTTCGCCTCGTAAGGAAGGGGGTTCTCTCCCTATTTTCTTTTTACCTGAGGAGGAGGAATCAGCGGCCCCAATAATAATCGATTCTGCAGCCGAAAACGAAACAATGCTTCACCGCTCTGCGTCCGAAACCTCACCGCGTCCTCAGAACCGTGTTCCTTCCCCTGCTCCCCCTATGCCTCCTAGATACATCCCTCAGAACGCCAAAGCTACTGTTTATAGCGCTCCTGGTCTTGTGGAAATGCTCTCAACTCCGCTGGTTGTTCCCGAATTACCAGACCCTAATTTGTATCCAGACCCGTACCCGTCTTACCACCAACGACAACGCCATTATCATCAGAGTGGTATGACCATGACTCCACCAATCTCACTTTTTTCCGAAGGGTCCTCTTCGGCCTCAACGCGTTCGTCACTGGCATACACGAACCCGCCATATGGGCTCCGGAATAGCGACCATTACGATACCTCAGAGGACCACTCCCGTCGTGGGCCCATGTCCGCACTATACCCCTCAGATACATCCTATGAGGTGGGGGAAGCAGATGTTTCTGGAGAGCTGGATCCAGCGGACGCTGTGGGGCTCGCTCTCACCTCGGACGAAGTGGCTCATTTGAGCCACTCTGCATCTGCATCGTCTTTCACTTCAGTATCCGGTCAACAACCCAGTGATCCAAAGCGGTGGTCGGGTTCGTCTCTTGGTCGACCAGTTGGTGACGCCTCAGGATTGAACAACCAAACGAGCTACGACTGGAGTGCTGTTGATGAGCGGGAAGAATATGACGTGCCCACGGACAGTGAAACCGATGTGTATGACGATGAGGACGTTGATGAGGATGACGTTGAGGCTGAACGTACCGCTGCAATTGTTATGGCTGAAGAAGGGAAGGGGTTGATAGTCCGTGGTGAAGGGAAATCCGTGGACTCCCTGATCATACACTCCGGTACGCACACAATCTCCATGTATATCATTCCCTGTGTCTTACCGGTGGATCTTTGCAGGTGTGACCCATCTGTTATTGGCTGGTTCATCGACTCCCAACCAGATGCCTGTGTTCTTGTCTTCCGCTCTTTTGAGCATTCCAAATACACTTCTTGCCTTAGATATATCTTGCAACATGCTCCCCGCACTTCCCCCCGTATTGGCGTCCTGCAATGTTCTCGAAGAATTGAACGTTGCAGCCAATCCGCTTCGAGTACTCCCCGCGTGGCTTTCCGAGCTAAAGTCATTGCGTGTGCTCATTGCTGACAGTACTGGAATAACAGCGCTTCCTCAATCAATGGTTATTCTATCTGCCTTGCATACTTTTAGCATTCGACGAAACCGGCTGTACTCGTTACCGTCGTGGCTATGCACTCTGTCCTCTCTGGAGACATTGCTTTTAGAAGGGAATCCATTCATAGAGCCCTGGGCATCTCTCATTGCTCCTCTTATCACTAGCGATAGCTCCCCTATGACCCCTGCATATCCCACCAACAGCCCGCAAAACGCTACAAATGCGATTTTCACTCCAGAAGCATACACTCCGCCTGCACCGGATGTACAGCAGGAAGCTCAGGCCCCTTCATCACCTCCCAAGACACCCCTTCCTTCCCTGGGTGGCCCGTCAGTGCCAGAATCGACACTTAGGCGATCCATGTCCATGACGTCTCCTTATCGTAGAGGTGCCCAACCATCTCTTTACTCAGTTACAGGGTCGCGCCCCCCTTCTTCCGCTTATGCAGCGTCTACCCCAGTTCAGAACGGTGTGGAGATGATTTCAGCACGACCCCGGGCACCGGCCCGACCATCCACTGCTGGTGCTGGAGCTGTGTCTTCTGTCTCACTAGTTGGGGCTTATCTTTCAGCTCTTAATCCTACTGACGAATCGGATGACATGGACGCAATAGATTCGAAACCAAGAACACCCACCTCCACGGCCAGCCGAGGTCCCATTCGACGTATGAAAAGCGCAGATGAGCTCTCCCGGATGACTGCTCCAAAAACCTCAAAATCTCCGCAACCTGAAGATGGTTTGGATTCGCGCTTGCGAAAGTTTGACAGTCTTCCTCGCGTCGCTGTCCGTCCGGATAGGTCTCGTGTCCCAGTTTCTATGTGGTCCGAGGTTGGGGCCCCATCAAATTCCACAGCTAGTGCACGCTTGACCTCGCAGTCCGTCTATGTTCGAGAACCAACCTCACCAGATGGAGAAAAGGCTGACAAGACAAAGAAATGGGGCTTCCTGAAGAAGATGAGCATGAGCAGGATGCGAAGTGGGAGTACCCCAAAGGACTCGAGTCGTGCTGCGTTTGCGCGCGCTCAGAGTGCCACAGATTTAGCTTCTATTCCGAAGTCTGCCCGATCTGCGCTGCCCATTCACACGGTCGCTTCTCCTGAATTTCCGGTCGCTAATCTCTTACGAGATCCTGGTTCAGTAGAGCCTTTTGCACCCCTCGAAGTACCAACTGTGACTGCTACTCCGATGCTGCCACAATTCAGGCCCACGGCTCCTTTACCTCTCCCATCACTTACCATGTCTGAAGTGCTCATAGAGGAGGAAGAGGAGCTTCCTGTGCCCCCGCCGCTGCCGCCTCCAAAGCCCAATCTGCAGAAAAAGCAAAGTATGGAACTTTTAGCGCAACTAGTTACTACACTGGCGCCCCCATCACCCGCAACTCCTGTTCATCGCGCACAGCGACGACGAAGCTTCCTCCCTCTCAACCTCATAGCTTCGAATGGCCAACCACTGAACATTCCTATTCCTAGTCCTGGTCCATTCGTTCCCGATGCGGTTGCGGTCAATGGCAGCGCTTCACCTGCCGAAGATGTGTCGTCAGTGCCTCCTGTACCCCCTCTGCCTGAGATGACACCCTTGGACGAGGAAGTTGAAGCCATGAGACGACGTGAGGCACATGCACGAGCTTTGCGATCCATCATGGCGTATCTGAAAGATCTCTCGGATCTCAACGGGCCTATCGTTCCTGAAATCCCTAGTAGTCCAACACCGTCTTCTAGCCCTAATTCTCCCACGAACAGTGCACAGAAGCGGAGACCGACGCTCAACTCTGACTCCAGAGTGTTTTCAGAGAGCTCGTTTGTGTCTATTTCGTCGCAGCCTTCGTCGATTTCTGGGCAACTTAGTAAGAAGCAGTCTATGGCTAGCTTGCGGAATGGCGCTATGAGTATCACGACCACGGAGAGTGGCGGCTCTGCAGGGAATACTGAAGAGCGGAAGTGTAAGGAGGATAAGGCCAAACGCACAGAGATCGTCAAGGAAATTGTCAAGTGAGCACCAGACCGTACTGTATTGCGGATGACTCTTGACAATTTTCTATTCTGTTCTAGGACGGAACGTACTTACGTCTCACAGCTTCAAGAACTGATTGACATCTATGTGAAACCATCCACAGAATATATTACGAGCGCATTTGGAACCCAGTCGAACAAGGAGACCGTCATTCCAACGACCGAGCGACGCATTGTATTCAACGGACTGGAATCACTGTATCAGTTCCACAAGGATGCATTCTTGCCGGCGTTGGAGAAAGCAATTGCCCACTGAAGGAGACGTCGGAAGACCCCGCTGGCGAGATATCCTCTGGCGTCGCGGTCAGATTGCTATGGTGTTTGTATCTCAAGCCGCTTTCATGCGATTGTATCAGACATACATCAAGTAAGTGCCCCATCGGACGTAGTCGTACGCGTGTGGACTTACGCTGGGTTGTTTCAGTAATTTTGATAACGCTGTGGCCCGACTTCGGAAGTGGAATGAGAAACCCACAGGCAACATCACACCAGCTGCAGGGGCAACCAACATAGTAGGGTTAGGACTCACCATGTCTGCCGTTGCTGGTATTGCACCCGACACCCCAGCCGCCAATAACACTCCCCTGACAACGAGTCAGAGGAAACGCATAAAGGCCTTCATGAAACGGTCGCGTGTAAACCCTAGGCACTCCCAGATGGATTTGCAGGCCTATCTATTACTTCCAGTTCAACGTATTCCGCGTTATAAGCTTTTCGTAAGTGTCCTTGAAGACTTTAATTTAGTCAACACTCATGATTCTCGCTAGCTCGAGAATCTCTCTCATTGTACGCCTCCCAAAAACTCTGCCTTTGAGGATCCATTGGAGATTGCGTTGCGAGACATTTCGTCCGTTGCAGATAACATGAATGAAGGAAAGAGGGAGGCTGAGGCCCGCCAAAAGCTGATCAATTGGCAAGCGAAGATTCGCGGGAAATTCCCCAGCCCATTGGTACAGCCTCATAGGTGTGCATATTATTGAACTTCTTGAGACTTGGAAGCTCATTGATTCATTGGAAGACGTCTCATTATGGACGGGCACCTGAGTTTGTCGAGAGTTGTCCGCAAGTCGGCGACTTACGCAGAGGTGTTTAAACCTGATGGAGAACGTACACTCGTGCAGGTAGAGTGCCTCGCACCAGAATTAACGCCCCGACCGCTCGTTGCGTTGCTTTGCAACGACATGTTAGTTTTATGCAAGGACCTTCTCAAGGGAAAGATCCGATTTGTCCCTATGACCTCTGGGCCGTCCTTCGAATGCAAACGTCATTACAACCTGCAAGCGTCGTTCACGGAAGTACCTTGCGCCTCGTGGATAACAAGGCTATATTGTACTTTGAAGCAGCGACAACATCAGATGCATTGACTTGGTCGCGGGGTGCGTTTCACGACTCTACATTTCTTTTCACTGGTACTAACCTGTCTGCTCAGCGATCAACCAGCATATTCCCTCCTCGAGATAGTTTAGGTAGAATGCAAATCTGCTTTCGTTCTTGGATGTTATCACCTTCGTTTCCGTTTCGGTCCTGCAACGACCTGCACTCATGACGATGATACGAAACAACACGAAAACAGCAATCACTGCATGCAAAATCCCTGTTTCCATATCAAGTTAAAACCAAATAACCCCATTGTGATTGGCGTTTTCGTGTTTCATAGCGCCTTACAATAACGGTCGAAGATCCGTCTTCTCGCCTATACCCCTCCCGCATTGTAATTCTGCTTGTTTCATTTCGTCAGTCGTTGCTGACACACGCTTCCATCAATGCTGCCATCCCTTTGATTGGAACGGTTATATTTTTCGTCTCTTTTGGCCACCATAAAATTGCTCTTCCTTTTTTGTGTTTATTCTTTTCATGCGTTGTATTACTTTTCTTCATCTTTATGACTTGAACGCAATCCTACTCAGATCTCGAGTTGTTAAATATGCAACAATTAGATTTCATTTTGCTACCGTCTGCATGCTTCGCGTCGAACCCGAATTGGGATTACCAACAAATTAGGATACTTGTGACGAGACAAATGGCTTGAACATTTCTGCCAATGTCCGACCCGGTCTATTCTGTCTCTGACCGGATTACGCGCAGTCAATTAGATATTGAAAGGCCAGGCAGAGTAGGCGAAACCCACCACGAATGCACTGGGGGCCCTAGATCTCGTCGTCTCTCCGTTGCGAAGAACTCGAGGAATTGGAAGCCTCCTGACTTAATCTCGAGACATAGGTTCGACTAACAATATTGACTGGGAAAGCCTTTGGTAAGCAAACAGGTGCCGCATATCATGAACGCAGTGAATGTGAAACGTACATGCATCCATGTACCGATCCATGCAGTTACCCAAGCAACCCTAGCGTGTATACGCATCGAAAACAAGTACGCCACTGAGTATATATTTGGACGGTACCTGTTCCCATGTGGATAAGGAGTCTCCAGGCTTTGTGATGCACTTTTGGAAGCATTTATCATTCTGATGAAAATTTCAAGGTCTTATTCCCTCAGCAGGTCAATCAATACCTACGCACAATTTTCTAGAACGGGTTCAAATAGTTAGTAGAATCACAAGAGACTCACAAACAAACACTACGCGTACCTCCATTAAGGCTTGTGCATGCTGGGTTTGCATTTCTCTCCGGACTTGGTCCATTAGCTGCTGCTTTCGCATAGCTTGGTCTGTGAATTAGGGAAATAGGAAAAAAGGTATGAAGCCTTTAGAGAACACTGAGACATTTGAACGCGTCATACCGGGGGTTCCGCTGCCCGGCGCATTTGAACCCAAAAAAGACATCTTCGAGAAGCTGGTGCCGTGTGGTGGCAGTGCGACTCTGGCGCTTGTCGGTCGCAGATGGACAATGCTGGGCTTCAGAGAGTTGTAAGTGATTTCCTGCTTAGGGCAAGTTCCCGGCCCAAGTGAGTGGTCTATTCCACGTGCTGAGGACCCATAACCGAATGTTCATGTCATGGCTTTGGTTCAGTGTGTTCGGACTCCTAAACCACCGGCTCCAACGCAACTAAAGCCCTTCATGGCACTTGTCGTCTTGTGGGCTGCACAAGCACCTAGGGGCAAACCTTGGCTCAAAGTGCTCCTCCCCTCCACCTCCACAGCCCGCTCGCGCTCAAAAATTCCCGTTTGAACAGGCGCTTATCAATTGTGATGAGCAAATGGATCAGTACGAGCGAGAAGACATGCAGGTGAATTTGTTATCCAGCCTCCCTCGCGGACCACCTTACTGATCTGGGATAAATGCATACCAGGAGCTTGCATTGACACATGTTCCGATCGATCAACTATATAACACTGCGTCAGAAATCCAATCTTCCCTGACTCCCCTTCCATCATTTGATGACGCCCTTGCTGAAGCGTTAGTAAAATGGTTCAAGCCGAACTTTATGGAATGGGTTGACCCCATGCTATGTACAAATTCGCTGTGTAAGGAGGAGGTTGACGATAAAGGACAACCGACCGGCAAGAAAGTCAAGATGAAAATGAGACGAATGGACGGCCCCCGGTCAGCTGAGGAGAAGCAAGGAGGTGCAGGAAGAGTGGAGGTCCATGCTTGTCCAAACTGCGGAACCGAGTCACGATTTCCACGATATAAGTCAGCTCAGTTGTCCCTCCAATTATTTTCTAGTCCTCTAATAACACCCTCCCACCGATAGCTCCTTGGAATCCCTGATGAAAAGCAGGAAAGGACGCTGTGGAGAGTTTGCGAACCTCTTCACCGTCTTTCTGCGTGCCATTGGCTTACGCGCCCGATATGGTGTGTTTCTATGCACCTTTGGGTTTGATCTGATTATGACATCAAATACCCGAAGTTTGGAATGCAGAAGATCACGTATGGAACGAGGTGTGCATGGATATAGGTCATGACAACATTCCTCACGTTTTCTGTACGACAGTACTACTCGACCGCTCTCAATCGCTGGGTTCATCTTGACTCCTGTGAGAATGCACGGGACCAGCATCATCTCTACTCCAAGGGATGGGGGAAGAAGATGAGTCTTGTTGTCGCGTTCAGCGTCGATGGTGGCGCAATGGACGTTTCTCGCACATACATTCCAGAGGATAAATGGGACGAGGCTATGAGGATGAGACAGTATAGCGATACACAGCTCGAAGAGGTGCAGTTCTATGGAAATCCCTTTTTGCGGGTGGCGTGGCTTATATCCCCTTGATAGGTACTCCAAAGAATAAGAGCTAGGAGGAGGGGTTACCTTTCGAAGTCTGAGCTTGAAAGGCTGGAAGCGGAAGATTACCGAGATCATAACTGGTGGAAAGCCTCTAATAAATCCGGCGCCGAGGGCAACCAAATTCCGGAGGGGGAAAGTGGACGAAAGAGCGGGACTACCGAATGGACGGAGGCGAGAGGTGAGGCTGGGAAGTGACAAAGGACTCATTTTCTTTGGCATGTATAGCTGGTTGGATCACTTGTAGTTGCATGGTTATGGGCTTTACACGCATCCATATCGCCGCGAACAGTGTGGCTCACGTCTTGGTCGAGTTTGCTTCCGTTCGATGGCGGGACACCTATTTAGGCCTGACGTGAAACAGCACTGTGAACTAATTCTCCGCACGGACATTGACTGGATACAGCACACTGTTTCTTCACATTCATTAATCGCATAACTAGCTATCTAACGGAAACAGTCTCACTATACATAATGCACATGTTCATCACGCCGAACATCACGAACGGAACGTGTGAGGCGTACTTCATGAATCGGTCGGAGTGCGCCAACCTGTCCAATATCACTGGAAACGTGCCCGACACCTCCAAGCATCCTCTTCATGATATTCAAGATCCCTATCCTCCACAGCATGTCGGATTTACGCGTCCAAAGCCCATTCAAACCGCATTTGGCATAATCTTTCTCGTTCTTGTTCTCACCGCTTTCGGTTATGGCTTCTACGTCTTCTGGAAAAAGATTCTGACCGTCAACAGGTCTCAAGGAAAGGACATGGGTGCCTTTTCTGTTAACAGCAAAGTAGCTCCGCTCGTTAGTTCGGAGGATGTGGAGCTTTCTGCCGCGAAGCCATCTGCTCGCTCTAAGCATTATGTCAGATTCAACTTGGACGACTCAGATGCGCACAGTGTTAGTTCTTCGACGACCCATTCTGGATATGGCAAGGTATCCCCGAAGGTACGCCTGGACAACTTGGTGCACGTTGCTGGCCCCTGAGATAACCTCCCGGAATCAGAGCGAGAATATCGCGTAATACTTATTCGCCCCTCATGATGAGATCTCCTACCGTCTAGCCGTAGCAGGAACTCGGTCGCAATCACGCGTCGAGCGTCAGATCATATACCTTTGCGCGGTCTCATCAGGTGCGGTACTGATCTCGACTGCTCCGACTCAAGGTAGTGCTGATCGGAGGTTTCAACCACAGTAATGCCTGCCTCCAAATTCATCCGCCCTTGTGTGATGCCTATACCTCTACCTCTAGTGTGGTATAATTGTTCATTCAATCGTTTCATAATTTGCCACATTGCCATTACGATTGGTGACATTTCAGGCCCGTTTCTATCTTCGCGGCTGCGAAACAGGGCCGTTGGGTGTATAGAGTTTACTGGTCGCATTCTTTCACCTTGAACTGGCGAGGCGTTTCCTTGTAAAGTGCCCAGACATTTCACAACAGTGAGTGTAGCAACAGAGGCAAAAGAGGCAACAGGACAAGCAAGACCCATTGCCAACACCAACTCCGCCGGATCCCGGGTTGAACGAAAGGGCGCCGAACTGATCTGGCTGGCTGGCTTCTCGAATGTATCAGGCGATGAATAATCCTCCCCTGAGACGATGTGTAGACTGCGCATATGAGATGCTTCCTATGGGCCCAAGCACGGTAGAGCGTGCTCACTAGTAAGCGCCGGAGGACTTGCCCACAAGTCCAGGAAATGTCTAGACATATGTATCAAGTAAAATCCTTCCAGAAACTTAATTCGGTAAGAACCGCGGCGACACGGATTGCAAGTACGAAACTGGGAGTGTCAAACATGCATCGTCGATTGGGGATTTGAGCTCTTCGGATCACTCGATCAAAGCGTCAGAGTCGTTGGTCTGCCCCAGGTCGTTCATTGGAGAGGATAGTTTGTAGGAGTAACAAGAGGATTCCAGGCTCAGCGTCGTTTTCTTGACGAGAAGACCGATGTTCTAGGCAGGTGACCCTCTTTAACGAGAAGAGACCGATGTTCCCCGGTAGGCAGGATCCCTGCCTCTACCAAAAGTTGCGGCGCACATTATGTAATATGTTTGGCTTTCCGAAACTCGATCACGAGATGCTCCGAATTCGCGAAATGCGATATTCACATCAACGCTTGCGATGAGTGCAACGGGAAGTGCAGGCTTTAGAGCGAGCAGCATTGATGAGGTGGTGTGGCCCGCGCTCTGCGACATTAGCAAATTCCCAAGAAAATCAACCCCCATGCACGGGCATGCAGCATCAGTGCGCCCACTGCGCACTCCACACATAGGCAGACTCCACACAATACCATGCGCACAGGACGAAAGTCTTGACTGATATTAGCACTGCTTCCCATACCATATATCTTCGTGACCCATGTCGGGAGGGGATAGCATGGCTGTCCGGAGTTGCTACGGTTCGTCCAACACTAAGAGCTACCAACGAGCCACCTTTTCGGGTCCATTAACCTAATGTGGCCACCTATCCCGGCCAGTGTTCCAGGTAGCGGGCTGGCATCGTGGTTACTAGAATGGTTTCCACATCATGTACACGCGTTCTCCAAGCAGCCTATCTGCTGCAATGGATAAGCCTCGTGGTAGCTTTCATTCATGCCTTCAGCCTATAAGAGCCTTTGTCTACAGTCGCTGTACTCTCTAGAATCGTCAGTTTGTGCTCTCTTGATCTCTTGCCGGACAAGACCTTTTTTGACGCCAGTCGTCTTGTTGTCCCACCTTCGTCCTTTTTCTGCCCCGGCTCAAAATAATGGGACCCGCTATCGAGACGACGGCCTCTCAGACAAGACGTTCCAGCCTGCGGCAGGGGTCTACCCACTCTCTCATCCGCTCTTGGGACGCATTTGATCGCTTGTTTGATGAGGCATTCGCGCCAACATCAGCGAAACACCAATCCATTTCCGAAAATTTTGACGACCTGCGGTCTAATCTCTCTCCGCTTACCCCACTCACTCCACTCACTCCCCTCGATGCGAGAGCTCAGGCTCCATCAGTGTTAGAGACGCCCGCGTTCCGAATGGCGCAGCAGAGGTGTTTTCGTCTGATGATGAAGATTTTAAGAAGCTATGGGAAGAGGCTACTGCGAGGAAGCAAAAGATGACGAAAACTATCGTGCGGAAGAGGACACTCCATCAGGGGAGTTTAGACATGGTAGGCCCAGGGGTCACCACTGTTAGTCGAGCGCCGAGCAGGCTTAAGCGCAGGAAGTCAAGGTAAGAACCCGCATCCATTACCAGACAATGACGTTGTGGTCGCTGACTCCGTCCCTAATTGCGCCGTTGCGCATTTACCCTTCGTGATGCTCCTTTCGCTTCGCGACCTGCTTTTCTTCTTAGGTTCCATCTCAAGCCAAACCACGATGCCGATTATGTCACCGCAGTATTTGATCTACCTGACGTACGCAAGGAGGATATACACGTTGCATATCAATTTGATCGATTAACGATCACATGGGAGTCTACCTCTGTTTTTGAGCGACAGGAGCGAGACGGGACGCTCGTACGGGAGAGGAAGGAGAGGAAATACGCTAGGACCTTGCCTCTGCCGCCAGGGACTCCGGTATGTCTCATCAAGTTTCTCCTCGGAGGTCAGTTGGTTCTAATTGCCGTGGGATCTCCTTGTTCATATAAGTTCTCCGACGTCCACGCTTACCTGGAGGATGGTCAACTGTCAGTAACATACCCAAAATTCCCCGCCACACCGTTGTCGCACCTTCCATTACGCCCAGTATCATTGATTCAATGACTCGTAACGCTTCTACCCGTTATTCTGTCATCGGTTTTCGTGCGCTATATGGTCGAAACATACCCTTCTCCTAGAATCAACGCTGCTTCGAGTGATGTGTTTCCGGGACAGGGCGAACCCCATACATAATTCTCTGGCCTAAGACCCTTGTGATCCTTGGGGAGTTTGGGCCCGTCCAACTAGCAAATGTGATACATTAACACTATAGCCTTTACCACTGGCATTGATCACTCCCCCCCAACAATCCATCCACTCACTCACTCGTTTGTTTCTTTTTCAGGACTCATTGTGTTGTAGCCTATTCGCTGCGCGATTACACCTGTTGGGCTCTTGCATGGACACACTCATTTGTTGTGTATTGTACCCTCCTTATTTTTTATATAGGGTTGCCGGCTAGTCGATGGGCTGCGGGGAATACACATTGGATTGACGCTCCCCAAATTGTGGTTTCATATTTCGGCTCGTCTGGTTCTCACAGGTGTCAAAAATACGAATTGTATGGGCTGGGAATGGGGTGCTGACGTGCGGGAGTGTAAAATCATCACTGAGTCCGGTATTCACCACCTATGAGAACTGCCGCTCCACCTGGTCCTGGCGTCAGCGAGCAGATGGTAGCTATGAAGGGGAAAAAGAGAGAAATACCAGACCCAAGGAATTTCAGATTCAATTCAGTTTAGACGAATTCAATCAACTGTGCCCTGTTGAATGTCAAATTCAAGCCTTCAACGATATTTTAGAGGCACCCTAGTTGTGTATTGACTACGTGCCGTTCCGTGGCACCTGTGTTGCCAGATCAGGTTTGGTTTGCTAGTACAACTGGCTAGCGGCAGTTTCCTACTGGGTTACTTATGCCACAACTAACCGTACGTTGTCGATTGAACTCTTCGATAGGAAAAGTCTCACTAAACTTTGGGCATCCCTTTGCCAAATTAGATGCTCCTCCCACTTGTTGGAGAAACCGATGACTCTATTCCTCGTCCGCAGACTCACGACGTGCTCACGTCTGGTGGGACGTTCCTGCTGAAGACAAATTCCTCTCAGGAAAACGTCGGGACTGAAGACAAGGATGCACCTGCAGTGAGTACTGTTTAGCGCCTAATTATCCGTCTTGATGATCGAACCACCGTCTGCCTTAGGATGCTTTCTTTGAGATGGAATCTGGACGGAGTACTCTAGATACTATTGAGCCAATTGAGGATGACAAGAATACCGAATTTTTCACAGGTGACCAGCCTCTTTTGCTTAAGCGAACCCCCACTATCTTTTCGACCTTCTCCTATGGCTCGGTTCTGTCCGCCCGAAGCACCAGAGAGATATTTTCGCTGAAGGATCTTTGCGAGAAAGTCATTGAAAAGCATTTATGGCTCCAAATGGCCAGGATCGTCAGCACATCCTGCTATTCTCAGTATCGAAATCTCGTCCTACATCGCTTCCTTATCTTACAGTTACGCCGTCCAGAGAAAAAGGACATATGGCTACGAATTGATCGGAGGGCCGGAGTAAGCTTTCTATCACTCGCCCGGAAACTCGGCAGAACTGCTGCTAAGGATATAGTAAGGGTCCGCTGTCTATCTGTTGCTGAACACGCTTTTGACACCCTTACAGGCCCAGCTCTCAGCGTCTAAGGAAGCCCTTATTGGGACGGCACGCCAAGAAAACATCCAAGAATTTGATAGACCCCCCTTTCTCGCTGATTTTAGCGATTATCTTCGCGTCATCTGTGAAGAACTACTGGAATATAGAATATGGCCGGTATGATTCCGTGTTGATAGGATGCATGAAACATTCTCAATGGCCATGCTTTGCTCCAGGAGAACTGTTGGTTGTTCTGCTCATTATTGCAAGAGCATCTCGGAGGCTCAGGCGACGGGCGCTATGCATTCGGGCGCCCTATTGCTCCTAATACTGCACCCATTGTTCGAGAGAGGATATCAGAGCGAGTGGTAGCCCAAGTAACACCCAATACGGTAAGCCATGTGTAGTGCAGTGGATTGGGAAGTCGTTAGTAACCTGGCAGAAGATTATGACGGCGTTGCAGGGTTCGGTTTGGGTACGTGGATCTTTTGTTATGCCCCTTTTTATGACTTACAATTTGATTTCCACAGCGAGTCTTAAGCCGCCGGTGGCAACCCTTGAGCGACGCGATGCCAAGGGGGTGGTTTGCTCATTCAATTGCCATATTTTTTGCCAAAATTGCGTGCCCGGTGCAAGGCCTAGATATTTCCCACACGCGAGACATCCTGGAGCGGATTAGTGGCTCCTTACTTGCCGTGCAGCTAGAAAAGAATGATTTGCACTCTCGCATCGCCATATTCTGCATTGACACCCTCAGCCGTTTGCCAGAGGAAAATAATCTTCAACTTCTCAACCCGTTGATCCTCAACTCCGACATCCCAGATCTCTCCTTTCAGATCCTGTCGAAGATCCCTGGTGACATTCAATATGCCGCGTTGCATGTCCTTTTCCACGTTGTGGAAATCGAAAACTCTCCAACTGAGCTTTTCATCAGATTAGAAATGTTCATCACTGAATCGGCAATCAGATGGTTGGAAGTCTTGAGCCTGCTGGGAGAAGTAAGGAATGCCTTGATTGCATTGGAGAGAGTGATTGTGTGGTGTGAGGTATGTGATCCATTTTTGACTTCCCAACTCCCGGGAGATACAGAATACCGGTTCATAGACTCGAAGCCGCCAATTACAAGGTCAGAATCTGGGGACCTCTTTACTCCAACTTCTATTGCAATGCCATCAATTTGCTCATCAATACTACGGAGTCATTTCGGCATCTGCTGGACATATTGCACACTCAGCTCTATCTCATTCGTCCGATGCAGATTGGCAAAGGCGATATCGCAAATCCTCCTATGAACACCTCCAACAGTGCAAAGGCAGCACTCTGGGTGCCTTCACATCATTTCAAAGCATACTGACCGTGTTGTCTCGCTCTCATTCTCGTCTGATGGATTCAGGGTAGCCTCAGCATCCGAAGACAAGACGGTACGAATCTGGGATTCAGTAACTGGGGAAGAACTCAACGTCCTCCGAGGGCACACCGGCTGGGTCAGCTCGGTCTCAATTTCATCTGATGGATCCAGGATAGCCTCAGCATCTTTTGACACCACAGCACGAATTTGGGATGCAATGACTGGGGAGAACTTAGGGTCCTCCGAGGGCACACCAACGGTCTCCGTTCAGTCTCAATCTCATCTGACGGGTCCAGGGTAGCCTCAGCATCAGATGATAAGACAGCACGAGTCTGGGATGCAGTGACTGGGGAAGTACTCAGGGTCCTCCGAGGGCACACCAACTGGGTCCACTCAGTCTCGTTCTCATTTGATGGATCCAAGGTAGCCTCAGCATCCGAAGACAAGACAGTACGGATCTGGGATGCAGTGACCGGCGAAGAACTCAAGATTCTCCGAGGACACACTGACTGGGTCCGCTCGGTCTCAATCTTATTTGATGGATCCAAGATAGCCTCGGCATCCAATGACAGGACAGTACGAATCTGGGATGTAGTGTCCGGGAAGAACTGAAGGTCTTCCGGGGGCACACTGACTACGTCCGCTCGGTCTCATTCTCATCTGACGGATCCAGTGTGGTCTCAGCATCCAATGACAGGACAATACGAATTTGGGATGCAGTGACTGGGGAAGAACTCAAGGTCTTTCGAGGGCACACTGACTGGGTCCGCTCGGTCTCGTTCTCGCCTGATCGATCCAAGGTAGCCTCAGCATCTGATGACAAAACAGTGCGAATCTGGGACGGTGTGATTAGGGAGGCGATATCCGTCAGCAATCATTCCATCCCATCTAATCCCCACCCGAGTTTGTCTTCCAACCCAATCACCGTTCCTAACGAGTGTTCATTTGGTAAAGTGAAACACGATACGGTGAACCGCATTCACCTTTTCCTCGGAACATGCGGAACCCCACATTTTATTGCCCCTACTCATACAAGCGATATCATATCCACCTGGGAGATTTCCCCTGATGGGCAAGCTCTTACTGTCCATATGGAAGATGAGAATGTTCAGACTATTGAGGCACCGAAAAGATACCGTTGCGTTCAAGATCCAACATCGTGATCTGGGAGGTGAGTGGATTGATCTTAGGATCGATGACTTGGCCATTTTTTCTTAGTGACTAACTGTCTTTTACAGGTCGCCCCAATATCGTGAACGCGCATTGGGTACAATTATCCCCTTGCTCTATCCCAACCTTGCTCTTTCTTACCTCTGCTGAATCGAACTGGAAGGCGGAAGCATCAACTCGGCGCACAGTGTTCTTTTTAGCAACCACCCGATATTAAGTGGCACCACGGCCAATTGTAAGCTGTAATTCACTCTCCTTTGAAATCCGTCAAAAGGCAATGCTAGACTCTGCATGTATTTCTTCCTTCCTCTCGTGGAGAACCAAGCATCCCCGACTTCCCCGCAACGATCTATGCGCATTTCCACCTCTTGCTTGCAATCTCTAATATTCTGTCGCATACAAAATGCATCCCCCATGATATGCTCCCGGGTAGAGTACAGACCCCTGACCCCGGTGAATATAATCCGCTTGCTTCATCGGTCTTGGCACTTCCTTGGAGCCTTCCTCCGCTTCCGATTGGGTTGTGGGCATAGTCTCCCATCGTGCCACCGGGTCACGCCGCTTTGGGTCCTATACGATGGTGTTGGTTCGCGATTCTACAACTTTTGCAGGCCTGTACCTGGGAGCGAGGCTGGGAGGTACGGGATCCCTGGAATACCCATTACGAGAGTATCGAAGGTGGACGAGGATCCACGTGGATCGAATACCAAAATCAAAATATCCACTAGTCGCGGCGACCGTCGCATACCTGAGAAGATTCGGGGTGAGCACGAATCGTGGCAAGTTTGTAAGTGGGACCCTATTGGCGACTGACTGGCAGTCTTTGCACAGCGAATACCAGTATAAGCAGATGTCGATGTTAATCCAACCACAATAAAGGCATCACTTTATATTGATCTTCGTTAAGTGTGATGGAGGGTACTTGATTGATGTAACACCATGCCAACATCAACTCTTTGCGCCCAGCGAACTGAACTGTTATCATAATTGTTCTCAATGGCGCTGCCCAGGATTTTCCGTCCGATTATCCTGTATGTTTCAAGCTCGAGATGAGAAAAGCCTTTGAATACTCTACGGCTTCAGCAAACTCTTCCTCTGTGCAACTAGTAACTCTGCATTTCCACTGTGAGGTCGTGTGCTATCCCACACCCACCCAAGCACTGGGTGCCGATTCCCTTCGTGTACCACCTAACTGGGCTGGTTTATCTGAAGGAGTGAGGGTGGTTCACAACGGGCCTTCGTATCACTGCCGTACCCCCCTCTTATCATTATTGACGCGCCTCAGTCGAACTCGATGTGACTCTCCTGAATGTCTTTCCTGCTCATCAATCGATGATGTAAATGCATGATACGACAACGACGACTGCATAGTCCATTCTCGCCTTAATCAGTTCGATCGCCTACTATTCTAAGTACTTTTACTCTTACTCCCAGAAACTTACATGTCAGCCTAGACTGGGCGGCAGGCGTGGTCGTACTTGGACTATGGTGACATGACAACAAGCCCTGGGCGGAAGCTTCTGATCTAGTAGGACGTTTGGGTTACAGTGTGCCTCCGCCGTTCTCTTTTTTTTTTGTCGTTTCAATCCGCTAAACCCGTTGGCTTGCTGCATCGGGGAGGGGGATCAAGGAGTGCTGTTGGGTTCGATCTTCCGGCATAGTCTCTCCAAAAGGTCTTCCATCCTAAAAGTGGGCTCCTGGAGGCTCGCGACGGTGATGCCAGCTCGTGATAGTCCACGAAGAGTTGCGACTGAGATCCCAATGTTGAGCACGCGCGTGTTCGTTCTATGGACAGCTCCATGTTCCAAAAAATGGAGAAAAAATGGAAGAGCAAAACTCGATGCTGACCCGGCCAATGGGCGGTCGGGATAACAGCCTCTCCGATCACATGCACAAACAAGACCGAAAACAAAATCGAAACCTGTTTCGACCCGGGCACAGCAAGGTAGCCATGTAGCTCGAAGAAATGATCAGTCTCGCTGCAGGTCGCTCTACACTTCATCGATCCGTCCTTGAAGAAGCGGCCAAGGGGCTTCTGAACTATACAGGCACAGGTATCGGAGCTTTCACATCGGTTGCCTAAGTCACAACTGCCAATCTCGAGAATATCTTGCACAAATGCATGCCCGTCGAGTATGTTCACGTCAGTCGTGACGAACTTGCTTCCTGTCATCACAGATCATACCCCGACTACCCAAGAAGGATCGTATTATGGATTATGTTGTCACTGGCTATTGGGGTTCTAGGGCCATGGAAGGGCTGGTCGAGGCTGGCCCATGCACCGTACATGTGGTTTTCGATGGGCGGGAACATTCAGCCGACAGGAATTCCATTTCGGTCACTGAGGATTGGCAAATTCCTGCGGTTGTATGTTACTGCGACAACAAAACCGTAGATGGTGTCCAGTTCGATAGAGATGATGGAAGGGAAGAACAAAAAGCGAATTCAATTTAATTCCCTTCCATGCCCTCCCTCGTACTTCATCCAATCCATCCAATCCCTCCAATCCTGTTCCCATTATTCCTCTTCGTTCTTGTCCCAACCATCGATGACCGCGCAGTCGTATTCGCCCGCACCCGGAAGAACGTCGGACTCGTTCAGGCTTTCTCTAGTATGATACCTCGCCAATGTTTAGCATGTATGTGTCCTCTTGATGAGGAGGCACTTAAAAAGCAGACCGGTAGTGAGCTGCTAATGACGAATGGTACTCAGTCTCGGATGAATGACGCAACGCCAACAAGAAGAGAATCAAGCTGGTATGCACCAGTGGCTCGAATGCAACAGGAGAAAATATGAAACGGGTGTTGAAGCAATAGCTCAGTAGGCGGCGGCGGACTCTTTTATCGACACAAGCACATGTAAATACAGATCAACAGCATCGTTATCCAACAACAAGCGGAGCGAAAGGTCAAGCGAAAATAAAGAAAGGACAGATCGGAAAATAAGAGATCTACAGAATGAGTCGACCGCCGCCGTCTCTCAATGGCACGAATCAAAAGGGGACTGCCAGCTGTTGTGGCGGAAAGAAACAGCAAAGTTACATGGGTTTGAAGGTGGGGAGAGCATCGAGTAAGGGATGGGAGCCGCAGTCATATGAATGTTACGTTCGAGGTTCTTGGGGGAGGCAACTTCGTGAAAGGGGTCACCGGAATGGGACTGAGGGGTGAAAGCTCATTGGCATTCAGTGAGGGTCGGCATAATGTTTGACGCGCGATGCTTCAAGTTTTGAATTTGGATTTCACTAGCTTGCAGGCCGTCGATGTCTCTTTAGTCAACACAATTAACATTCATGACGCATAATAGTTAGGATGGCCTATTCGGCGATACCAGGCTTAACGTTAGAGCGGAAAGTTCGCGAGGCATTGGCATCTGACAAGTGGATTTTATCACGACCGAGTCGATGGACGTTCTATTATCATGCCCCCAAACATTATATCAACTCTGTCATGTGAACGGTGAATCTGGGAAAGGACTTACAATATTGCTGAGACTGTCTTCGTACTCGGAGCGATGGACATTCACCATGATACTACCCTTGGCTGAGTTCGTCTGATGTAGGATAACAGTCAGTGTCTTTACTTTTCTGCCACAGCCAGACTCACAAGTGCTTTTGGCTCGTCCCGTTGACAAGGAGTCACAGTCACAGGCTTCTTCTGAGCAGATCGTAATTCGTCAAGAGGGATATTTGGTCCCGTAAATTCGCTTAGCTGCTTTCGTACTCTTGACCGCATGTGCAAGCTGGTGGTGCATAAGGAATCCTATCAGTGAGGATGTCCAGAGAGGAGAGGAATTTTCTCGTGCTTTACTTTGTGAGCATTGAGATGGGATACATGGGACCAAGGGTCTAGAGATGTTCAGCAAGCCTCCCAGACGACGTATGAAGAATTCCAGGGAATATGCTTACAATTGCGAACACAAGAGCCCAAAACGTGAAGCCGTGGACGGTGAACTAAAATTATGATCTCAGTCTGATGCTTTCTGCTGGAAGAACAATTGTAGCCTATACTTACGATACCTAACACCAAAAGAGATTGAAGGCAGGTCACACCGCCCGTAGCTATAGCCCAGTATACCATCGTTTCGATGGCACCGTCCGTTCTGTTACGAAACCAGTTTAGTGCGGACGCGATACCCCTCGATCATTAACTCGCCCTTTGAAACCAGTCTTCCGGCGCCAGAGCAGGTGCGTCATCAATACTGCTATTGTAACGTCAGCTGTTGCCTGACGGATTACAAAAAAAAAAAACTGATTAGTCCAGGCATTAAAAAGAAGAGGACCACACACCTGTAGCGCTAGCCAGACCGTAGCTGTCCACGTCCACTTCTGGGCGAACTTTGGGAAGTTCAATACTATGTCTCTATCATATCATTGTCAAATCAGAATGGTGATAGAACGTCATCGACAAGGGTGATGACGCGTACCCCACCGTTGAAACCGCTGAGATAGAATTACACGACTAATGAGGGTTCTGGGAGTGGTAACGTAGGCTTCGGACTCACTTATGGAGAAAGCTGTCAGCAACTCAGACTTCAGTTCATGATCATGGGACGTTCCGGCTTAGGGGACTTACCAAACTGGATGAAAACAAGAGCTTGCTACATATGGTTGCGCAATGGGTAAGCATCGTTGCGGCTGATCTGAGAAGGTAATAGCCAACGTACCATGGGTGCAGCGATATAAGAATTCGAGGAAACTAGCAACAAGGTGACAAACAGTCACGGTGGAGGTTATTGATTCCTAGAAGAACTCACAGGACCAAATACGGGACACGAAAAAAGACTGGACGACAAGGGATGCTACTGCTGTGGCCACTGAATATGAGGAAAATTCCCTAAGAGAAGCGTTGAGTTGGAGGAATGATATCGCTCGATTATGGAAAATGATTACCAAATCGCACGTCCCAGTGCAGCTGGATTACGGATCAGCCACCACCACATCGCCTTGGTCATAAAGGCTCTTAAAAACAAGAATCACAAGTCGGTCGAGACAGGTATACTTTAGAGCCACTGATATCACTCACGCTTGAAATGCAAAGGCGACCCTTCAGGAGCGGAGAGTTATCAGAATTGATCTTCCAGTCGCGCAAAATGCACTACGAGAGGGAACGAACCAAAGAAGTCCGATCTATTGTCACACCGAGCGCATCAGTATCGTCAAACTGGAGTCAACAATTGATGAGGAACATACTGCGAGCCGCGTCCATTTACTATCCTGAGGGAAACGCTTGTAATAAAGGAGAGTTTGCACTGTGAGTATCCCGAAAAGACTGTAACCATCGTAAATGATTCGGTTCGGGCACCGGTTTCATCTGAAAATAGCATCCTTACAAGGTCGAGACGACAGTCCCAACGAAAATGCCACCCAAGAAGCCCTCCAAGACACCCGGGATGTGAACCATGAAGAGCGAACAGGTACAGAAGCAAATGACCTATTTGCACTACCGCAAGGAGAGGGAGCGTGGACTGTTGACTTGCATCGTAGCTCGTGTATAAGTGACCAGAGGTTGATTGCACATATTGGCCAATTGATGGCTTGATACAAAGTAGCTGGGCTTGTCTCATCACTGACCGACTTGTCGAATCTCGAAAGTTCCAAATTAATATTATGTAAATCCCGGTCAATTCAGTATTATGTAATTGCCGCAAAGTCTAATGTCTGATCATGGAACTAAGTCCGTGAGACACGATAAGACACAATGAATTCGGCCAACTCCGGTACAATACAGCTAAGGCGTGACTTAAAAGCCATCCTCCACGTGCCTGAAGCAGCATACTTATGTCCGTGAAACGGTGCCTTGTTTACTATGAAACCCAGCCTAAAATTTGGCATGTAGATGACGCGAAATACTATATACATTTTTGATGCAAAAAGAAAAGGGTAGTCCAGTGTAGGAATTGCAATTATTGTAGTGTTAGTTCATTCCCACGGCCTCTGTCAACCGATTCAATCATGTATTCGCTATGGGTGAATCACTTTGATGGAAGTTCGGTACATAATTGATGTGTGTATTTGTGTTTACATTTACACTTCGCCGACGTTGGTCGTCGATTACCAATTGCATTTGCTTCGCAATTGATGATAACTGCATAATTCACTCCCGTTAGCTCACACCAAGTCGTCTCCCTAAGTACGGAAAACACAATTGTGAAGAATGTACTGAAGACAGTAGGGGAAGAGTGTTCTGAAATGGTGGTAACGCAAAGAACGAAGACACGATGTCACATCCAAAGCCAAACGTCGAAAGGCAGTTGTGAGGAGAGTGGCGGGCCCTTGCCGCGACAGGCGGCGTCCACCAGTTATGTGGGATTGCCGCTTCTGCCCCCCCCTTTTTTCACTCCGCAACTCCCCGCTTCCAAACATACACAGAGGCGCGGGTGTTCCAAAATGAGAACGTTATTGCAAGGTGCAAAAAAAAAAACGGTGCATCCGGCCAAGTGGGTCCATACCCAATTTGGGAAAATGGCGGTCGATTATCATTGATTTACTGCTATTTTTGAACGATCACATGACTTTCATCAAAATCGGAGTTGGCCGAATATATTTGTCTATTTGTCTATCGATTTTTTTTGCACGTTCGTACCCCGAGCGGATATACTTCATAAAAATGCAAGTGCCATCAGCGCTCATTGGCTTAACATGAGAGCATGCCTAGCCGCAGCCCAGCGTTGAAGTCCGAAACCAGTAGGCAACGGGCGTTTGCTACGCTGACCAGTTAAGTATGCTCTCAATTGGAGGCTCGAGAATTAACGTACTCGTAGGCGTGCTCCATCGCAAGCCTCAACGAACCATTGCTATATTCTTTTGCGCTGGGCCAGGCTTGTCGCCGCAATGTAGATCACATTTCTTCTCTTTATTGAATCGAGAAGCTGACGGTGCGCCTGGGCAAGTCGGCTATGTACGAGATCTCGACTGTAACATGTGCAGAGAGGTCGCAGCAAGTCTCCGTCACTGCTCATTTCGTGTTTTGGTAAGCAAACTTTGGTGGATTCCTCCTTATAAAATACCACAGAATACTCAACCGGTAAGTCAAATTCTCTACATTCGGTGGTGGTTCCACAAGCCGAAATCACACAGCCATGCAATAGCGTTGACATAACGATAGTTATCTGTAACTGTCTGGAGAGACTTAGGGCCATGGATTGAAGTTGGATAGATGATAACGCACAGGTTTGATATCGTCGTCAAGTAGGCCAACCCCTGACCAACATCGTGAACCTAGACCAGGGCTATCAGAACATATGCTCCAAGTATCATCATACTCACCAAGCCTGATCAATCCGCTCCTGGGTGTCTCACAAGATATTCGATATCAAGCATACAGTTAAGATATCCTCGAAGGATTTTGGTGCTCTAGACCATGCCATATCTTCACCTCACGCTTGAACAACTAGAATAATGAGTCAGCCAGCCGATAGGTCAAGAACCTATCAAGACATACTCTATGAAATCTTTTCCGTGGACCTGATTCCAAGACAGTTACCGCCCTTTCGGGCAGACAAAACCAGTAGTTGTGTTCATTTAAAAATTGAAAAGTCATAGACATTCCCAAAGCCACCATGGCCCAGTTCCACCGCCTAAGTCTACTGTGGCTTCGGGTCCGCCTTGAGAGCCCAAGGACGAAGGATCCTGGGCTGTCTCTCATTGAGACTTCGGGTCCTGAGGTCTTTGCTTCCAACCGTTTAGGTGTGATCTGTGTCTTGGCAGAGGCAAAATTGTCGGTTAAACACATGGTTCAAGGTCGCTTTCCAGAGACCACCCCAAGACAAAACATTATTTATAGGTGATCTCGTTGTTGTTGTAACTCTATTTTGTTACCCCGCCAATTACATCTGACTGTACATGAGGGGCTCGTCAGTACAAGGCTGGGTTGGTTTTAACTCGTGTCTGGGTATGCGTGGGGGTGTAGTGTCTATGTCACTCCTCCCTCTCTACGGGGGTTACTCATTGAGTACTCCTATTTCCTGTTCCCCCACTGTCCGATTTTGGCCAGCGACTTCTTGATGGGGTCTGCTAGTCTAAGGATGTCCTGGAAGGGTCGAACACTTGCTCTGACGGCCGCGGCCCAGTTGGAGGATATGTTTTCTCATCTGGTTGGCTGCTCCACATGTACACTATGCTCCCTGTGTGGATACCGAACCGGTGGCAGTATTCGCCCAGGTGTGCGTGGCCGGTGCGGAACTGGATCATCCTGCTGAAGGTTTTCCGGTCCAGCGATTTGAACTTGGTGCTGGGTTTAATCGATGGGGGTTTTGGTTTGCTGTGTGGGATCCTGATCGGATTGGGATGGGCCTATTTGCCCAACGTTCCTTCCATGTCCTGCTTGTGCAAGCTTGCTACATAGGGTAGTGAGTGCCAGCGGGGTCCGGGCTGAGGCTTTGCCCTTGATGCCGCTGTGGCCGGGGCACCAGCTTCTCGCGACCTTGAAGTCGTCTTTACTGTCCAAGCTCAGGAGCCTGCACACTGCCTTCAGGTCCGGGTGTGTTCTTGGGCTTCCCTTGGGAGATGCTCGTATTTTGAGTAGAATATCATGTTTGACGGCTTGTGGGTGCACGGGTCGTTTTCGATGAAGCGGCGTGTCTCTTCTGCGGCTGCCCCCCGTCCCATTATTTCCGTGTTGAAGGCTTCTACGTAGCCGCCCATAGATTCATTCCTCCTGTTGAGTAGCCCACTACTCCAAATCCTGTGTATCTTTTTCCTTCTTCTGTGAACTTGGATCCATCGGAGTACATGAAGAGGAGAAGTCTGGGTCAGATTCCCCCTTTTACGCCCGGTGTATAGAATTATTAATACAGCACTTAGGCAAAGTGATACTGTCACCGTCAACGGGGCCGCGGCTCAGTTAGAAAATCACCCCAAACGCTATTTGGATAATGCGGGTTGGTCACACCTCACCCTGAGATACGGACTTTCTGAGGTTCAAAAACGTCAAGCTGCAAAAGGATGTACAAACGATATGGGTAGGCCAATAATCGCTAATTGGGACATTTCCTTCATTTTTTCTCTTTCTCCAATACTGTAGTGAACAGCGATCTGTATTTGCCCCCTCCGTCCTCCCTCTATCCCCCTACCTTGTGGACTTTACGCGGATCACCTTCCCAGCCTCTCAGCTCGCGTACCCTCTCTTCGTGTTATAATGGCGGCATCGCAGCCCGACATTCTGAGCTATACTTACCACATATGCCCTGTGATTGCTCCAGGACAAAGTGTCAATACGTGGGCCATGCATGCCGGCGCCATTTCCCTAAATGCTGAGTCCCACCTTGTGTGGTTGTTGTGCAAGGTTTTTTGGCCATTTATCTCCTGTGCAGCTTTGAGGAACTCTTTAAGGCAGCGGAACCACGAGGGAAAGTATCAATCGGACTTTCGATACACCGATACAAAGCAGTTCTTGAGGGGACATGCTGGAGGATCATTACGATCTGGGACTGTGGACCACAGCTATTGAATCAACTCAGAGAGTGTCCCCTACCGCTTAATTTCGCTATCGTGTTCATAGCGTTGCCTTTGTCAGGCGATGTTCCGTTAAGAGACTGGCAACCTTGCAATCGATTCCAAGTAGGGCAGTCCCAATCGTGTATGTTCGTAGGATGGTGAGCAGAAGTTGCCGTGTCCATTCCCTTCATCGTGGACGTGTCATGTGCGTAGCGTTATATACAGGAAGGCCAAAGAGAAGTTTACAAAACTATATACACACGAGAAAAAGAAATGACCTAATAGCCCCAAGCCCAATCGAGTGGAAGATTCCCATTAGCACAACGTCCGCCATTGACCACCTACTAGCCTTATGGATAATCGTAAAACCTCGAAATAGCCCAACGCGAAGCACTAATCCCTCCCACCTTCCTCCTCATCTACATCAACCAAGCCCAGAACTTCCCCCAGAAATTGTCCGGAGGTGGCTCGTCGTAAGAATCCGCCTCAATCTGCGCAATCCCGCTCACAAAATCCATGTTCTCCGGAGAAACCACCGGCGTCTGATACATCACGAACCTCCCAATCAAATACATCAACGGGAAAAGCGCCAACGGCAGATAATTCGTAACGAAATTAGCCGTCGACCAGTTACCCTTCAAGAACACGCTCCAACCGGAGAAGAAGCAAACCAGCAAAGTCCAAACCATCCCGTACCATGCTGCGAAAGGTTGTAAACCGGATGAGAAGGGTAATTTGGAACGATCGAATCCTTGGGCTCTGAGGCCAGCGTAGAATCGGATATAGGTGAGACAGATACCGAACCAAGTCATGAGACCCGCGACGGCCGTCATGTTCGCGAACCAACCAAAGACTTTACCCGCCCCTTTCTGTGTACCCATGAAAGCAAGTGTACAGAATAAAGCACAGAAGATGACGGAGACGTAAGGTAAGCCTCGCCGACTTGTTCGTGCAAAGATACGAGGTGCATTTCCAGAAATGGCCAGTCCGTACAGAGCTCTCGAAGAGGTGTACAAGTCGGAAGAAGCAGCTGACCAAGCGGACGTGAGGAGTGCTGCGTTGATCACGCTTGGTAAACCCTTGATCCCAGCGTTCGAAATGGCAATGACGAAGGGGGACGAAGCCGCATCCGATGTGAGACCAAGCCTCTTATCGGTAAAAGGAACAAGCCATCCAATCACAAAAGTTCCACCGATGTAGAACAAAAGGATACGAATGTAAACCCGTTTGATGGCTCGTGGGATGTTACGACGAGGGTTTTTGGCTTCTCCGGCTGCGATCGCGACGATTTCGGTTCCGATGTATGAGAAGCCTGCTTGCGTCATAACGGACCACCAGCCCAGAAAGCGACCCTTGACTCCAGGGATCTTGTGAAACTGGGCAAAGGGACCAGGGTGTTTCCAGTAACGGAAACCAATGCGGTCATGATTTGGACCTCCACCTAGGTCAATGATGATACCGAGAAGCTGGGGCACATGCATAGTTTTGGAGCAGCAGTGGTAGGGGTCAGTATTGATGAGAGGAATGAAGAGAATTGATCACATACGATCAGAGCAGTGATGGTAATGACTTTGATGGAAGCGAAGACGAATTCAGCTTCACCATATGCACCCGCGCCGAGCCTAAAGGATAAGGAGAAGTATGAAGAGAACGTGACCGTTAGCACCCGCTTTCACTTCACGCTTGGGGCGAAACGAGAAGCATGATGAGAGGCAATAAACAGGCGCGAATGGTGAGCAAGACATGTCATCTCACCCGGGGGAGATGAATAGGCACTCAGGGGTGCCGGAAGACTGACTAGCCTGAATGCGTGGGCCTCATTGCACAAATTGCATATGGTGTACAAATGGGGGAAAGGGTCAATAAGCACTTACAAGTTAATAACGATGACTACGAAGAGACAAATGATGATCCAGACGGCATCGTTCACCTTGTGCTTTTCCCAGTAGTCGATGAGCACAGCTGCTGCACTGAGTTCGGCTGGCAATACGATCACCCTATCGAAAAATCAAATTCCGAGGGTTCGAGATCAGCGATCCGTCGAAGAGGATTTTCAAATTCCGATTTAAAGAGGAGGTATATTCAAGATCACCCACAACCTCCCACAACAGATGTGATGGTCATGATGATGATGGAGGAATATGGAATGGAGAGAAGTAGAAAAGGTAAAAAAACCTCTACCCACCAGTTATACCAGTAATTCCACCCCATGGCGAATGAGAAGGCAGGATTGACAAAGCGTTCAGCAAGTTTGATGTGGCCACCGGGGATAGGAAGATAAGCGACCATCTCTCCCAAGGAGATCATGACACAATAGCAAATGGACCCCATGATAGAGTAACCGAGGAGCAGACTGCACACGAACGGCAGGAAACGAGCACGAATAAGGATAGTTGGACCATTGCTAGTTCGATATGCTCACCCTACTGGCCCACCATTTGAGAGCGCACTCCCTGTCCCAAGGAAGAGTCCTGTCCCAATAACACCACCAATACTATAATAAAGGAAAGGGTGTCAAGTCAGGACCTTTGAAATGCAAACATGCGATTACTTACCTTATCATGGCAATATGGCGGGATTTGAGCTGGCGCTTGAGCGTGTCCTCCTGACCATCGGGGATAAACTCCTCGCCATAGCCGAAGTCGGAGGGGGTTCTGTCCTTCTCGGGATCTTTTGGCTGGTACGACATCGTGAAGAGGGCAAGGGAAGCGGGGGATCTAGAGAAGGGGAAGCCCAAGCCATCAAGGTTCTTATAAGCGGGTCTGGTCTATTATTGTTAGTTGATCGGCAATAATACCAGCCAGTCGGAAACGTCTGAGGCTGAAGAGGAATAAAATGCATGCTGCCAACGCGGGAAAAGTCGCACAAAAACATTTTGATCCAGTGCGAAGAGTGAGTCCACGTTATGTGTACCCAACGGTTGGCTGTCGCTGGTCAGATAAAACTGGATGGAATACGACCAAGGGGGGTTGAAGTCAGCATGTGCTGGAACGGATCGGGTGGTCGTTGGAGCCGACGCAATAGCCAAACTAGGAAATGGTGTCGCATGGGATGTCTTATTGATTAGTTACCCCGCGTAACCACATCATTTGCTACCCGTCGTTTGAGGTGTTTTGATTTTCTGGTGTTGGGAGATTAGTGGGACCGGCAACGTCGCATTAACTTTGTAGTACCACGTGATCTAATCTGCGTGCAGAAAGTGGCAAAAAGTCTTTCTCCCGATCCATCATCTCAACAACACTTTTCACTATCAGAAAACATGTAGATAGTCTCTAATCGTCAATATCTCATAGGTTCTGGCTGTTGGAATCACCGATTTCATATGCTCTATCAGCATTGTTTTCTCTGACCGGACCAGGCATATCGATTGCATGTTTGGTGGCCGCAACTAGGGCCACCTCTTTCTCCACTTCCCTGGTCATTTGGATCTTTGTTCATGAAGCCACCTACGAGCATCTAGTTGCTCATCCAATATCTTGCCAGTTACGTTCTTTCCTGCGACATACCCCATTTTTCCCACTCCAGATCATTCCATAGAACCACCACACCTAGAAGATCTTCCTTGCATCTGGCTTTCTCTGCCCTTTCAGCCTCCTTCCTCCGATTTCCCTGTTTTTTCTTGTTGTTTTGTACGGGAACTTCCGATGAATTGAAATATGAGGTGCCAATGATGGGGGCGAAATGAAATTTTTCAACACAAAAACACTCTTCTGGCAATATGAAAATCATCTTAAAATGAGGCTCTCATGAGCGCGTTCCAGGCATTTTTTCTATTTTTGGCCTGGAATATGCCAAAACCTGGATTTTCATACCCATATCTCCATATCTAGCGTGAAAGAAAAAAAATTGGCTGGTTTGTGCTCTTCTTTAACGTTATACGATGACATTTTCTATATATCACTAAACCCCAAAGGTGCAGTAGAGGGAGTTACATCCCCTAACATTTTACCCTTGCTTCGAGACTATGAATTTCCGCACGTGACTGTATCAGGGCAATTGCCTATGGCTTGCCGACCCCCACAATATGTACAATGAAAGATTCGGACAACTCCGTCCGGAAAGCACGGCACTGACCTATATTTCCTTCGATGTACATACAGAAAAATAAACTCAAAAAGCTTCCACCTCCGCACCCTGCGAGTATACTCCAGCATCAGTTTTGGTTAAATGGGGATTTGTAAAGTGAATGTCCTCCCAATGCAGCTGTAAAGCCGCACTCATCAGCCAAACATCTATCTACTTGAAGTTGGGGAATAAATGGACACACGAAACACTCAAATTAATGTTGTCCCCCACCACCATGAAACCAGTAGAGCAAAATCCAGAAAGCCCTTAGAATCTGTTGGAAAGCCCAGAGGATTGCATCATGCTTTCTCTGCCATTTCCGCAGTTGGATATCCCGTTGCAAGTTTGACGAGAAATTAAGTACAAGGGCTTGCATTTCCGACACAGCAGAACGTGGTCACTCAAGTAAGCCGTCCGAAAGCCGCGACAGCAGCGGTATTAATTGGATCTTTCCGAGATCCCCACGTGATCATGCTTGCACAGCCCGGTTTACGGCCCAAGTCACATATCCAGCAACTTCGAAAAAGTCCTTCTGCTCTGTTGTAGATCCGGTCACGCTGACTCTAGCACTTATTCTTTAAAGAGCTTTGACTCATCTACGTCACCATCATCCCCCATCTGTTCTCTTACGCTTTGAGGCCTTTGGACTGTCATACCATTTGATCCTGATGTCCAACGTGCAAGGGAATTGGATACGTACGTCCATTTAATATCTCCTTGCTATGTCATGAGGACAGAGCGTGCGTGCGGGAACACCACATATTTCGAAGAGATCGCGATTTCTGTGAGGCGGTAGTGGTGGGAATGTGCAACGGTGGCAACATCATCCCAAATGCAAAACCGCCACTCTTTATCTCTTGATCTTTGTTGTCATTCGAGCTAACGATCCATCCATTCCCCTAAATTTGCTACAGAACTTGAGAAGCTTGGAGAGGGCACGTATGCAACGGTCTTCAAGGTACACTGTTCAGTAGTTTTCACTATTCGATGGTCTTCCCTTTTATGTCGTTTAAAATGGTTGGGCATGTTTTGAGTGGGTGGCGCAAATCGGAGTGCGCATGCGATGGCACCAGTTCATGTCTTGTCGCTGCCGACGTCACAACCACTCTAAACGCCTTGACCACGTTTCATCCTATCCTCGCTCCTATGGGCCCCATCCGCCTGATCAACCATTTCATGATTTTTCCTTCATTTTTTTCCCTTCAGATCTCACAATCTTTGTACCACCCTAAATATTCTTACCCAAATATAGGGCCGGTCCCGTATTACCAACGAAATAGTCGCCCTTAAAGAAATCCACCTCGACGCAGAAGAAGGGACGCCTTCAACAGCCATCCGCGAGATCTCTTTGCTGAAAGAACTCAAACACATCAACATCCTTCGCCTTCACGATGTCATCCATACTGAAACCAAACTCATTCTGGTTTTCGAATTCTGCGATCAAGATCTAAAACGATATATGGACACAAGAGGTGAAAGAGGAGCGTTGCATCCGGACACTGTTAGAAGCTTTATGTATCAGTTGCTGAAAGGGACGGCATTTTGCCATGCGAATAGAGTGTTGCATAGGGATTTGAAACCTCAAAATCTATTGATCAATAGGAAGGGGGAGTTGAAGTTGGGCGATTTTGGGTTGGCGAGGGCATTTGGTGTACCGGTGAATACGTTTTCGAATGAGGTAAGTAGGAATCCCAGCCGAAAGGTTGATCATTTCATATTCATCCTGTCGCCAAATTTTTTGTTAGGTCGTTACTCTGTGGTATCGTGCCCCCGATGTTCTCCTTGGCAGTCGGACATACTCTACTTCTATCGACGTTTGGTCGTGTGGGTGTATCTTCGCGGAGATGATCTCGGGTGTGCCTCTCTTCAGAGGAAGGGACAACCAGGATCAGCTTTTGAATATCATGAGGATTATCGGCACTCCTGACGATCGAACGCTGGGGAATATTGTTTCTCAATCGGTGAGTTAGGCCGTGGCGTGATCATTTGTTCACTTTCAATTTTTTATTTCGTTTTGTGTTCGGGCGAGGCTTTCCCTCGCGAACCTTACGAAGACCTTTTTAATCTCTCGGCCGTTAAACCCTCTTTAGGAGGAATCTGCGATCGACATTCAACACGAGCAGGTCTTACCAACCTTCGTTCCCTTCATTGGAAGATGGATATTCATTAGGCCCTCAGCCACGGGTGTATGCGGTGGTTGGGGTTGATGAGACTCGACTTCATATCCGACTATTCCCCCCATCACGCATTGCGCTCTTCGTTCACACCAATCCCGTCCGCAGCGGGGGTGTAACTGGCCCTCGCTTGGTCTGTATCTTGTTTAAGAGGATTTCCATTAATTAATTCCCTTTCCATCCGATGGATCTTCCTCTCTTGGTTCATTATTAACATTCCCAATATTAGCCCGAAATCGTCATCAAGACTTTCCCACGATACGCCAAGGTTCCCTTCTCCCAAATTCTTCCCAAAGCATCCCCCCAAGCTCTCGACTTGCTCGATCGTCTTCTGCAATTTGACCCTGCTAAACGGATTACTGCAGCAGATGCACTTCGCCATCCATACTTCACTTCGGCCTTACCCACCCCTCCGTCCATTCCTCAGGGCCTAAATGCGTACGCACCCCCTGGGCCTGTGCCCGGACCCGCGGGTCCGGCTGGACCATCAGCACAAGCTGCAGCACCCGGACAAATGGGACCTCCAGCGGCGTATTATCCACACGGCGGTGGACACCCTCCTCCACCTGGAGCTCATGGCGGTATGCCTCCTCCCCCTGGTCCTGTACCTATGTATCCTGGTTTTGCCCACCCGAGTATGCAGGGGCATGGACACCCCACGGACATGGACACCCTCATGGACATCCTCATGCGCATGGATTAACTGGAGGTGTTGCTGCCCCTGTGGCAATGACCATGGCGAATTTGGCGACCGGGATGCCAGCGCCAGACGTTCAAACCATGGTGTATCAGGTACTTCATTTTTTTTCCCCCGTTATTGTATGGGATGCTGAAAGTTCCCGTCTTTTCTGATTGCGATTCGGTGCGGAGCAGGCTCAACAGCAGCAACAACAGCAACATCCACAAACCTATGCACCACGTGGTGGATATCCTGGAACTGGATACCCAGGCGCTTAATATTCCATCACAGCCTTATGCGCACAACGAGGGCGTTTGAATGAGCAATTGAGATAACGACGATTCTATTTTTACAGGCGAATCACCTAATTAAATGCATCGACGGGCGCGACGCCGAAGCGACCAAGTGGGTTCTCATGGTTGGAAATCTCGAAGTTTGTGCTGGATATACCCTCCTTTCTCCTCCCGTATCCCCGAGTTATCGGGCCACTTTGCTCTGTTCACATACTACCGCCCTGTACTGTATATGTTTTTGCCCATTCTGTATTCCCCCTGCATGACTCAGACGCTTTGACGAGTCTCTGGCTGAGCTTCTTGTCTTTAGCGTGGAATACTGTAATCAACTCTGTAACAACAAGCGAGGTGCGATTTCCTTTGATAACATTTAGGGCCGCAATCGTTCTTCCACACTTGATGATAAATAGAATTCTACACTAGATCCTGGTGCCTACCGCGGTTACTGATCTTCCAGTCGACGTGCTCAGCGTATCATGAAATGCGAAAAGTGATTAACTAATCTATCACATGGATAGGGGTCTCCCATCGCTTCAGTTCATTTGATGAGCTAGCCTAGCTTGAAACATGTCTTCACTGTACGGAATATCGTGTTGTACACACAAAGAATAATGACCCCACAGAGCCTTCGCTTAGGTGGAATCGAAAAATTACTTATGGGTATATCAAAAGATAAGACGAAGGTCAGAACCAATAGCGTTAAATAATCATTGATGGGGTGGCCGTGAGCGACCGGCACCGAGTCTGCTCGGCTGGTAGCCTGGCTGCTATCAAATTCTCTCGAGTGTCTGGGTTGGTTTGTACGAAAGCTCGCTTGAACCAACCCACCGGCCCCGCCTAGCGATTGCGATAGTAGGGTACGCAGGTGATCTGAGGGTTGATAGTCATGAACCGTGACCCATGTACTCACACGCACGACCAACTCCAAATTTAGCGTGACACGATTTTGCCGGATGATGAACCGCAAATGCATTTTTGAACCAACCCTTCACTGAGACCAATGAAACAATATCATGATTATTTGACCTCTCCAAAACTTCAACCTTGGAATGCGAGTTGCACGCGCAATTTGGATGAGGAAATGGCGATTTTCCATTTTTGAATGGAAATATATTACTTTTGAAATACAAACGTGTAGCCATCAGCGGGACCTTTTGTGAGCGTGACGCGTGACAGGTAGTTAAGATTATCGGGATTACTGTACTCACACGACCAACAAACGGTTCCCACGGCCTCCGGGAATTGCCGGAGGCACCCAATCAATTCAGTTGTGTTGATTTTTAATTCAATCCAAGACCTTCGTGTGACGCGTGACCGGTTGTTGGTCGTGTTAGTACTGGGACGTTCGCTAGTTCGGGTGCTGAGGATGATCGATGCTCAGGTTTATTAAGCAGGACTAGAGTGCGAGCACTCTTACATAGATCGATGCGGTACTGCCATACCATAAGGAAAGAATCTGCTTTGGTATTCTATTGTGTGGGAGACAACTAGAAGATGTCTAGCATCACCCGCCACTCTAGCTCTATTCACGGCAAGCCACATTAGAAGATGAGGTGATTATGCAGGTACTTTTACTTACCACAGTTTTTTTTTTTTTCGTTTGCCTCTTTCGTCGCCTCACTTGTAAATCAAGCCGCTACAACGCTAGTCGCTATTCTCTAGCTTCTCACAGGCAAGTGACTTAATTGGATAACAGCCGAGGCGGACGGGACGGCGATGCATTATTATCGACCGCTTGTATGAGCTGAACAGCACGACACACGGCGGCCAGGGGTTGTCGATCCAACGGGCAAAAGGATATATGCACGACCTAAACGGCTACCAAGCTCGACACCGTTCGCACAACGCCACAGTTGACGGACTCTGGTCCGAAGCGGCGTTGGGCACATGGGTACGGTCGCCCTCAGGCCGCATGCCGGTTGGTCACATATGCGAGTTCAATCAAATGATGGCGGAGACATTTACGTTATTTTCTGGGCACAAGGTGATTGACTAACGCAGTTGAACAATGCATCGACAGGATAGGCATTACTACAGTATACAAGTGCGATGTAGATAGCATTAGCGTCCATCCGGTGCAATTGTCCGTATCGCATATATAGCATAACCGGGAAAAACAAGCGAAAGCATTTTGGTCGTGAAAGCTGGATTTTCCTAATACTGTGGTCTGTGCTGATATTGGTGTCCCTGGCCTTCAACCGGCAGGGATGTATGTCCGTCGTCACTTGGGCCTAAGAGTATGGATTATCGGAACAAAGCAGATGACTTGTCAGCGACATGACCCCTAACATGCAAAACGCGCATGAGCCAACAACTCACCGTCCCGGGACGGACCGGGCCCATCTTCATAGTCATAATGATACGGTGAGTGATAATACGTCGAGTCAGCGTTGGGTGGAATATACTGTTCCTCTTGCAGGGGGATGGAGGCTTCGCTGGCTTGCCTTACGTGTGTGTAATCTCCCCTCTCACCTCGTGGTGTCGACTGGCCTTGATTGTCATACGGATCAGTTACAGGGAACGCCCTCGAGTTCCATTCGTTGTTCGTTCGGTTGTTGAGGGGGATGTCGTCTGGACCACCAGCATCGATCGAATAGATCCTAAGGTGTCTCTTGTGGTCTTCAGCTTGGGCGGTCGTATACCACCGGGTAACAACAACAAAATAGAACTAGATGGACCATGAGACGGGTTGTCGGATGGATATGCACAACCTTAATATGACGTTACGTGCCTGGATGATTGCCAGTAAAACCCATAGACCGAGCATAATCCCCACGTCCACCCATGCAAATACACTACAAATGGTGTTACTATGCTCGTCAACTGCTGATGTGCTGTTATTCGATTTATAGAAGTGATCCTGGCATTTAGTCACCGCAGTCTTGTGCCGTCCAGCGGCAAGTCCAATGAAGGCAGCAGCCACTCCAAAAGCGGCTGCGATGACTATCATGTTGAGGCGCTGGTAGGTCTTGAATAATTTGGGTTTATCCTACGGAGATATAACATATCGCCGGGGTATGGCATTGCTAAACGTAGCCCATACTTGCCTTGAAGACCCCTAAGAATCCTATCAGCTGAATTCCAGCAGCTGCATAGCACACGAGGGCAAAAATCCATTTTGCAAACGAAGGAAGATTCGCGCCAACGACTTGACGCCATTGTATCAGTTGGGCGCTTGTGTCCAAGCCTTAGCCACTCACTGGCCGGAGCTGCTATCGAAAGTGTGCCAGCAACTATGCCCACAACCTAGATGGAGGCATGAGGTTCGGAGGGAACAGGAAGAGAGGCTGCCCAGCTAACCATTGACTCGATGAGCACACAGTAAATGCCAAAATTATGCAACGGGATTGCTGCGGATGGCGCAAGTGCAAGTGGTTGTCATTCAGAGAACGTCGAAGCCAAGTGGTGAGTGATGACACAAACCACAACAGCAATATTCATGGATCTTCATCGTTGAAGAGGTGAGTTAAATGGCGCCGACTATCGCGCGCAATCCAGGCCCAAGAAGTAGGCTGGGCAGCAGTGCCTTAGTAGTGACGGAATATTCCGAGGTTTCTTATTTCGGCAACGCAGTTCAAATTCAAACCACAACGGCTCCTATCATGCGCATAGGGTCTCTTGCTGCGCTCTTCATCGTGTCGGCCGCCCAAATTGCCCACGGGGCCTGGACAGATGTGTTTAAGACAAGTAACGATGGACCAGTGACAGTAATGAACAGCTGGTCATACAAGGATTGTGGTACGTCCTGTCCTCATCGCAACTACGATTGCCTCCACTTACAGCTTGACCGCTTCAGGACTTCCCACAGACGTTGTTCAGCTTGAGTCAATACAACTCTCCCCAGACCCCCGGTTCCTGGCGAGGATCTGACAGTCACCGCTGAGGGGACCGTCACAAAGACCATTGAAGTCCGTCCATCTAAACTCATACTGGGGCTTTTTTCCTAATGCGACCTTAGGAGGGCGCATATGCAAATGTCGTTGTCAAGCTTGGCGTGATCAAATTGCTCCAAAAAACGTTCGATGTTTGCGAGGAAGCGTAAGTCCTGACTACTGTTCATTCTATCTCAGGCTGACCAATGGCTTAGGCGCCATAACAACGCTACCATCCAATGTCCTGTTGAGGCAGATCACTATACAGTTGTACAGACCGTCGCTCTTCCTAAGGACATTCCGAAAGGTGGGTCGGGTTGAAGACCTCCACCCTGCTGCGATTATCAGTCTGACTCCAGTACTCAGCCAAATTTTCCGTTGAAGTCCGCGGATACACAAAGGAAGACGAAAATATGTTATGCGTGAACATTTATCTGAACTTTATGAAGCCTATCTTTTAGTAGGCTTGAAGCAGTTCTCTTTTCATACCAGGGCAATGACTCCATATTACCCTCTTTATGTAATATATCCCCTCACTGACTTGTGTCCCTACTATCAAGCTCAACACAGAGATGTCTAGAACGTTACGCATGGACACCGCCCACTGAGAACTTCCCCTTGTGTCTCGGTGATCGTTTCACCGATGCTAGAGTGTACGCAAAGTGTCTTGATTTGTGAACATTTCTGGGGGCTTAAGGACCGTAGAGGCTGCCTAGATGGACCAAATCTCCCCCCACGGTCCACCCGGCTCAAGGAATGAGTGTTGGAGTTTACCAGACCTAGATCGAGTTATTTGAAGTGCTCAAGACGCTTCGGTGTTAGGTTAAAAGCAACCTCTGCACTGTAACGCTCAACGAACGTGGGAACTCTTTTCAAAAACGGAACCCATTCAAATTGTTTTCAATTCAATCCCGGATTTCCTGCCTCATGTCGAAGCGCAAGGCGACTGAACCTGGAAAGGTCGCTACAAGCGAAGCCGTCCCAAAAGTTCGCAAAGATGGAGTCTCCTTAAAACGACCGTCACTTCCCCTCGAGGACCCCGAGATGGGAGAATTTGAGGATGAATGGGAGGACGAATTTGAGGAGGACGAAAATGTTGTCGATCGAACTGCCGATAAGTTAGCAGGCGAGTGTATTTTCATTCCTGCAATATATTTTATCTTACTCATGAGCTTCCATGAATTTAATCCTTTCTTTTAGAGATGGATCTCGAAGACGAAGTGGTTCCACCAATCGAGGACGAGGAACCCCCGGCTCCAAAAAAAAGATTATTCCTCCCGGGGTCGTATGAATTAGAGGATGATGAAGTACTTGAGCCAGATATGTCGGTTTATGAGATGCTTCATCCAATGGGCGTTACATGGTCATGTTTATCGTTCGATGTGCTCCGGGACCACTTGGGCGACCAGAGAGCTCACTACCCTGCTACTGCCTTCATCGTCACTGGTACTCAGACACCCAAAGGGACAGCAAATGAACTCCTCGTCATTAAGATGAGTGGGCTACACAAGAATAGGATGGTCGATGGTGAGTTTTGTTTATCGTTCTTCAGTCATTGTCTGGGTATTTATCAAATTCTTCAGATTCTGACTCTGAAGATTCTGAGGATGAAGATGCAGTGGAGGATGATCCGGTAGTAGAAATGAAATCCATTCCACATACCGGTGGTGTCAATCGAGTGCGTGCCCAAAGCCTTCCACAAACCATTGGTCTGCCACCCGTCTCAAGTCCGTATTATGCCGCCTCGTGGGCAGAAACCGGGAAGGTTCACATTTGGGATGTCCGCCCGCTCATCGAAGCTCTCAATGTACCAGGGCATTTCTTTGACCGGAAAACCCTTAGCAAGGGAGTTTATACCGTGCAATCTCACGGAAAGGCGGAAGGATTTGCAATGGACTGGTCGCCCGTATACCCTAATATGCCCGCCCCACGCCTCCTCACAGGGGACATCCACTCCAAAATCTATCTCACGTCCGCCACTCCCACGGGTTTCAAAACGGATGGTCAAGCCTTTAATTCGCATTCTAGTTCGGTTGAAGATATTCAATGGTCCCCATCGGAGTCGACCGTCTTTGCGTCCTGTTCAGCCGATCAAAGCATTCGGATTTGGGATGTGCGCGTGAAGGGGCGGAAAAGTGTTCTCAATGTTGAAGGGGCTCACGACAGCGACGTAAATGTTATCAGCTGGAATAGAGAGACATCTTACCTTCTGGTCAGTGGAGGGGACGAGGGTAACATCAAAATTTGGGACATGCGAAACTTCAAAGGGTACACCCTTAATCACTTCAAAGAATTGAAATCTATACTGATAATTCATCTGTACTTACAGTGCATCGGCACCAGCTCCTTCACCAGTCGCTTCCTTTGGCTGGCATACTGCACCCATCACATCTATAGAATGGAGCCCGACTGAGGAATCCGCTTTTGCAGCTTCCGGCGCCGACGATCAGATAACTTTGTGGGACCTCTCGGTAGAAGCAGACGACGAGGATGTTGGTGCAAAGGAAATGGTCACGGCGCAAGGCGAGGCAACGAAGACCGTCCCTCCACAGCTGCTGTTTTCTCATCAGGGTCAAAAAGAGATCAAAGAGGTTCATTGGCATCAACAGATTCCCGGGGCAGTGATAAGCACGGCGGCAGAGGGATTTAACGTATTTAAGACAATTTCCTTCTAAACACGACGCGGGGTGTTGCTTTGCGTATGGGTAGTCCTTGCTGATATATATATGGCAAGATACCATTATATGACCAACATCGGGTGACAGGACGTTCAATACATTCCAAGACTGTTATTACCCTTGGGTGAACGTATCTAGAAAGCGATGTCTTGAGCTTGATGGAACACTTGGAGGAATACCTATGTTACCTTTTGAATATTCTTCACCCCCAAAAGACGACGTCATTTACAAGTTTTGGACATTATGGAGAGATGTCCACGCACCTTTTGGAGAATATCAAACAATATTGCATACACATTGCGGACATCGTGCAAGTGTTGTCGAGTCATAAACAGCTGCTTCTCGTCATGATCCCTCAGAGCCAACTGCGTCGACATGATTCGGCATGGTCAAGACACTAATGCTAACACTTACCACGTAATCCTCAACATTTGGATATTTTATTAGTTTTGAACAGATCTTCGCCCTGTTCCCGTGTTGCACACGCATCGTATCTCGAAGTCCATAAGCGCTTTCTTGTGCACGACCTAATTCATTCAGCACCTCTATCGAACGAACGAATAACGGGATAAATCGGGAGTGTTTTAAGGTTGTGGGAGATGTATTACCTTCCTGGATTTGAACCCCTGTAAAGTGAAGTAGACGGTAAAACCGGCGAAACAGGACTATTGGGCTAAGTCAGCACATACCGAAGTTGTCCCCACTAATAGTGGAACGTGAAATGCAATGCATTAGATCTCAGGGCGGGGTGCAAGATTGTATGTCCCTTACTCTTCAATTCTAGAGGTTAAACATATCAGATTAAGAGAAGACCGGGCGGATATCATGCGCCCTGCCTTGGCATAGTCAAATTTATCCATCTGACACAAAGTAAGATGAGCAGGCGAAAGGACGAGGAATGGATTACGCACAGCTTGACTTTGTCCTACTCGCCATTGAATATTAGGACGGCCCGACGTAAGAATAAAGTCACACTTACACATAGTTCTATCAAGGCTTGAAACTCGAGCTTGTTCCTCTCCTGCAACTTTCGGATATGATGGTTGGCAACAACTCTCTGAGGATAAATAGCACCGCCAGAATCCCTGTCTTGAGTTGCCACTGGCTCCCCATTCGAGACATCTCCAACGGAACGTTTCCTTCGCTTTGGATCTGGGGATGAGTTTGATGACGAGGACGTCGGAGGAGGGTACACGGTCACGTCAGTAGTTGTGTGGATGTTTGAAAGGCTGTACTCTGACGACTCCAGATCTGTTTCGGCAATTAATGCTTGTAGCTCGCTAGCAGGCGTGTTGGTATAATTGGGTTTCGGGCGAAGGAAGCGCTTACAGGATCTAAAGACATCCGATAGCGCTTATGAGAGTAGAACCCTTCGGAAACTGACGTGTTTTCCTACCTTCTTCGGTAAAGTTTTAAAGATAAGTTCCTCAGCGGCCAAAGCCACCCCACGATTAAAATCCTGCGAGAGGTGTGAGTACTTATGCAATCTTTGGCAGAAGCACCCGCAGCGTACTTGTATCTTCCCAGACATATCTGGATCAAGGGTCGATTGAGGGACTTGGGGCGGCATGATGCTTTGGCAACTGCGACGTGAGGGCGCAAGTCAATGCTCGATGGTTGTTGACTTCCGAGGACCGTATTGAATAGCGGACTTAACCGCTTCATCGTCCAATTCAATGGGTTGGTCATTGTCCCTTTTGGCTCGCCTTGGTGTTCAACTTTGTGCCTTGGCCCGCATTATTGCTCGCTTTTTTCGCGCTACGGGAGAAGGATAGCCCGCCTGTCGTCTGTCTCTCTAACAATCGTCTCGGAACGCGTCATCTTCTGGGTGTGCACCTTGCAGCGCTTAGGCCGCGCTAATTCTGCACTTGTTCAACTAACATATAGCTAGGATTGGGCACAAGGATTTTGACAACTATGGGAACTGATGTTGGGATTATGGCCGGAGAGGATGATGGGACTCCCTCTCCGTTTGGCAAACCACTCGGTCCCGTCACGATAATCGGGCTGGGAAGAAAATACAAATCATTGGGTAAGAACGAAATACGTCGGACTAACCATTGAGCACGCATGGAGCTGAATGTACCAGGAATTTATGGTGAGGGCTCACGAAGAACCGAGACCATCACCGAGTCCAAGACTATTACTACCACCACTACCGAAATTATTGAAGAAATCACTTGGGAATATGAAGTGTATGATAGGGAGACGCAGACCTCGATAGAACGCACGGACCACAACTTAAGCCCTGACGAGGCACCGGAAGTTACGCATATCCGGGCTGAATGGGCAACATTCAAGGATTTCATCCTGCGTGACTTCCATGCATATGCGGATGTTGATCTTGCTGCAAAGTATACCGCTGAAGGTGCTACTTTTCGGAAACTCTTGAAGCACTATAAAGAAGCTTGCGAGAAAGAGGGCCGGAGGGCTGCAGAAAGTTCTGCCGACCCCAGCGGAGCGCAGGATGGTGACTTTCGGCAACGTTTACTGGACATGATGAATTGGTGCGCTGCCAAAGGTCCCGAGCGTGGTATTGCGAGGCCATATCAAAACAAGATTAAATGGGTCTTGTCCTCTCATGATGATACCCATCCGACTCGGTGTTTGGGAGTGGAGGACCCGGGCTTTTTGCACACCATGGAGGAAGTCTGTCGCTGGTCGGATGTTCTTGTGGTGATGGATATTCAGTCATCTCTCCCCAAACAAATGGGAGCCCCACTCAATGCTGATATCGGTGAAAGTTCTCGCGTGTTGAGGAAGCGGAGCTACGGAGAGGAAGAGGAAAGGGCAAACGATTCGCCTCGAAAGCGCTTGCGCACAGGGGATTCTGAAACAATGGATATTTCACAGCCCATTGGGTCCCCCCTTGATAATCCCGAGACGCCGTCATCGGGTCTTCCTCTACCCACGGCTGACGACAAATTGTCCCAGTATGCCATGGAGGCGTTCTCAGCACTCGGGAATCGGCGGCACGTCCTAGGGATACTTGTCGCAGGCACAAAAGTCCAGTTCCGCTACTATGACCGCGCAGGGACAATATCTTCAACGGATATCGAATTGGAAAAGGACGCTCAAGAATTCGCTGCTGCGGTTATGTGCTTTTCCTTGATGACTCCCCAGTTACTCGGCCGGGAATTACTATTCACCCAAATTCCCAAGTCTGCTCAGACCAATTCGCCATTCGGAACGCTCACTGGTGCCAAGATCCGCGTTGATGGTTTGAAATTTGAAATCGACAAACCCGTCTACGTTTCAAGGGCACTTTTTGGGCGAGGCACAGCAGTGTATCGGGCATTTAATATCACAGACCATCCTCCCATCGACGATGAACAGGCAGATGATGGTGCATATTCCTTCGAGGAAAAAGGCGAAATCTACAAACCAGGCGAGGGTCCACTTCATTCTCATGACGAGGAAGAAGAGTATGAAGAGGAAGGGAACGAAGTTGAGGGAGTTAGAAATAAGTCACCCCCCGGACGTAAGAGGGCTCCGAAGGTTGTCATCATTAAATTATCCTGGCAACCAGTCGACTGTGATAATGAAGCTGAGCTTCTCAAAGATGCCCGAAAAGGACAAGAGCCCTTCTGCACTCCTCACCTCTTTGCTACTCGGGTTGGAGGGAAACTGTCCGATTATGACAGACGCTTTAACCTCCCCGATCCTCTAACAGTTCCTGGTCAATTTGCTGATCGTGTTCTTCGGGTGCAAGTAGTGGGGCCTGTCTTGAGGCCTCTCTACACGTGTCAAGATAATTGGAAAGAAGTACTACTGAGCATCCTTGATGGTGAGTGAGCACTCGCTCCACCTCGTGCCACTTTGCTAATCGCTTCGACCGCTCACCCAGGCCATCATGAGCTGTTCGAGAACCTCGGGATTCTACATCGAGACATCAGCGTCAACAACCTCATGTACGATCCTAACGAACCTGAGTATGGCTATCTCATTGATTTGGACCGCGCCGAACGAGTTATGGATGTGGAAACCAAGACAATGCTTACTCGCAATCCATGTCCGCCTGTCGGGACCAAGGCGTTCCTCTCAATAGAGCTATGCACGGACAAACCTGTTCTTCATCTTTATCGTCATGACTTGGAGTCTTTCTTCTATGTGCTGGCTTGGCTTTTGTCGCGCTATAGGGATGGGAAACGCACCAACTCCCAAGCGTTTTCCGAGTGGGGAACAGGCGATTGGGACACTGTCAAAAAGCAGAAGCAATCCATGTTCTCGTCGGAATATAAATATCCTGAGGACGTACCATCATGGGCAACTGCGAGGTGGCTGATTCCCTTGGGCAAGCTTTTCGAAGCCGGGTATGCAGCTAAGGAAAAGGCTGTAAATGAGGGGACGCTGGCGGACTTCGATGACGAGACGTTGGGAGGGCATGTGACTTTCGACGGTTTTAATGCCGTCCTTCATCGTGATGATTAGCGGCGACGGAGGGATGTGGTGCCAGTGCTTGAAGACTAAAATCTATTTATTGAGACGGTTTCATCTGCTCATCTTTGTGCTTGTTTCTAGGATGTTTGTATTATTGTATTGGATGTGTATAATCTCGCTTCTATTCCTTGTTGCTCTAGTAATGTTACGAAGTCATAGAGGTTGGAGTTCTGCCTAAGGAGTGCGGTCGTTGACAATTCTGGGTGGTTCAACAGTGCAGGGCAATACAAAATGAATAAATTGTTGGACCAAATAAGTAGGTCTGAATTAGCGTCCGTTATGCCACCCAGGCGTCCCACTAGCGATCGTTCCTTAGCACTTGACGAACCACCCGCTAGGAAACGTCCCATTGACGATGATGATGATTTATCTCCGGCGAAGAGAACTCGAAGCAGTGGTATTCCGCCTTTAGAAATCTTAATAGAGGGAGCTCCCGGCGCTACGCCCTCATCACTCAAACCAAAGCGAAGGAGGCTGAAGAAGGAAGAAAATGAGATGACTGAGAAGAAAGGGAACGAGTAAGCTGAGAAGGCGTCGTCTATTCAAGCTCATTCATATGCTTCTGTGTAGATCCACGTCGAAATGCGCATCACCCATGGTGAAACGCGCACGAGGACAACCAACCAAAACATCTCCTTCTTGTCGTATGGTTATAGAATCTGTCGAGATAAGCTCTCCACTTCCGCAGTTGACTTCGCTCTCTCTGCATTCTAGAAACGGTGAGCTGAAGCATCTGGTTTCAAAACGCTGAACGAACGGCTTTCTTTCCAGCGCCTCACTCCCCGTCGCGGGTTCGGCTTGTGGAGCCAGATGATGACGACGAAGATGAGTTCAACCTCCGTCCTAAAAGGAGAGTAGTTCGCAAACCTGTCGAAAGTCCCGACGTCGATCCCTTGTCTGCTTCACCTCAATTCCCCTCTCCCCCCGGAAAGGGATCCTCAAGGGGTACGATCGTGGATCGAGATCGACTCTCACAAAGGACTCGCGAGTTCGACAACAGCAGAACTTGCCATCGTCCCCTCCATCCCTCGATACTCCCAAGGAGGTTTTTGAACCTGCGTCATTTATTCAACGCAAGAAAGGTCTGCGTGATAAGGGCGCCGTAGCCACAGATGAGCTGCACTCGCCGTCTTTTCGACACGATTCCGGCAACATTCTACCCGCAATGCATGAAGAGCCCCGAGTCGTTCAGGACTCGGGTCGTCATCGACTTCGAAATCCCCACAGTCTGGAATGCTCAAACGAAAGTCAGTTAACGGTTCGGACTATGAAGGCTACAAGTTCTCCCACTAGGCTGGGACTGAATTCCGTACGAGGTCAAGGCACTCCTCGGTCGCAAAATAAAATGGTAACTAGCACCGACGCTTTGTTGACTGCTCAAAAACGAGCCTGTTTAGCAGCCTTAAGGACCCCTTCCCTCTTTGAACCAGAGGCAGACGATGTGAATGCTATGTCGATGGAGACTCTTCTGCAGCTTCTGCAAGGGACCGTCTATCGTGGCGAAGGAAATAGTTGCCTTGTACTCGGCCCACGCGAGAGCGGTAAGACAAGGGTGAATGCTAATGAGATGGTTTCATGAAAATTGCGGCTAAGTTGAACATCCGCTAGATGGTCGAAGAAACGATATGTTCCCTGGAGGGAAATGCTCAGGACTCTTCGTCCTCACGCGGCTCATCCAAAACTCCGATTGTTATTCGTCTTTCAGGCCACACTCACTTGAATGATAAGCTTGCCTTGAATGAGATTGGCCGTCAGATTTATCTTCAGACGGGCTCGTCTCAACTGGCCGCTGCAGATGATGGAGATTTGGACCCTAGTCACGACTTCGAAGATGAGCCCGCTCTGGGTTCTCGACTAGCTTCCATCTTGGTTCGTTGGTTCTCACCATCAATACCCCAGTACTGATGCGGCCATAGCCACCCCCCGCCCTGCTTCCCACTCTTGTCACTACTATGGCATCTCTTCCACGGCCTACTATTGTCATATTAGATGCATTTGACCTCTTTATGGCACATGCTCGCCAAGCCCTCTTATATTGTTTGTTGGATACAGTGCAAAGCTGCCGGGCGGGCGAGGGCCGGAACGGTGTTGCCGTTATTGGGGTCACTTCACGAGTCGTAAGCATTGTGTGTATAATCCGCGCGCTACATTGGAAGTTAAATTCCTTTCCCTAGGATTGTCTCAATCTGCTCGAGAAGCGAGTGAAGTCTAGATTCTCTCATCGGATTATCAAATGGTCGCCTCCCTGTTCCACAAACACATATACTCGTTACGTAATGACAATGCTGAAAGTCCCAATTAATCCCATGGATGAGAAAGCAGCAGACATGGTCAAGGACCCAGACGGAGAGCTTGAGGATTGGAGGAATCGTTGGGACAATAGTGTAGATGTTCGTACGCATTCTATTCATGCCGGGCACTCTGTTGACCTCCCGATCTTCAGAGTGTTCTCAATTCAAAATCCACTCAGTTGGTTTTGAAGCAGACCTTTGAGCTCATACGGAGCCTGGCACCTATATGTCGAATTTTTGTGAGTGGTCCCTTGTCGATATAGACTAGGAGGTCCCTCAGAACGTTCCCGCAGACCGCCGCACTTTTGGACCTCAACCGGGATAACCTATATCTTACCCCAGAGTTAATTCTGGCCCACTCGAAGATGCAGCGGAGTCCCGACCGGTTTCCATTCCTTTATGGTACGTCATTTTGATACTCCAGCCTAAGCTATTGCTTTGACATGGTCAGTGAACAGATTTATCTTATCCATGTTTGGGGCTGCTTATTGCGTCTGAGCATGCTCGGACAGCTGGTCACGATGCTTTCACATTTGAGTACCTCTTTGACCTATACACACGGGCGGCGAAGCAGTCTGCTAGTCTAAACGTCAGCCTCGACGGAGTGTCTATTGGTCTCCTCCAGCTTTCTAGGGAGATTCTCACTGGGGCGAGTCGAATTCATATCCGTTTGCGCTCTAGCTGACCGTCCTAGTCAGGCCTGCGATGACCTTATCACTTTGCGGATTTTCCTGCCATCTGGACCAACTTCTACCAGCACGTCGCGTCAGTACATAAAATACCGGTGCGAAGCCACAAAGGAAGAAGTACGTAATGCTGTGGAAAGGCGCGCGAATACCCAACTCAAAAGGTGGTTGCAAAAACCTGCATAGCTGCACAGTACTTGTATACATTATTATTATGGCTACTATTGTACATTATAACTTCACGCCATCACTGTCCTCATCTTCGTCTGCATTCACCCGTAATACTTTGACCCATTCTCGGTAATTGAAGTACCCTTGACGATCTGTGAATGGCCCTTTCAATAGTTTGTCGATCTGCAATAAATGACACTTTAACGTTTCGTTCTTCGGATGACAATTGAGAATCGCACCTCAGTGTGGTCCATCCGGTCCCCGACTTCGCTTAGCCATTTGCGTATCTCATCGCATTTAACCTTGCCATCATCGTTCTCATCGAATGATTCAAAGGCCTCCAGTAATTCGGCTTCCGAATCGAGTTCTAGCAGATGCTCTCCCATCATCGTTAAAAACATGGTGAAGTTGACACCTTTCGTTTTTCCCTCATTGAACGCTCCTGCACCCTGACCAGGACGTGCGTTCAGTAAGTCGTCCAGCATTTTTTTGCTGGGCACGATACCTGTCAGTAAGAAAATTAGAGAGTGATGGCTTCAAAAGGCCTAAGCACCAACCTAGGCTCCCAAACATAGCCAAGAGATCCGGTTCAGTGACGATTCCGTCCCCGTCTTGGTCAACTAAGCTAAACGCCTCCTTAAACTGTTGGACTTGTAGAGGTTGAAATAGAGAAAATACGCCTGATGGCTCGCGACGAACTCGGGTCTTCTTCCCCCCAGGAGAGAGGAATCCTGAAGACCTTGAGGCTGATAGGGCATTAGGATACGACATGCGGTTAGGGAGATATCCAACGACTCGCGCCATCAACAAACCACAACAATTCACGCGTCTTTCTGTTTCCGATCCTCAGATATCACGCTGACTTGATCCCGTCCATGTCAAATCCAAAGTCATTCTCAGCTCAGGGGCGTGGTCTCAAGTTTGAGACGAAAGCCGACATTGAACCATACCTAAAACAAATCAAAGATATCGACGGGATCGAAGAAATTCATTTAGGCGGCAACACATTCGGGACAGAACCGTGCATTGCACTTGCGGAGACCCTCAAAGGGGTTAATACGCTCAAAGTAAGCACAAATTACCCTGGTCTGCGTTGGCAATTGCTCAAGCGCGATATTCAGGTCGCTGATCTTGCAGACATATTCACTGGGCGTCTCATCTCCGAAATACCACCTGCCCTCCAAGCGATCTGTGATGCCCTCACACCCATGACGTCTTTGGTCGAGCTTGATCTCAGCGACAATGCGTTCGGCGGCCGATCGGCTGAGCCAATGGTCAATTTCCTCACCAATAATCGCTCGTTCCAGATCCTCAAATTGAACAACAATGGGCTTGGTGTATGGGGTGGTACAACTGTAGCTAGCGCACTTCTGGAATCTGCCAAGCTATACCGGAAGGAGGGGAAGATCTCGAACCTTCGTGTTGTTGTATGTGGGCGTAATCGTCTCGAGAACGGCTCAGCACCACATTGGGCAGAGGCCTTCGCTGCTCATGGGACACTAAAAGAAGTAAGGCTGCCTCAAAACGGTATCCAAGTGGAGGGCATAACGGCCATTGCCCAAGGGTTGGCAAAGTGTCCCAATTTAGAAAGTCTTGATCTGCAAGACAACACTGCGAAGGAGAATGGGACGCGTGCTGTCGCCGTAGCCCTTGCAAAATGGCCAAATCTCCGCTCGCTCAATCTTTCGGATTGTCTGCTTTCCACGCGGGGTTCTTATGCACTAGCATCAGCCTTGGGCAGGGGACATACCCCTAAGCTCGAAACTTTGCGGTTACAGTACGGCGAGATGAATGCCACAGGAATCAACGTTCTGGCACAAGCAATTTCCGATCACCTACCAAATCTCGTTACACTAGAACTCAACGGAAACAAAGCGAACCCAGAGGATGAGTGCTTCACGAACGTAAGGGATGCGCTCGAATGCCATAACCATGGTGATGCATTGGATGATTTGGACGACATGGAGGACTCGGATGAGGAAGAAGAAGAGGAGCATCCAGCGGTGGCAGTGGCTGAGGAATTGGATGCGGCTGAGGCTGAGAAGGGGCAAGCTGCTGCAACGGAAGATCCTGCAGATGAGTTAGCAGCCATCCTGAATAGGGTTCAGTTGGGATGAGGATGAAATGGCCGGCATGGCGTAGAGTACACCGTATAATAGGAACATAGGGTGACAAGATTATAGTTCATATTCTGCGGACATCAATGTGTGTGATAAGCAAAATCTCACAAACAGCTGCCACTGCAGTCACCAGTTTGCGGAGACAGCCTGCGTCACTTATAAATTCGCGGTTGTCGCCTTTTGGTGCCCATCCGGTTGCACACAAGCGTATGGATACTGGGGAAAGGGGGCTTTTCTTTTTCTTTTTTTGTGGAACCACTGTAGCTTTCGCGGTGTGCATGTGGTGACCTACACTGAGGTTTATCTGTCGAGGAGGGTTCCCCGATGTTGCCATGAGTGTATGTTACGTTCGCCGTGGGTATCGATGCTATTGTCAGCTCACTTTGAACTGCCACGACAATGCATTTACGCACTCTGGGCTTCTTACCCTGTCGCTTCTGTATTTCCGTATGGCACCTCTCCAATGGGACTGAACCTATTGGAGCACGAACTATCGAACAATTCCAGGACTAGGACGACTGCTCCAGCGTGCTCAATCGGAGCGAGAGCAAACAGAGGCTGCATTCAAGGTGCCCACGTACTCAGAAACTTCCATTGCAAGCTCTATCTCCGATTCAACGAACCATCCTCGATCCCTTTGTCGTAAAGTTACTGGGCTGGGCTTAATATACCGCAGTATAAACCTTGTTCTATTGAGCTGGGCCGAATACGGCAACTGAGCAAGCTATCTATGTACGAGAGGCTGTACCCTATGCGCGAGAGGTTGCAGCAAGTCGAAGCCGCTCGTTTCATGGTTTGGTGGTTTAATAGTAAGAAAATCCCTCCGAATTCAATGGTGGTTCCAAGTATAGCCGATGAGACCAATGGAATGCGGTTGGGAACTGCCCGGCCGTGAAGAGTACTCTGACGACAGCCGCGGTTCGTATTGGGGTGATGCAGCAATTAACTGCAACTTCAAAGGTTTATCATTTTCGAGGATTGGAGCATCTTCGAGCCTGGACTTAGTGTGGAAAGTAGCGTTCAGGTCCAAACGATCAACGGCTTGTTCCCATAAATAATCAACACATGCATCAATAACGATTCAAAGGGTATACTCGCCTTAGGCGCCAAGTAAGTTCAAGAATGTCCGGTCGCTTCTCTGGTTCACGTTCGAAACAAAGGGAGAGAACCATTCCAAAGTCATCTTGATCCATTCCAGCATATGGCAGTTGCGTATCGATGACGGAGGGTATTTGGATATCACGCTTTATCCAGTGAAAAGGGGGTTTATTGGTGAGGATCTGTTTTTTAGGTGAGTGGAATTACCTTAAGTCAATATTCAAAACGCTCACTTCGGTCGCTGTGCATCCAAATGCCCAGATATCGCTCGCTTCATTCCGTTCAATGGAAATGACGCTAAACAATTCGGGTGATGCATAGCGAGGGGTGCCGGCGATGGTTGATGTATGCGCACGTGTTGTTGCATCATCGAGAATGGAAGATAAACCAAAATCGCAGAGACGTGCAACAGCCTTGGTTTCCGTTGATACAACGATATTTGCCTGTGGTGGTGTGGAAGGACCTAAGATCATGAATAGGGTAGATAGACGATTACGCACAGGTTTGATGTCACCGTGGATGACGCCCTGGGAGTGCAAGTAGACCAGTCCCTGACTGACGTCGTAAACCTGTGCCAGGGTCCTCAGCTGTTTAGCGGGGCGGTTGATTCAAAACACGTGCTATGAAACTTACCAAGCCTCGTCGATCTGCGTCTGTTTGTTTTGCAAGGTATTCCTTGACATTCCCATCACTGCACCAAGCCGATATCAAGCACACTGTTAAGGTGTCTTCGCAAACTTTTGATGTCCAACCGATAAACTTTACTACGTTTCGGTGCTCCAGACCATGCCATATTTTCACCTCGCGCTTGAGCAACTATTTAAAGTAATGAGTCAATCAGTCGATGAGAAGCTATTAAAGCTTACTCTAAGGAACCGTTTCCATGGACCTGACTCCGAAATAGTTACCACGGTGCTAAGCTCTTTCACGCAGACAAAATCTCCGGTAGCCTGCATATATTTAAGTTTGAAAAGTCAGACATCCCTTTAAAGCACCAGTGACACGACACATTAACGTACAGTCCCTACGCGTTTCCCCATGTAGACATCCCCAAAGCTGCCTCGGCCCTTACGCCGTCTATGATCATAATTGATGTTGCCTTCGAGATTGGGTGATTGTATCTTCGCAAGCTCTGTGCAGAGCAGGTTGTGTGCAGTCGTCGCGTTCATCTCTGCCATCGCATTAGGTGCACCTTGAGAGCCCAACAACGGTGGGTCCTGTAGTTGAAGTGATCATGGGGGTTGAAAGTTCATGGGCATCCGTACAACCTAAAAGATGATTCATCCTCACCTCAACATCATTTGTAACTGGGATATTAGTTTGCCTGATGTCATGCATCAACGAAGGGCTGGGGGGCCCTTCTTCTGAGCCAGCCACATGAGGAATGATGCTAAAGAACTCGTCCTTCACGGTCTTATCGGGATCCAGGAGAGCCACGGAACTAGGTGTGTAATCTCTAAGTCGGGGGTCCAAATCCAGGGTATCTGAGGCGGGCGTCGAAAATAGAGAGGGGGGGTTGAGTTCGAGGCTAGGCTCCGGAGATGCCACTGTTTCAAAGCCGTATGCAGGAGAGGCTGCAGGAGCCGACACATCACTTAGCTCAAGCGGGTACTGGGGTAAGGCTTCCTGGTGTTGGGATGACTGGACAGCTATGGTATGGATCAGGCTCAACACTGCCTGTTCCAGTAAATATGAAAACCTCTTGGTCGCGGGTAATGGGTCTGTGAACTAAGCCATTGAGATCAACTATGGGACGATTGCATTTTGGCGCTTACGGTGAGCACTGCGGGACGTTGAAGTGCAAAGAGCCATGCGAATTTCCTTGCGAGCAGCATGACAGGTCCAGTGACTCTACGTATGATTACTGAGCCACGGTTGCAGTTTGCGACCGGCTAAGGAAATCTCACCCTCATCTTAGATGGGATAGGCCCCATGCTGTTATGGCACTGCACCCGGAAAAGGTTGCAGTCAGTGCAGGAGCCAGTGCTTCCGTGGAGGCGCACGCATCTCTAAGGGATGGTAAGGCGCGAAGGAAGGTTGTTGAAAATCAGCGCCACACCTTTCCTCTGAGACGGCATACCAGGCACGCTGTCATCCTCCTCCGAGCAACGGCAGTGGTAACTGGGGCTGACAACATGGCAGGCCTGGATATTTATTTGAAGGTTGGTTGAAGGCGAGGAGTTTAAGCCAGCTGAAAATTTTATACCATCTGAATCCCTCCCACTGTCGCTGCACGCAACCGCGCCAGGTCAAGTGACCTTAGATTTGGGTGGGAATTTCCACTGTTTGATTGCTGTTTGCCACATCATGCAGCCGCCATGTCGACCGACGCCGAGGAAGCTTAGAAACGTCATGCAAGAATCCCTTCTTTCATAACGGAGAAAGACTAATCAACGTGAACTGTGCCCCCTAGGTACGGTTTTCGCTGTGTCTCATCCTCCAATCTGCCTCGCCCTCGTTTGAACTATAGGGCCATAATTAAGAACCCGGCATCGAAGCAGGAGAATGCTCATAGGAGGCGGTCCAAAGCAGCTGATGATGCAGTTTGGAAAGTGGTGAGCCTACACAAGGAAGCCGTCGAATTGCGCCGGTCTCTGGATGACAAGAGACAAGAGCGGAGCAGAATTGGGTACCAGTTTGGGCATGATTTATCCACACTTGACAAATCAATAAAATATGCGAAGACTCTCAAAGACGTGATTCATTCGCTCGAGGCCCGTGTCGCCGCTATTGACGCGGAACTCTTCGCCACCGCCAATTCGTTGCCAAATGACACACATCCGTCGACGCCTATTGGCCCAGAATCACAGTCCCTCATCATTTCCGCGCATGGACCACCCCCCATGGATCCTTCCACCAGTCGAGATCATATGCGCATTGCGTGCGCATTTGACTGGGTTGATTTTGAGTCCGGCGCTTCGGTCACTGGTTCATCGTGGTATTACCTTCGTAATGAGTGCGCGTTGCTCGAACTAGCCCTTATAAACTACGCAATATCTGTTGCTGTCCGGGCCGGGTTCTCACCCGTCACTGTACCCGATGTTGTCAAGAGTGACATTGCAGATCGCTGCGGATTTCATCCACGGGACCAGGATGGCGTGTCGCAGAATTATCACTTGGGACAACAAGGAAGCGAACCACCTCTGGTCTTGTCAGGGACAGCAGAAATTCCCCTTGCTGGGATGTTTGCTCAGCGTATTTTCAAGGAAAAAGAACTTCCTCTCAGGATTGTGGGATTGGGACATGCCTTCCGAGCTGAGGCTGGGGCCAGAGGTGCAGATACGAGGGGCTTGTACCGTGTTCACCAATTCACTAAAGTCGAGTTATTTGCCGTGACGCGGGAGGAGGAGAGTGAAGACATGATGAATGAGATGATAAATGTACAACGGCGGATATTCGAAGGTCTCAACCTTCCGTTTAGGTACATATGGTCATCTATCCGTGGATCGTGTTGTCTAATTGAGGTCGTAGGGTACTAGAAATGCCCTCGGAGGAGCTGGGATCAAGCGCATACCGGAAGTGTGATATGGAAGCCTGGATGCCTGGCCGTGGCTCATGGGGCGAGGTCAGAGATGCTCCACCCTGTTATGTTTCCCTGCTAATGATACCCCGAGTAGATCTCTTCGACGTCAAATTGTACCGACTATCAAGCCCGCAGATTACATATACTACACAAGCCTGCTAAGCCTAATGATTCTCCACCGTCTCCACTGCCCTTTGCCCACACTCTCAATGGGACAGCAGCTGCCATTCCTCGCTTGATTATTGCATTGCTAGAAAATAACGTGCGATTTGGGTCGCACGGTGAAATTGTCGGCGTTGATCTTCCCCGGTGTCTTTTGCCTTTCTGGATTGGAGATGTTGGAGATCGGGTAGACTTTGTTTGATGATATCACGGGAATTCCAGGTCAGGTGTGAATGTTGTCATAACGCCACAAATGAGAATTGAATTCCACGCGACCCCTTACTTCCGCATCGCTCACATCTTCTCTAGTCGCTTCTAGCCTTTTATTTTTCATGAGTGTCCTAGGGAAGGTGGTCCATGACAAACTCAATGCAATGATCAGTGGCGATAAGCCTCATGTTGGTCCAGTCACTGATATAATTACCGCATTACATGCCGGCTCACATCGGCGTCAAAGTCGTCTATTAGCGATTGGATCGAAATACTTTCTTCTTCACGCTACACTGAAGACGATTATGAAGGGTATGACTTCGAATGAGAGCTGAAATCGACACTGGGTGGTAACATACTGTCATCCGCAGCATCATCGAACTCGTTGAATCGATCAATTTACAGCCTACAGGGTGCGTTTTGCATCCAAGCAACACTTATACTCGTGTTTATAGTGCTCTTTGATTAGTCCAACTGAGGCGTCGAGAGCGATTCGCAAGAAATTGAAATACGGGGATGTTCACCGGCAACTGAGAGCCTTGACCATTTTGAAAGCTTTGGTCGAGAATTGTGGGACCAAGTTTCAAAGTGAGCACAACCATTAGACCTGTGTAGCAGTGCGCCACGTTATCTTACCCAGTTCGCGGCTCATAGCCAGTTTCGCAAATGATCGACTCACCGAACGCATCAAGTCGATGGCGTCCGATCCCATGACAGATGAGCAAGTCAAGAAGAAACTCATGTCAGTGCTTGCGAGCTGGTACAGACAATTCAAGGATGATCCTAAGATGTCACTTGTTGCTGGTTTATACCATTCATGTGGAGGCGGATCAGGAAAGAAGGTATGCATTCCCAGTGCATTGTGCTCCCGTCAAGCCTCGACTTGTGTTCGATCAGGCCGCGAGGTCCCCTTATAGCCCCGGCTCGCATTCAAATTTTGAGCTGCAACAGAAAAAGGCCAAGGAGGCGGCGAAACTCCAGGAAGAACGCCGGTTGAAGGGACTCCGCGAAAAGGAGGAGGCGAAGCGGAAGGCAAAAGAGGAAAAGAAGAAGCAAGCTACTTCCCAAAACACGAAACGGAAACCTTTCAACTTTGAGCAGGTGCGGGAGAGATGGCTATTTGTCGCCTTGTGACTCACTAGAAGTTACCAGGAGAAACCCCAGATAGTTTCCTCTATCTCAACAGCCTCACAGGCATCAAATAATCTCGTCAATGCCCTGAAGGTTCGCAGGACCGTATTGCTAGCCCGACGTCGCCTGATTTTTACTATAGCTAGTAAATCGAGAGCAAGAGTCAATAGAGAGAAACGCTCGAGTTCAGGAATATCTCGCCCAAGCTAAGGCGGCGGGAAAGGTAATAGTTCGCTATATACAGGTGTGTAAGCAGGGATTCTATATCTCTGATCGCATTTCTAATTTATCTTCAGCTGGTTGAAAATGAAGAATATATAGGAACGCTCATCGATTCTAACGAGAGAGTCATCGCGGCTCTTGAGTTTTATGATCATGTGGGTTCTCCACAGAAGTCCTCTGGATGCTGTTGACATTGGCACGATTCAAGATGCTCAAAGGGGCAGATCAGGACTCCGATGATTCTGACTTGGCGAATAAGATGGACAGAGTTTCGGTGTCGGAATCGGAGATATCCAAGAGGCAAGACAAACAGCGAGCGAAAGAACGTAATGACTCTATGGACAACCTCTTCAATGGCACTCCTGGCAGAGGGGTTACTCTGCATCCTGATCTGCAGGACTTGACATTTGGCGAGCTTGGGGCATCTCAGACGTAAGGAGTCATGTTTTGTGACCATTTGCCATGCCTCAACTTCTTTGTATTAGAGCTCTACCACCGCCTATGAGACCCGACGCAACTGTTGGCGACAACGATCACGATGTGTACGATCAACGAGGCACTCTCTCCGATTACAGTGACTATGTCTCCTCAGATGAGGAAACCCCAAATGCCAATGTGGTAGCTGCAGCAAGGCCTAGCAACAGCAACTCACATGACTACCATGCGCCGGACCCAACGATACCGATCGATTCGACGGGCGGCAAAGATGCTCTTATTGATTTCAGCGATGATCCTTTTGCCGATCCCACCGATGTCTCCGCATCCGCCGTTCGACCAGTTGAGCAACGCGTGTTTTTATCGATTTCTAGGCGTTGAGTTTGCAGTACTGTATGCTGGTTTATATTTTTTCAGTAATGTGTAACTAATTGTATGCTCACCCCGCGAGCCATTTTGGATTGTAACTGCTGGAGCATAATCATCGCCGCTTCACATTAAATCCCTCCGCCAAATAAACTCGCCAATATCATCAATATTCCGTGTTTGTGTGTACGGCAGGAAGCACGAATTCTAAGGCACGTGACGTGCACTAGGAGCTTCCTAGTTTTGAATTTGACGCGTCAAGTCGCGCCATACCTCTACGACGCGACATCTTCCCAAAACCGCGTCTTTTGTATAACTATGTTAAAGAATACGTCCAACGGCGCCAATGGCACTCGTGGAATTTTGTCTTATTTCGCCAAAACCAACGGGGTCGAGGATGAAGAGATGAAGGATGCATGTACGTCGAACGACGGCGACCCATGTTGTAATCCAATGTCGGAGGTCACTACGACAGATGGAGATGTAGGAAATCTATCCGACTCTTCAGAAGCTCCAGAAGTGCCCAGGGCGGTCCCAACACAGAAAAGGACTACCAAACCACCTGGCGCCTCTTCAAATCGTGCATTTATGTCAGCAGACAAATCGCCTCTTGCTTCCCAGCTACCCCCCATCAGCTCCATTCCTGACATGTTTCGTGACATCGTTGCACGTCTTCCCGAGCTGACGGCCTTCGCGAAGAAAATTGAAGGTCGACCACTGCGCGTCGCTACCATGTGTTCAGGAACTGAGTCTCCCTTGCTTGCTTTGGGTCTCATATCCCGTTTCCTAAAGGAGGATCAACGTGTCAATTTACAAATTGAACACGTCTTCTCCTGTGAAATCGAGCCTTTCAAACAAGCCTACATCGAACGTAATTTCAACCCTCCAATACTATTCAGGGACGTCTGTGAGCTTGGCGAGGAATATGCGTACGTGGAAATCTCATTGAACGTGTTTTGAATGCGTTCATACTTGATCTCATCTAGAACTACTGCCTATGGAGCAAAGGCTGAGGTTCCTGGCAACGTCGACGTGCTCATCGCTGGGACTTCCTGCGTAGATTATTCGACCTTGAATAATTCTCAACAAGATATAGACGCAAATGGGGAGTCTGGTCGCACCTTCCGGGGCATGTTATCTTGGGTTGCCCGTCATCGGCCATCCATCGTTCTCTTGGAAAATGTGTGCGGTGCACCCTGGGATCGCGTGGTTGAGAAGTTCGAAAAGGTTGATTACAGTGCTAAGCACATACGACTCGATACCAAGAATTACTACATTCCTCACACTCGCTCCCGCGGTTATTTGGTCGCGATTAATGGACTTCGCCACTCGCAGTGGCCAGTGCAATGGGAGAAGAAGGTCATCCAGATGTCACGGCCAACGAGTTCAACGCTCGATGCGTTCCTGCTTGCCACCGATGACCCTCGGATCCATATTGCGAGAAAGAAGCTTGTTCACGAAGCACTAGCGTACGAGCGTAAAACTGGTTATGATTGGGGCAAATGTGAATCGAGACACCAGAAAGCCCGGCATGAGGAGCAGCTTGGGAATCGTCGACCACTAACCGGATGGGAGGAAGGTGAATAATTTGTGTTTCGGATAAATTTGGACTCTAATATCTTGTCTTAAGGTGGGACGGCTAAGATGCCCACCTTCTGCTGGAATGACTGGTGTGCTGCCCAGGTGGACCGAGTCTGGGACTTGATGGACGTCACCACTCTTCGTGCAGCTGCTCTGGGGAAAGATCCTCTCTACAAGACGTAAGCGTATCCGTGAATAGTTCCATGGCGTCCGATCTAAGCTTTGTTCTGCCTGTACCTAGCGAAGTGTGGAATCTTTCGCAAAATGTTGACAGACAGATCGGAAGCTCGCGCATAGGCATTGCGCCTTGTCTGACGCCGACGATGATTCCTTATATCACCAACCGTGGAGGGCCGATGGTGGGTATGGAAGCCCTCGGTCTTCAAGGTCTACCCGTCGATGAGCTTCTGTTAACTCGAGAGACAGAAGATCAATTGGCTGACCTCGCTGGGAACGCGATGTCATCTACTGTCGTCGGAACAGCCGTAGCCGTCGCCCTTGTAGTCGCGGAAAAACTGTTCCCGGCAACCAGTCAAAACAATGATGATGCAATGGAGGTTGACGGCGTGCCCCAGCCCAAGGCTACTCACGACAACGGTAACGTGGATGACGATAATGCCATAGAAGGAGATGACGAGTTATCTCAAACTACTTTGGATCTTGGGGATTCGAAGATCGAGTCCCTTCCCGTTCTACTCTCTAATGCTCTCGCTAGCATCCGCATTTGCGAATGCGAGGGTCGAGATGATGTTGTTGCGCGTCCTGTCTTGCGGTGCGTCGATTGCGGGGGCACTGCGTGTATTAAATGTGCCGGCAGACCCGAACACAACTATGTTCCCATTGACATAGAGAAAGAGCCTCGTTCGAGGCCAGCAGATTTCCGCAGAGTTCTAAGAGAGCAGCTTCCAATGTCTGTTACTATCCATGGTGTATCTATGGACTTGCTCGAAAAGACTCAAGCTGGGTTATCGAGTGAAGTGACCAAGGTCTCTGAAACACTGTGGGTCGCATATAAGGAGGCTGTTTCATCGATCCTGTCTGCAGACCTGATGTTCCGCGAAGACAAACGGCAAGAAACATGGACGGTCGTCTATGAGTCCTCGCACGCTTTATTAGAAGTTCATCTTCATCACATCCGCTCTCAGCTGCTCTTATATGCCAAAGCATCACCTTCGATCCCTGCAAACAGTCCGATACGTGAAATGTTGATGCATCCTGTTGCCCGTTTGGTCTGCAACGGAGGTTTGCTTTCAGGAGAATGGGAACTGGCTATTCCAGTGTCACACAGCGTCGAGATCACGGTCGAAGGGAAGGGGGAGCTCGTTCCTGCATGGGAAGCCAAGCTAGGTTTAGAGATCAGCCACTTGAAAAATAAAAAAGTCTGGTCCTCCGTTTTCATTGATGTGGACGAATCTTCCCAACATCTTCTGGATCAGAAGATCATGGGTGTGTTCAGACTTATTGACAAGTGTGGCACCGCGAACTCCGCGCTGCATGTCATGGAAAACCGAGAGTCTGGAATGCTGCCATTGTACTTGTTCCTTGATCCGACTCGCTGTGGTCTTCCGGACGACGATTGTTTCGTAATGTCGTCAAACATTCGGCGCGTGGAGTATGGAGAGCGCCGGCTGATAGTAGGCTCGCTGGATAAGTCGTGGCGACCTGGTTCGGAGAATGGACCTCAGCGTGTTTCATTCTCTCTCCCCGTCATGTGGGTTGCAGCTCCCTCCATATCGTTGAAAGTGAGTCCTGTTCTCGTCAAAGATCGTCCAGGAAGCTAATTGGCGTGTCAAGTCAACTGAGAAGCTTTTTGCTACGTACTCAGTTCCCTCTGCTCCTCTTTCCGTCTCCGGCAGCCTTCATGCGTGTTCAAAGGCAAAAGCCATTGTTGTCTGCAAGGTGCCCCTGCACCTGCAAGAGAAAGAACGAACTGTTGATGTCTGGCCCCGAGATCGTTGGGTTGTGGTTGATAGCATCCATCAACGTCCTACATTCCGAGCGCTAACGTGGCTGACGGAGCGAATTAGGAGCATTGAACATCTAAATCATTGGTTACCTATCGAGTTGGACGGGGACGACACCCATTGCAACAGATGTGCACCTTCGCCCCCAGAACTCCGCTGGGCTAAACGCAACAGGAACGTCATTGCTATTGAAGATCCGTTACAAGCCGGGAAGTATGAGCAGAGCCTCAAGAAGAGACCCAGTCCGTTCGTGACTCAGCTTCGGTACGATACCTCAGAGTCGATCGGGACCCTACGTCTGGGTATCAACGTTCCTTCCTTGACTCATCGCGCCCTATCGCGCTTACCCACTGTGGATCGTCTGAACAAGCCCCTACTTTCGTGGAGACTGACCACGAGTTACACTCCTCCAGCCACTCTCAGTCCCCCGAAATTTACTTTGAAAAGCAACAAGCAGGACCCTCCTGCGAAGCAGCCTCCCAACTTCAAGCTTCAACTGCGGCCGGAGCAGTTGCGATCCCTAACTTGGATGTTGCGACAAGAATCTACTGATGTCGAACCTTTTCTTGAGGAAGAAATATCAGAAGCCATTCTTCACCCTCTTGGCTGGCGAGTGGAAGGAAAGGCGGTGCGGCCGATTCAGATGAGTGGAGGTGTTCTGGCGGACGAGGTCGGTTATGGAAAAACAGCCATCACTCTTGGCCTTATCGATACATCATTTGGAAACGCGCCAAAACCAAGAAAAGGCCTGTCCTCCCACGGGAAGATACGCACAAAAGCAAATTTGATCGTGGTTCCGGCCCAGCTGACACGTCAGTGGGCATCTGAGGTCCAAAAATTTCTTGGAAAAAATCGATCCGTGCACATCCTCGAGAGCATGTCACATTTAAATAGCTTAACAATTCAAGATGTTCTAGATGTGGATATCCTCATCGTTGCAGGAAGTTTGATGAAGAGCGAGATTTATCTCGCGAATCTTCAAGCTTTTGCTGCTGGTGGGAATCTTCCACACAGGGAGGGGCGGTACTTCGACGCCAAGTTGCGCCAAGTGCACTCTAGTCTGCAGAAGCAGATCGCTCGTTTGACCAAAGAGGGTTCGTCCTCAGTTCTGGATGCGATTCGAGAGGCTGAAGGTGAGCCATGACGTTTTTTTACATACTCGTCGCTCATCCAAGACCCATGTTCAAGAAAACCCCGAAACGGATGAGACTGCAATGACAGCAGATTCAAAGCGACTCAAGGGGAAACAGTACCGTGACAAAATACACGAGGATACTATTCTTACTCTACCTCAAAAACAAGGGGACAATTCTTCATCTACCACAACCCTACCACAGTCCAGGCAAAGGCTGCTCCCTGAGGTCATTATTTCTGGGACTCCAACAATAGTAGATTCAAAGCTCCTCAAAGGGAAACAGCCCCGTGACAAAATGCACGGGGATACTGTCCCTACTCCCCGCAAATCTTCGTCTGCCGCAACCTCGTCACAGTCCAGGCAAAGGTTACTCCCTGAAGTCCTTATCACTACAACCCCTAGAACAGCGTTCTTGAATAATGCTGAGGAAGGGGTCCCTGTGAAGACATCGAAACGACGGCGCCGGACTGTTATCGTTTCCGATGAGGATGAAGCACCAGTTGACGACGGGGACTTCATTGTTATTTCATCTGACTCTGAGGAGCTCTCAGCAGATAATGAGGATGAAGACCGGAAGTTTACGAAAGCTAAACAGATCAAGCGCATAAAATCCCGCGCCTCTAACTTGACTACTGGAAAATCAGCGAAACGCAAAAGCAATGTCCTATCTGATTCGGAAGCATTGGGACACGGCCACGAGAGATCCAATTCCCCGCCCCCCAAGAAGCAGAAGTCAGCCGAATCCAAAGCACCCCTGAAACCCAAGAAGGCGCCTCCAGCGAAAAAGGAAAAACCAAAGGAGCTTAAGCATATGGTTGATCCTTGGAAACTGAAGTCTAATGCGGTTCGTCAGGACTACACAGAGATGCGTTGTCCTCCTCTCGAACTATTCCACTTCAACCGTCTCGTCATTGATGAGTTCACTTACGTGGAGGGCAAGATTTATCCTCTGATCACGAGCCTGAAGTCTGATCATCGCTGGATTCTCTCCGGGACGCCCCCAACGCGAGAATTTGCAACAGTCAAGACGATTGCGAATTTCATGGGAGTCCATTTAGGGATTGATGATGATTTCTGGGAGGGCCAGACTAAGGAATCTCTTCGGGAGGCGAAGAAGCGACAGAAGGAGCAAACAAGTACGTGTCGCATGTGCAGTAGACGGTGTTCCAGACTTATAGTGTTACAGATGCGGAGAGTTTCCACTCGTTCCGAGAAATACACAGCTTAGATTGGCACGCACATAGGAATGATGTTGCACAGGCATTTCTGGACCGTTTCGTTCGGCAGGTTCGTCAAGCTCTACGAGAAACCTAACTCCTTTTCAATGCTGCTTCCAGAATATCGCCGAGATTGACGAGATACCTTTCGAGGATATGATGCGTCCCGTAACCCTCCCAGCAGCCGAGCGAGCAATCTACTTGGAGCTGGAACATCATCTGCGGGCCCTTGATATGATGATCCGACGCGGTAAGAAGACGGAGAGTGACCGAGAGAAACGGATGGCGGAGTCCCTCGGGAATAGCGCGTAAGTACGGGATGTCCCTCCTATTGCAGTTAACTTAGTTACCCCCAGAACTGCGGAGGAGGCTTTGCTGAAGCGATGCTCGCACTTTGAGCTGGACGCAGACAGGGCCAATGCTCTGAAAGCATGTGAAGTAATCGTAGAAGAGCGCACTCGTCAGTTGAACGAGTGCATTGGCGAGTTGGAGACCGAGATCGGTGAAGCTCTTCGTACCCAAAGTGAGATCGGTCCTGTCGACTATCAAAGTCATCTTCAACAGTGGCTTCGAATGACACACACGCCCGGCGGTGTTGGTGACGCAGATGCCAAGAGGCAGTTGCACGACGTTCAGTCATCCGGAGGCTTCAACTACGAGGAGAGCTTGGCGATGTCTCAAAAAAAAGGACCAGACCTAGATCGTGAATCTCCCAAGACCAAAGAGGCTAGATGGGCACATCGTGAACATGCCCATTTTCTCAAGAAACTCGAGAAGGAGCTTGTAGGTCGAGTTCGGTCGCTCCGTTACTTCACGGTCGTGCGCGATCTCCAGCGGAAGACTGATCACAACAAACATAGCAAATGCCCGAGCTGTGAAAAAACCGATCTTCCCATTTCCAACATAGCTATTCTCTCATCGTGCGGTCACACAGGTTGTCATACTTGTGTCATGAATTCTGCGCAGAATGAGGAATGTGTCTCACGGGCAGCGACGGGCTGCAACGCTCCAGCCAGGGTTCTCAATGTAGTTAAGGCCGAAACCCTCGGAGAAGACGAGCATCGGTCCGCTGATGTGAAGCACTTTGGAAAGAAACTGGAGAAAATTGTGTTTCTGATCAAGTCAGTCCTTCCCCAACTACCCAGTACAGCTAGTCATGCAAACTAATATATTTCATCAGGGATATCCCTAAAGACGAGCGGGTTCTGTTGTTTGTTCAGTTCCCTGATTTAATGAAGAAGGTTGGCGAAGCACTTACTGAAGGAGGGATAAGCTTCCTTGAGATCAAGGGAAGCCCCACTGCTAGGTCGAAGAATCTAATGGCGTTCCAAAATCCTGATGCAAAGGAAAAAGTTCTTCTCCTCAATGTCGGAGATGAAAGTGCTGCTGGAGCGTGAGTGTACCCGCTGAATGAGAAGTGAAAGTGAACTGACTGACATCTCACTGCTATAGCAATCTAACTGTCGCAAACCACGTCATATTCATCTCTCCGCTTCTTACGTCCTCTCAGCAATTCTATGACGCAACTGATACACAAGCTATAGGACGACTTCGTCGGTACGGTCAGCAGAAAAAAGTTCACATTTATCGATTCCTTACACTAGATTCTATCGACGTCGAACTTTTTGAGGCACGCGATGGTCGCAAAGTTATACGGGAGTAATAGTATTTTTGGGATATTTTGCCAGATCGTGACTATGCATGTTGTAATCCCAGCTTTCTTGTTTCCTTGTTGCCCACTCGTCTGTTCCTCGGTAAATGTTACATAATCTTGTGCTTTGATTTTTGATAATGCAATTGCAATCGCTAATAGATACTCTCATGTCCGTTGTCTTCGCAAACTTCGTGGAGGTAATCCTTAAACAGGTGAAGGGAGAGAAGGACACGGAAGTGCTTATTCCATACATAACCGCGGATCCGGGACTTGCTCCGCTACATGTATATTCACTGTTCTATCTATAGAGGCTGATACGAGTCGACAAATGCCGCCCCAAGAAAACGTTATGACCAATGGTATACTATCAATGCGCGAGGGTTGGCAGAATAACGGATAAAGCGGCAACTTCGATTCATCAATTTTTTCTCTCAAACTTCCACTTGTATATTTTTGGTTTCCATTCGTTACGGTCTTCGACTTCAATTCCTAAGCCAATTTTATCGATCTCATCGTCTTCTTTCTCGGATCCACTGACGAGCTGCCTCTCCCCTTTGCCCATCAATAGACGTTGAGTATGAAGTTCTTGAAGTGCATATCGAAGTGCGCGCTCTCGGGTCAGTCGTTCTTTGAGTTCGTGAAGCAGTTTATCTCGATATAACTAGGTAACGTCAGCTTTGTTAAGCGAGTGAATGGATCCTAAACGACCCACCTTCCCTTCTCTTCGTTGAGACTCTAGTTGCTCTTCGGACACTTCGCCGTTACCCAAATCCCCGGTGTTGTTCTTCCGTCTCTTCTTCCGTTTGAGGCCCCCCTCTTTCACCCAGCCAAAATCCTCTTCGCTCATTTCAATACCCTCCGGTACTGACGATGTCTGAGGTTTCACAGCTATCGGGGGTTCATAGAGTTTCGCTGGAACGGCGCACAGACCGATATAAGCGCCCTTCTACGAAAGGGGATAAATGCTCACCGTGCTGTGGAGAATCCACAAAAATGATGTGCTTTCTAGACGGGATGAAGCCAGAATCGCTGCTTTGATTGGGATCGGAAGTTTCAGGCGGAAGTAGCCCTGCATCGCGCAATGTCTTGATCTGCACTTCGGTCAGATCCTCGGTGGTGTCTTTGTTTAGCTCGTCATCGAGGTGTGCTGACCCAGAGTAGAGAAGGTTGATCATCGTTGTGAGGTCGGCTTTAACTGCTTCTATTCTCTGCAGTAATCCTATTGTAAGTTTCATTTTTGTAGACCATAATGAGCTCTTTGCACATTACTTTGAGATTCAGGGCCTTCATGGTCCGTATGTAGTTCACATCCTGAGTCTTCAGTAATTTCGCCATATCCTCGGGAATATCTTCTTGAGGTCTTTCGGAGACATGAATACCTCCCTGGACGGGAATTCAGTACGTCGTGTATTCAAACGAGCGCAATGGCTACGTACTTCTGTCCTTTGCCTCGTCATCGCAAAGTAGAATTCATCTTTGTTTCTTGTGGCAGCCTTTTCCTGTAAAAGCTTCAATGCCTCCTGCTTTTGATGGTAATCCCGAGCTCGTAAGATATAGTCCTTCTTCTTCTCAAGTAGCCCGAGCTTCGCGCGATGCGCAGGCTGGCTGCGTTCCTTATGGCTCCTCCTCTGGATCGCATTTCTGAGAGATGACCCAGGCATTCCAGTGATTGTGGCAGTGCCAATTCCGTGACGGCGGGAACCGCCGACCAATTTTTCATGCACCCCATGGCATCGATTTCACTAATCCGTACCTCAGAGTCGCAAAACACCATTGAAAAATCCATTAAATTTGTAGAGCAATGAGAAAGCGAATATGTTCTATATGACTGGACCTGGATTCATTTTGAATGAGGCGTACAGTGTCAAAGTCAAAGTCTCCGGTATCAACCTGGCCGGGCAATAAGACGCCAGGCTTAATTACTTGTGGAAAGGGAGTCAATATTTATTGCTTCGCACCTGACTTATCACTTAATGAGCTAGGAATTGTACCGAGGCCTTTTACTGCCAGAACAATAAAAAGTTTTATTGATGCTGCAAACTCATATCACGTCGTCACACTCAGACCAAGTCAACCGGGCGCGCCAGCATGGTCTCTTTGCTGATGCCAAATCATGTTGTCCTCTTTATCGAGTGTATCCTACGTCTAGGTGCAGTGGATTGTGCGGAGGCGGATCAGTGTTGTGAGTCGATCTCGGTTTTTGCTCGGATATGTGTAACTCCCCTAAATCAGATTGTAGCAGAAATACTGTCGCAATTGTGTACCCAACAGCATGCCGGTCGTGAGCGATGTTCAGTGCCGCATTCCTTGTACTGCTCAGACACAAAATATAAACTTTCCACTTCGCGCACTTCCAAACCTAAATCAGTCCTCGACCTCTCGAAATGCTCAAAAGATCGTCTGCGCCTTCCTATTATAGCAATGGATGGTGCATCACGCACGATTGACTGCAAAGGAAACGATGAAGTCGAGGCAGTCGGGAATCAATAGGGACCCTGCGCGCGAGACCGACTCGGCGACACAAATCGGTCACGGGATGGCTTGGGCTAATATATTTGCGAATCGATTATTTGCGCCAGAGACAATCGGGGTCGCTCCTCCTACGGCTATGGAACAGAAGCCTGATGACTCCCAGACAGTAAAGGTGACTCGGTTCCATATTTATGGCCCGCTGCTAACCCAAATCCGGCGCTTGCATTCTGGCATGGTCTCATTTGACACTCAAGTTGTTCCGTGAAGATGTTGTTCGCAACCGGCTTACAGGCGAACACGCAATCATCATGGCACGGATGGTCTTTCTTTAACTCATCTGGTTGCACTGATGGTCCCTCCCGATTCAGCGATCGTGGAATGACGCCGATGATATACCTATGCTGTCACAGTTCGAAAAGAATCCCAGCATGCGTCCCTTGGAGCGAGGGGAGATTGTCACAATGGGCTTAGAGGACCAGAAAAAGCTGTCAATTTCGTACTTATGAATCCTTTCGCTTGATTTGGACGCTCAATAACAGTTTTCCCAGACTTCCCATAAGCCGCGAGGTCGAGTGGATCCTGGTGCAGCGCCGCTTTCACCTTGGGGATCCTTGCAAGCGTAACTTAGAGGATGTTATGTCTGGCCTTGTGGTATCCCAAACAGTTGAGGTGAAGTTGCGACACGCAATGGCACATTTGGTCCCCCCTAGCCACCCCCAAGCTCAGGTCTCGGATTGGGTCAGCTTGGAAGAGCTTCGATTTGTGTCACCTATCTGCATCGGAGGTCATAGGGCGGTTGAGTTTATTCACTAGATTCTGTTACTTATTCGACTTCCTTCAGACTTGGTCGTGCATGATGATTGGCTCGGGCAAGTGGAAGAGGTGCTGATCCGTTGAAATTCTTTATTTGTTTCTCTCATCTTCCCTCCTAGGTTTTCGAGGAAGTAATAACGTCTGGCGGACATACTTTCACTGATTTGGGTGGGCGCCATCGCATTGGTGCTCCGCCGGTATGTCGCTCGCTTCTATACTAATCTAACCCCGATACTACGATCCCTTAATTCCCTTAGGCCGTTTTAGACACAGACTTGGAAAATGTGCCTCAAGATCCTGGTGATGTGCTTCAAGTGTATCCCCTGATTATCGCGATAACGTGGGTGGCAATAAATCAATCCGTGAGCTCCTATGACTTCATGCCCCACGACCCCTAGTAATGTTTGGCGTCATTCAGCTCCCTCAACACATTGCTGCTAGTCGAACTCGACCAGGACGATTTTGGTTTTTTGAGAGTCTTAGTGCTTTTTCTATTTTCCGCCGACCCACCGATAGGATTCCTCATATTCATGATCGGATGTTCTTTCGCACACCTGAGCTGGCCCAAGGTATCAGTTCACTGGTGACAGGGATCTCTGGCTAACACCGCCTTCCTTAGCTCATAATGGGGCTTGCGTCAGCGTTCCGCACGGTGATCGAACAATTATTGTGGAGGCTATGGTAGTAATAGAAACTCGTATACTAATTAAGGTGCTGTGGCAAGATGGCTCGGTGGAGGTATTACCGTCCGTTTCGCTCCTTCCATACACAAACGTCGATGAACTGGACTGCTGGTTTGTTCTTCAGGAATGGGCAAACTTGGAAGTTGACGCTCAACCTTTCTCATTAGGCCCGGAGACTTTGTCTCTGCAAAGAGCGACGGCGAACCTCGTGCGGCCGTGGTCCAATCCGTGGATGCGGAAGATCGCACGGCCCGGGTACGATGGTACCCACCGAAAGCTAAGGAAGAATCGATTGCCGTAGTCTCCATGTTCGAAATAAATCCCGTAAGCTGTCGCCCTGTTATCTCTCTAACTGTCACTAATTAACATCAAAGGAAGGTTCTGTATCGTCTGACTTGCCGCAGTCTTATGGAGTTCGAAGAGGTGACATTGTATTCTTGCATGCTCGGGACTCTACAAATGGGTGTGATGTGCCACGGTGTGTTTTCATTTCAATCGGCGACCCTGTCGAAAGCCAATTCAAGCTTTCCCCGCAGTGTGCCTAAGATTGGCGAGCTTGAACAATGGGTCCGCCATCCGAATGCAAGTTGGCGCCAGGAAATGATGGAAATTGGTTCCTCGGCACCACGATGGTATGACCCTCCTAGCAGAACCGCTACGGAACTTCCGGTGGTTGGCGTAGCCGCTAACAAGGACGGTACCCATTGGGTTGGTGAAGTTGTCGATGTGAGTCGCAATCAATCTAGTGGCTAATACACTGATTAGAACCAGCTCCCTACAGCTTCGGCTTACGGGCGAGATTGATGTTTGTCTCCCGACTGGAGAGGTTACTACTGTCACGATTGATCGACTTACTGTCCTTCGAGACTTGAGCGAGGACGTGGACTATCCTTGGATAGACGAGGATGTGTCAGACGGTTTCTCCAGTTCCGAAGAGTCTGATCACTTGAAGTCACCCCTTGTTCCTAATGAGGACGTGGAAATGGATGTTGCGAGCGAATCTCAGCCCACGTCATCCTCGGGACCTAAGTACGAGGCTGAGGAAGAACGGGACGCATGGAAGCATTTTGATACCGAGGCATCGCTGATGTCTGTGGGCACAGTAGATATAGATATGGATTCTCCTTCGTCGTTGTCATCTGGTTCATCCACGCCTGCTGGGACAGTTTCTGGGACTCCTTCGGCTTTGGAAGCTTCGCACTCACCGCCGGCCGAACCCCCTTGGAAATCCTTCGATGTCTTGCCCTCTGCGCCATCGGATCATCATTTTTATTCTCAACCACCCACTAGTCCGCCTAGCAGGTCCTTCTCTCAGCGTCTCAATAAGGAGTATCGGGTCCTTTCAACTAGCCTCCCTAGTATGTCCTTTGCTTGGTTACCAATCTCACTCACACCTAGTTCTGCGAAGGTGATATCATAATACGGACGTATGAAGACAGGGCCGATTTGTTGCGCTCCCTGATTATTGGCAGTCACAATACACCTTACGAGGATGCGCCGTTTGTCATTGACTGGCAATTACCGCCTTCGTTCCCACTCGAGCCTCCCACCGCACATTTTCACAGTTGGACGAATGGTAATGGGAGGGTAAATCCGTGAGGCACATACTCCTCTCCCCGGTTTCCCCGAGATGCTCAGCGGGCTATTTTGTAGTAATTTATACGAAGAAGGGAAAGTATGTCTGTCCATCCTGGGGACTTGGACTGGTGAGGAATCGGAGGCTTGGAGTTCGAAGAAATCTTCACTGTTGCAAGGTATGTCCTGCTTCACTGCTCTCCCTTTTTTCTTTTCTTACAAGGTACAACTAGCGTTCGTCTCTATCCAAGGGCTTGTACTTGTCAGGGAACCTTACTTCTGTGAACCGGCCTTCGAGAAGATGCGGGGAACGGAAGAAGGCATAGTGAGCAGGTTTGTGCCTGGCCCTGCTGTGGACGGAGTATTGCTTATCCATCCTGCATTGTTCTCACAGTCGCCTCTACAATGAAAAGGTTTATGTCCTCGCACGCGGATTCGCGCTGCATGCGCTTCAGCATCCTATTTCGGGATTTAGTGATGAAATCCATTGGATCTACTTCACGGCGGGAAAACTCAAGAAGTTGCTTCATAATGCGGACACGTTGATTGCCAGGAGCCAATCTGCCGATCCCGAAGGGAGTCTTTCGGAGGCGACCGAGGACTCTTCGGTGCCCCGCCTGACGGTGGGAGGTGCCATTACACTAAAGCGGACGCTCGTCAAGCTCCAGACAATTTTAGACAATTCAAGAGCGTTGTAATCCGAATTCTACCCGCACAGGGACAGTATGCTTTTTCTAATAATACTTTGTTATGATCTGTATGCAGCTTGCTAGTTGACTTTATTATTCGTACCAGATGTAGCTCCAATTCCAATCGTTGAATAGCAGTTCTCGGCCGGCAGACTACGGTTAACTTTGGCCACACGTTTGAATTAGGCGATTCCGAGGAAATGACCGTCCAGATTGAGCGAATGTAGTCAGATTCTTGGGGGAAAGTGAGAAAGAAAGAAAGAAACACAGGATTTGATGGGAGGGTACCTGGTTTGTATAAACATCGATTTTTCTGGAATAAAAGATCAGTTACGCATGCACACTCAAAAGTCGTGAACAATAAACGCACGAACTGATGTAATCATGGGTGGGGAAACCTGCAAAAAAAAAGGATCCTGTGTTCCAGTACCACAAAGATGAAGATGAAAAAAAAAAGCGCACCAGGTGGATCACACCCTACATTCTTCAATTTGGGGTCCTAGTGGATGTAACTGTTAGCCGATCACAGTGCCAACATATATTTGCGTTTGTGTATGTGTGACGCACTTGGTAAACACGAATGTAGTCGACGAACATTGTCATTGGGAACTCCAAGGATGGACTTATCTGGATTGCGGATGGCTTGGAACTTACTCGCTGGCAATGATAGTTGACTGAATCGATCCTTACCTCACCGAAACTAGGACTTATTCCGAGATTCATTATAAGATACTTGGAAAACAAACAAAAAAAGGAACCTAAGTTTCAAATACTTCAAGTCACCGTGAGGTTTGAAACGTACCATAGGCTCCTGAGAAATCGGCCTAGCGCTTATGTTGACAACTTCATTTTCCCCAACTGCGGATGCTATCACACGTAGTTTCAGAGGATATAAAAGGTCGTGAAGGAGATGGCTTGCCTTTCATTGTCCATGATGGGACTCCATTGCTGACCCATGATAGATAACCCTCTTTCCCTGGCTTGTACTCGAAGCCATACACGCTGTACTTGACTGTGCTCGGTGACGCACTGAAACCGCTATACGCGGACTGATCTGTCCTAAATAATCCAGACGTTGATTCCTGGAAAACGTTTCCCTATACCAAGCATTATTAGCCCATGGAGGAAAAAAGGGCATAAATGAGGTACATACACGGAAAGGGTTGAAATTCCCCGCAGAAGGATTAAGGATGACGGCATTCGCGCTGTCGTTCTTCCAGTTATAACGTTCGTCAAATGGGGCCCACCTTACGAAACGTTAGAATGCTCGGGTGACGGGAAGATGAGGAGGGGGGGGATCACTGACTGGGCGCTCTGTGAAACTTGCCCAATTCCTTCGTTCACGATCGCCTCGAGGACATCAATTTCGGGAGCGGATCGCCCAACAAAAGTACCATCAGCTCTCTTCGGCCCTGGGTGATCCTCTTCGGGGCATGTGCACGCACTCAGTCGTTGGCCTAGTGAATTAGAGTCAAAATATGGACTTCAAGGTTCTTCCGTTCGAGACGCGTACCAGGAAGGAAAGAAAGGGGTCTGTTATGTATGCCTCCACTTGCAGTCCCAGCCGGTAAGCCATTGAAAGATTGATTCGCGAGTGTTCCCCAATCGCAAGAATCGTACTGAAGAGACTGTTAATGTTATTCGACTAACAGACCGTGTATGCTCTCACAGAGTATGGCCACATTCCATCGGTGCTCGCCCCATATCCTGCACGCCCCAAATTTCCCATCGTCCATACTGCAAAGTATCAACTTGAATCGTAACGGGGAAAGGGCAAAGCAATAATTGAGACCAACCAGCAGGCCATAGTCCCGAAACTGACGAAAGTCCGGGTAACGAGACCGCTACTTCCACGTAGCCTCCGGTGAAGCACATCTTATTCCAGGTCTGAATCATACCTCCTTGGTAATTAAGTCCATGTGTGCTCGTTTGGCTTAGTGTGATTTGAAGAGCGCCGCTCCCAGTTGTAACGGCAACAGGGTCATACCACTCCAAGTCCCCGGTTTGGTAATAGTGAAGATCCACCGCCTAACGAATTTCCTATCAGTCGTCGTCGTCGGAATTTCCGAGTACCAACGACTTACCTCCCAGTATGGGTCATCTCCCTGGGGAATGAGTTGGACTAAGAAAAAAAACGACATGTACGAATATGCTCACTGGGTAAAAGGTACGATTGTCTCTATTGAACTCGTCCGAGAATATGAGATCCCATTGAGAGTTGTCCTCCAGGGATGTGTGATGGTATGCGGCCGGAGGCGTGTCAGGATCTATCATGTAAAAGAAATTTCCTAGATCGGGAACCTGTCCCGTAGCGTTGACACCCTGGTAAAACAAATGAGCGAGGTTCAGGACCCTGCCACATGTTATTCCTAGAGGCTTACCACAACTCTAGCAGCTTGAAGCCGGGACAGATGGTTGAAGAAACCAAAATGGGAGAGAACGGGAAAACCAGCGCTGAAAAGAGAAAGAGCGAAATTCATTGAGCATGGGGAATTGCGCGCAAATGGATTGGATGGGGAGGAGTTTCTCACAAAAAAAAGAGCGTGGTGAAAATAAGGCTGACCAGGCAGCCAAGATTTGCGAATCCTACAAGACTTGACTTAATGATGGTAATCAAAGCGCAGCGGCTCGAGCGGGACGAACCTCGTCGTGTGATGAAGTTGATGCCATTTTCTAGATCTCGAGGACTAGGATTGTGGAGCTCATCGTCATCTTCTACTCTGAAACGTCCAGCTTTCATGGGGCTATAGATCTGAGAGACGTCCACGAGCACATTGAACTGTGGAAAATATAGATGAAAACCAGGGAGATCGGAACGCGTTTCTGCTAACCTTCTCGGTTGTCGACCGCGGTAACGTGTGTTTGAGGAGTGACTCAAGAGTCTGATGTTGCGGATTAGCTTAAAAGGAAAACTATTCCTAGTAACTTTTCTTTCTTTCACGTTTACCTTGGAGTCTAACGACGAGATGGGGCCTCTGTATAATTTCTCGTGGCGATTGTCTATCATTCTCTCAGTCCTCCATTCTTACAAGAACAGCTCAGCCCCCCAATGGCTTGGAAGCGAACACTCACCGCTCCGATCCTTTCCATGACTCTGGTAAGGTGGTAAGGCATGAAGAGTCTCGAAGTCCGGCTCCAAAGGCAGATAACGAGCGGGCTTTGGTTGGCGATTCGCAACCAGGGGTGAGGCAGACGACTGCCGTCGCATGGGATGCGAGAGCGGATGGCAAGGCACGAGAGGTTAAGAAGGAAGGAAAGAGGGCCCGGCCCAGAGTAAAAGAAAGAGTAAGGAAAGTGGTGAAACACCTTGCCGGTGAAGTTAGACACAGTTGGCGACACAGTTGCCAAGGACGGTCGCGAAGCTTGGCTGTTGACCATGGCGGCGCACTAAGGCCCAACCCAAATAGGAATGAGTTTCCATGTTCAATATTGTATTCTGTTGTGACAGTTGCAAGCATACAGATTTGGCCATTTGATCGCAACGCCAACGAAAACCGCATAAATACACCCATGCATGCCTAGCTAGGCAGGATAGCCCATCTCATAATTTCTAATTGAGAATGTGACGAATGTAAACAAGAAACACTCGAGATGCATGCGATATATGCAGGGGTGTCAATTTTGTTCTGAATCAGTGTGGTGGCGGCTGTTGAGTGATCAATCGCTTGAATGATGCGACATGGCAATCGACATGGGTTTATGCAATTTTAAATTTATGCACACTAATAGCGAGTGAGGCGGATGGACGGAGACGGATGACACCATTCTAAAGTACACATGCATGCAGTTCAGCATGCGCCATGCTGCCACGGGCCGAAAGGCGGATACTGAAGAGGTTGTCTGCAAAGGGAGGGATGGTGCGAGTGGAGTTAGATGGTGGGTGGCAGATGGACGTGGGGAGCAACTCATAAGCAACAGCAAGAGTGGGATGAAAGCACGACGAAATTTCCTAGGGAGAGAGTCTGGAGTCAATCATGGTGAAAGGGGCGGAGTGAGGCCCCGCCTGAATACATGCTATTATGTAAATCAATGAACAATATGAGGATGGGATCCGGAAGACTCCGCGACGACTGCATTCCACCATCGTAAATATTCCTTGCAACATGCTGAGAGCTAACGATAACCACAAGTACCTGGGTCATCTCCATTGTCTCCTAACTCATCCCTCTTGCGTAATATGAGCAGACCTACCTCCCATCTTGACTGGTTTGCCGCCAGCCCGTAAAGAGATTGCTATGCGGACTGTGGTCCACCGATTGCGACCCAGGACATCAATAACGGGTTTCCCTGATTATGTTCTGAACACTGGCTGATAGCTAGGACGAGTGCACACGTCTTACTTGTTGCTTTGCTGCAGTCTGTGCTATTAGACGAAATGATGGACTAGCGAGTTTATCGCTCAGTCCCGTTGTACGTGAACTAGAATAGATTAGAAAGTAATCACCTAGCGAGTTTATCGCTGGTGGACTAATGTTTAATACATGATTTATCAAAGACAAACATGATATAACCAACATACCTCAGTCCCGTTGTACGTGAACTGAGGAAAGGTTGGGTTGTCCAAAAATTGGGGTTTTATAGTCAGGCGCTATGAATGCGCACTGACTTTGGCACGGATGTCACCAAGAAAGGTAATAGGTGTAAATCTAAACGCCACACGACTCAACATCACCAAACGTGAGTTGGTCATAGCGAACACCATAATACCAAGAATTCTAACATGTGCCCCTTATAGGGTCGGCACTTCCTTCAAAATATCACTTAGGGACTAGACGGCCTGCCTCTTTCTAATGTTACGAAGTCATAGAGGCTGGATGTTGTTGTTGTTTATTCTGGATATTTAACCTGCAAACTGTAGGCTGCTCGTGGGAGCGCCGGGGGCAGGGGTCGAGATAAATACACAAAAATAAGGTGAGAAAATAAAGAAATAAGTCCGATTCGGGTGTCCTTAATCTCTCTGATAAGGCGTTGCCCAAATGCTGCTCCGCTTTTGAGTTGTCGTGTTGGGTTGACCGTTTTTAGGTGTCGGTTTCGAAAATGGGATGGGTTCCGCCTTCCAGCGGTGTCATATCTCGGGGTGTGTCTATTCTGTCCTTCTCTCTTTCTCGTATGCTCCACTCGCTGACAGAAATCCTGCTACCCTCTCTATTCCTTTCTCGTCCACCAGGAGGTCGGCAAGGATCAGTTCGCCTTCATCGTCTGGGAGCAAGTTTCGGTGGTGTTCGTGCTTGGGACATTCGAGAAGTATGTGTTCTCTCGTTTCTACGGGTTCTCCGCATGTGCAACTGGGGTTCTCTTCTGGTAGGAAGCGTTTGTAGAATTGTCCGATGAACGCATGGCCGGTGCGAAGCTGTACTAGGCGGCTGAAGGATTTGCGGGAGTGGGACTTGAACCGCTTTGTTGGTCGCAGTTGCGGTTCTATGCGGTTACAGCTTCGGTATTCTGATGGCTTTTGTTGTATAGGGTCAGTGTTCCAGCGAGAGATCCATTCGTCCTTATATTGGCGTTTGTTTAGGTTTCTCATGAATGCCGCTGAGGTACTGTACGGGTATTCGGACGGCAGGTTGGAGCCTTCTTTGGCTAGGGTGTCTGCCCGTTCGTTCCCTTTGATATCTTCGTGTCCTGGGACCCACTTTATAATTACGTCGCAGAGGGGGCGTTCTGAAAGAAGGAGGGAGATGGTGTTGCGGAATCGGAGTGATTGTTGGATGTCCAGTCCTGGGGACGTGGCCATTATGCGCTGGAGTGCTCCAGTGTTATCGGAGAAGATTGAGAGGGTGAGTTTGTCTCCTTTTTGGTAGTGCTCGTCGAGCCAGATCTTGAGGTTAGCTGATCCTTGCGCGAGTCCCTCCATTTCCGCATCATACACCTCTGCTCTAGGTCCTGTTCCCCCCTTCCCTTCGAATATGACACGCGCCTTTTGGTAGGCTGTCATAGAGGCTGGAGCCCTGCCTATGGCTGACTTGGATTGCGATCACTCGACTGTCATGATCCATTGATTCATTTTACGAATCACACATCACATCTTCGTATATCCAACTGGAGGTTGAATCTATGTGACCGAATACTTGGTCTGCAATTGGAGTTGTGTGCCTGCTAGATTACAGTCTCGTGCATAATTCGTGTTCGCATCCGAACTCACATCTCGAGCATTCACATACAAACGACCGGCAAGTAGACGCACGTTGATGGAAGGCGGATATGCTATCAGAATCCTAGAACTGGAGGAAGGGCGTGAGCGAAAGAAAAAATCGCTTTACATGCGCACAAGCCTGATAGCAAGAATACTAACAAACCCAATCTAACACCGCACTCTCAACAACTTGAGTAGTTACAACGCTTATAGATGCCTTGATTTCAAACATACGCTCCTCCAGACGACTCCACCTGCAGCGAGAGAATCGGCATAACCAATAAGCGCTTCATGCTTGATTGAAGTTTCCACTGCGGATGATATGTATTGCATAGTCAATTTTGAGCACCATGCCATTCACTGACCATTGATGTGCTCACGTCTAATGGGACGCCGAACGCGATCTTCTCTCGAGGAAACGTGGAGACCGAAGATGAGGACCACCCGCTGCGAGAAGTGTTCAGTTTCCGGTTGAATGAACCATCGTCCCCTCCGCTCAGGATGCTTTCTTTGAGACGTAATCTGGATGGAATGCTCTAGATGCTATCGAGCCAATCGAAGATGGCAACATCAACTTTGGGCACTCTTTTTTGAACCGGGGTTCCACCACCTTTTCTGCATTCTCTAATTTCTTCACTATCCCTGGATTTATAACCTTTTCCAATGGCTCGGTCCTATCGACTTGGGACCTTGGGGGGGGGGGGGGGGGGGATTTTCGCTAAAGAGTTTTTGCAAGAAGGTCATTGGAAAAGCACCTATGGCTTCAAACCGCCAGGATCGTCGATTCCGCTATTCTCAGTACCAGAACTTCGTCCTACATCGCTTCCTTATCTTACAGTTGCGCCGTCCGAAGAAAAACCACATATGGTTGTGGGTCAATCGGAGTTCTGGACTGAGTCTTCTCTCACTGGTGCGGAAACTCGGCACAACTCCTGCTCGTGACATGGTGAAAGGCCGACGTCGATCTATTGCTGAATTTGCTTATGACGTCCCCACTTGGCTCTCGGGGGTCTAAAGAAGCCCTTGCTGGTAAGGCAAGGCAAGAGGACGTCCAAAAATTTAGAAGGCCCCCTTTTCTTGGTGATGTTGGTCTCTATCTTCGCATTATCTGTGAAGGACTACTGGAGTACAAAACCCAGTTGGTATAACCCCATGACGATAAGAGTCCCACAACGCGCTCATGACTATGATTGCGCTAGGAGAACTGCTGGATACGCTGCTTTCTTTTAGGAGAGAATCCTGGGATTTCAGGAGAGGCGCATCGGACGTTTGGGGGTTCGGTCGCTCCCAACACAGCATCTGGAATTTGAGAGAGAACATCCTAGTGAGTGGTAACCAATGTGACATCCGGCACGGCAAGCAATGTAATATAAACCGATTGGGAGGCTACTAATTTGGCGGAAGATTATGGAAGTGTCGCAGAGTTCAACCTCGATACGTGGGTTTCTTATCGTGCTACTCTATCGCCACTAAACAATTAGACTTCGCAACAGCAACCCCTGACCAGTGCAGATCTTCATGTAGCACAGGTCGAGGCCTTCATGGTTAGGCGTCCCAATACAGGTCATCCCTTGCCGCAACCCATTCTCATGATCCGTTGCTCCAGAACATCGGATAAGAAGTGGGTTTCGTTCAAGTCTCTGTACCATTTCCATCCTTTCGAGGCATTCTCTATACACAACCATTGCGATCTCTCCCGAGTGGCGCGATAGTGCGACGAATTGGGATGAATCTGGGGGCTGATTTTTAGGCCAGTTTCCGGAGTACGGATAGCTTGAAGCATCAGGATGTCGTGTTATTGGAGCGACAGTGTAAGGTTCCCCTGATTTAAAAACAAATGTATAACGCCCCAATACAGTCGTTCGCAAAGGAACCTCAAATCTGATGATAATGAACTCCATAGTCGACCACGCGATCTGATAAGGTCGAGAAGAAGCTTGACATGACCTTGCCTTTGACTAGGAGAGCACAAGACATGAAACCCATCTATTGAATGAAAATGATCTACTAGCTGGAAACGATGGTACAATGCTAGGGTTCGTGCTTGAGTTCACACTTCCCCAGGCGTTGTTCAAAATGACGGTACTGCAAGGCTCAATGAAGGGTATTAATTAGGCGTAGACTAGGTGCGTGCGTAATGAGTCCATGGGACGAATACCGAACTCGGGGGAGAGCAGAATGAGTGTAAAGGTAATACAGAGTGTCGATAGCGGCAAAAGATGTGTCCACAATGATTCTACCATCGATGCGTGCAACAAGAGTTTGAGACTCTAACACTGGTCAACCAACCGATTTTTTGGGAAGCTTTGGTTGAAGCTTCCCTAAATGGATGTCAATAACATGTCTTAGGGCACATTGAATGAACTGAACTTACTCCTGTTGCCTGGGCTTGCCAAGTCGTATAGTTTGGGTTCGTGTACGCTGGGTAAGTCAATCAGCATTCTCTAAATAACATCAATTTCGGACCATACCCCCAATATACCTACAGAAAGTCAAAATGAGCATAAGAGTTCACGATAAGCGTTTCACCGTACTCACTTATTGATGTAGGCTTCTGTGGGGAAGTTTGGGGGACTGCAACCAATCTACGGGGGGGCATTGACACGCAGCACTCTAGCAAACAGCTGTAACCTACATTCGATTTTCCAGGATCTTGATATACACGAACGTAGTCGATGTTCATGATCGATGGAAACGTGAGCAAGGGAGAGGGCTGAAGTCGAAGCTTTCAGTTATCAATCCACGTAGGTCGTCAAAATGCACACCTTGCCAAAAGCGTAACTTATGCCTAAATTCATTATAATATGTAGCGGCTCGGCAGGAATAAGACGTTGACTGATGTTCGCTCCAGGATCGGGGCCTTCAAGAACGACGGGGTAATAAGTAAGGAAAGGAGCGGGAGGGAGGGTAAGAACTGACCAACGGTGCTTGGGCGTATTGTCCACGTCGGTTTCCCATCTTGGTACCAAGTTACGTATCCGTCGGCGCCCGGTTCGTACTCAACTCCAAATGTAGAAAAACCCATCTTAGGCAGTTGGTATCCCACCTGGGTGGTATTTGAGAGTCCTGACACAGCCATTTGATACACTCCGCCCTGGGAAAAAAAATGAGGGAAGATCCGGCAACGGGCATCTGAAGTACCGTGTAAGGATTGAGGACTGTATCACTCGCGTTGTATACCGTGCAATCATTTGTACCATTTTTCCAGGCGTACTTAAGAGTGAAAGGGGCAAATCTGTTGAAACATTCGGGTTACTGCTTGAATTAGAAGAGCGCGATGTATGACGTACTGGCAACTTTGAGACACCTGCCCAAGGTGGAGGGGATTGCCATTGTCATCGATGAAATCACCGACAATGGCCTCGAAAAGATCTAATTCCGGCGCAGAACGACCAACAAATGATCCATCACTTCTGGTAGGCCCTGGGTGCTCTTCCCCGGGACAAGTGCAAGCGGAGAGTCGTTGACCGGTCAGGAACGAGAGAGTGCCATTGTGATACTTATCATTTCCAGTGAGAGCGGCTGCCGGCTGACTAAAATATGTCTGATTTGGTAGTGTCCCCCAATCACACGAGTCATAACTGTACGGCCACATTCCTTCGAGAGAAGCGCCATAACCTGCGCGCCCCAGATTCCCTACACACAAAGCAGGTTTGGTCATCTTATGGAAAACTAGAACATTTAAACCCACCTAACATCCAGACAGCGGGCCACAGCCCTCCATAGCGAGGGTCTCCAGGAAGCGAAACGTTGACCTCAAGATAACCACCTTCAATGACACACCAAAAAGTTCAACGCGTGAGGCGGATATCCTCCAGGACAAACATACCAGTAAAGCAAAACTTATTCCAGGTCGAGAGGTGACCCCCTTTGTACGTGAGGTTATGAGTCTCCACCTTGTCCAAGGAAATTTGCAAGCTTCCGATGTCGTTGGTGATCACGGCGCTTGGATCATACCATTCCAAATCACCCGTTTGCCTATCGCACGCATTAGTGAGAAGAGGGCGCAGATGCTGAAAGTCTTCACCAGTAGTGTAGATCGACAGCTTCCCAGTAAGGGTCATCGCCCTGGGAAAGCATAAGTCAAGTAGGTCCCGAGTAAATCTCAATGCCCGCTAACTTACGGCATAGAATGTTCTGTTAGGATCATTGAACTCATCGGAAAAAACCAAGTCCCATTCTGAACCATCAGCGTGTGCTTTGAATTTGTATGCCGAATGAGGTGTTTCGGGATCTATCAGAGCAAAGTGGCCCCCAATCTCAGGCACTTGTCCTGTCGCATTTATGCCACCAATGTTGTAGCCGCCAAGCTTAGTAGGTGCTTTAGCAAGGAAATGTGATAACAGAGGATAGCCAGCGCTGTAGTGAGATGTAAGATGGGGTCGGGTGCACCAGTCAGGGTCAGCTCACAAAAGAGTAATAAGTGCCATCCCAAGAAATACTAAGAAACCAAGATTTGCTATGCCTCTGGCGGTAAGAATTGATCCACCGCGGTCTCTCTTGAGATCACGGCGAGGGTCGGGATTGTGCAAATAGTCTTCGTGACAAGGCGGTTGAGTGCCAGGCTGAAGCGACGAGAGCATTCCTACTCACCGTCAGGCTCCGCGTGTCCGGGGAGCACTTCAGTCCCCCAAGCATTCGGATCAGCAGAGAGGGAATACTGAAAACAGGGTGGTCGGGCCTGATGCAGACACAATCCTATAATGTCACAATACCTTGTCAGAGATAGATGCCCCTAATGAATTTGACGATTGTGGGCTCTTTGAGAATGCTGTCAGTTGAGGAGTACTTGAACTAAGGCCACTGTAGCCCTGCCTTGAGTGAAACAGAACTCGAGTTTGCTGTCCGGAGAGGACTCAGCAGATTCGCTGTTGAGCTAGAATTTAAGTTTTGCATATGAGCGGATGCAGGCATGGGAGGCCCGCGGGTAGCGGCAGAAGATCCAAGAGGCGAGGATCGACCTCGTAAAGTATTCGGTCCGGCGAAAGGATAACTAGGCTTCTTATTGGGTGCTCTCGACATAACCAGCAAGATGTAGTAGGACGACAATAGCCACACGTAGGGAGGGAATAAGCAGAAGGAGTGGTATAACGACAGACAAAGAACGAGAGCGAGGCACTGACAAGAGCCGGCGCAAAACCTTCCAAGGGACGGTGATGGTGATGTTTCCTTCGGACTTTCCTTTCAGAGGGAGCTCGGATGCAAAACTCATTATTGCTGCATCCATTCAAATCTTAAGCACAAGTCATGTGCATTATTGCTTGATTAATGATGCTGTCTATCCTCGTGCCTTTGTTACTGCCAGTGCTCCTGGCACTCGCCAGTCCTAACCAAGAGTCCATTGCGAAGGCAAAGAGCATAAATTTAACCGATCGCCTCAGCGAGGACCCAGATTTCACTCTTTTGTTGCGGCTCTTGCAACGAGCTCGACTCATCCCAACGCTGAACCGACTTGAGGACGCGACCTTGTTCGCACCAACGAACGATGCCATAGAACGCTATATAAATACCAGCCATATATATGCACGCGCTTTGTTTGACACAGAGCCCAACGTAAATGGCCCCCGCGATAATGTGCAGCATGAACTGCGGCAACATCTATTCTATCATCTCCTTAATTTCTCCATTCCTATACTCCCTAAAGATTTCCCGACACAGAAGCCATTAATATTTGAGACTTTGCATTACCCTGACCTACCCGTCCAACATCCCTCTCCTGAACCTCCACCATCGCCCCCCTGGCTCCCGGAACCGGGTGGATTGCTCGATCGTGCTCCGCAGAGGCTGCGTGCTGTGTTCCGAGACTCGAAGCCCTGGATTGCTGTTGATTCCATGCGTCGGGGCGGAGTTGAAGTTGCAAAGGAGCCCATTAATGCTTCGAATGGAATCATCATTCCATTAAGAAATGTTATCCCTCTACCAGGAAACCTTTATCAGGAAGTCAAGGCTCATCCACTTATCTCCGAATTTGCCTCTATCCTATCCCCGGAGACGATACAGACTCTTTCGACTTCTCCACACATCACGCTATTTTTCCCCGTTGATTCTGCATGGTCAGTCTTAGATGATATCGAAAGGAAATACCTGCACAGTGGTTACGCAGAACACGATGTAGGAAAATTGGTAGCTATGCATTCAAGTGGCTCTGGCATCAATGGCTCTGGAGGAGTTGGATGGAGTGACACTTGGGATGAGGGAAGGTCCTGTGAGTTTTACCTTGTTGTGTGCGCGTGACGTCGAATGATCGAGTCCATCTCCCAGTCACCACCGTCGATGGAGAGGAGCTTAAGATTGGCTATTCAGCAGATGGAACAGTCCAGATTGGGCAGTCTACTGTTGTACAAGACGACATCTACGCCGCCAACGGCGTTCTCCACATCATATCCTCCCTGCTAGTCAAGCCAGACACCTTCCAGATAAATGCGGAGAAATACCTTCTCACTCTGAATGCAACATCCTTTGTTTCTCTCCTGCGCACTGCAAATCTCTCTCATTACGTTGACGATGAGCATGATGCCGAGAATTGGACGATACTTGCTCCCAGAGATGACGACATGATCTGGTCGAATCCCCCAGAGAACCTCTCAAAGGTTCTCAAGTACCATTTCATACCCGGAAAGACTCTCCCGGGCGAGCTAGTTGACGGTTCTCTGTTGGGGTCAGAGCTGCGAGAGAAAGGGTTGCAGGGGGGTCGGCAACGCATACCGGTGAGCGTCAGCTCCAAAGGCGGGACGGTTTCCAAGGATGCGAATGGCGAGGTCAGTTTCTCCGATGCGCGGGTGGTCTCAACACCAGGCATGTATCTGGTCCATGTTCGCCGAGCCTGTCTCTAACGGTCAGTTTAGTTGAGGCACCGAGTTTCATCATTTATATCGTATCGCATCTCTTGGAGCCTCCACCTTCAGCCATTGCAAGGATCGAGAGCGACGCTCAGTTGTCTACATACTTAGCAGCGGCATTCTCAACTGGACTCATCGAGATAATCAAGGAAACCCCTTCAACTACAATTCTTACACCTTATAACAGAGCATTCGAAAAGCTTGGTTTATTGACCTCCTATCTTCTTTTGCCCGAGCAAGATTCTCGGAAAGCCCTTTGTGCAGTCTTAAAACATCACATCCTTACATCAGTTGCTTACTCGACAGATATTGGTGACAAGCGCTCGTTCAACACACTGGAAGGGACAAGTGTCACGATCAATGGCACGTCCGTCATTGGGTCTGGCAGTTGGAACGTGACGGGGAAATTGCACCCCTCAGACACGCTCACTAAGTCAGGAGTTATTCATGCAGTTGAAGATATCCTTCTGCCGTCGCGCTTGAGGGTAACTATTGGGGACTTGGCTCTTGCAGCAGGGTGCCATACTATGATCGAACTGATCCACCGTGCTGGACTAGGGAAAGTTTTGAATGGAACGCTGACGATGAAGGACGTCGATGATCTGGATGACTGGGAACGACGTCATCGGCGAAAGGACAACTCGAATCTTGCTCCCATTTCAGGCGATTCCTCGCCGATGGGTTGGACGTTGTTGTGTCCCCCAGATAGCGGATTCAATCGAGTCAATCTCTCCCGTCTTTACGATGACAAAGATGCGTTGCAAACACTTGTGTTACAACACATCATCCCAACACCTGCGACGCCAAATGATTTGTCTTATGCTGAACCGATATCTTTCGGGAACGATGCCACTTTCACCACGTTGCTTTCACCCTCTACATATTACGGCGACCTCGTCATGCGGGAAACGACGTCAATCGTTGTCGAAGCCACGACCCCGATGCTCCCACTTCTGGGCGATACACCAAAGTCGGACTCGCCACAACGGGAGCGTGCAATACTTGTTGGCATAAAGGGAGCACGCGGTACATCTGGAGAAACGGACTATGCCCGAGTCATCTCTTACGGGCGGACTACCACCCCGGACATCTCAGGAACCAGAAGCGGGGTAGTGAAGATCGATCGAGTTCTTGAGCCATGGGTTCCCGGGTGGTGGCGGGTTTGGGGTTGGGCTATCCCCATGTGTGCCATGGGTTCACTGGGCATTATAGCTTTCTGGTCAACTGTGGTGTACTTTTTCCGGAAAGGGGAGAATGAAGCGACGTACGAGCCGTTAGATACTGGGGATGCCGAAGATATTTAGGGGTAGGTGTTTGGTATGGGGATGTGTAGCTTTTCCGATGTAATACCTGGTGTAATTAATTGCGAACCCTCGCCTTGGAATCGCTCAGCTGGAACCACTGACTAGATCATGTGAACGGGCATAAAGGAAATTTGTCACTGGGCGAAGCAATTGTCACTCAAATTGTTCGAATACTATCATTACTACATCGTGGTACTATTATTAAGACCTTAGCATGCATAATGGCAGAACCCAGAACAATCGCACAAATTCGATGGATAGAGTATAGCAAATTACAATAATTTGTCCGTTTACGAGCTGTACTGTGACTAAATGGTGTTCTCCTTGCCGAAGTAGTCTTCGAGAAGTGAGAACGGCAAAACCCGCGCTCAACACGCCTTTCGGGACCGAGTAGGGCTGGGACATTCCCCAGCAACAGGGCTGAACGTCTTCCTCTTTCTAATTCTCCTTTCCTCAGCATCCTTCTCCCATCGTTTCAACTGCGCCATAAAACCAGAATTAGGTCTAACCTGTGGTCTCTTACTCCGAACGAACTCTAGGGCTTCATCAACGCCAAGTCTCCGTGTCGACATCAAATACGCCATCACGATCGTTGCACTTCGGCTTATTCCTCCATAACAATGGCATAATATTCGCGCATCTGGATCAGTGGCGAGGGTTGATGCGATGAAATTGAGGGCTTTGGGGAAGTGGGAACGAAGATCCGATGATGGCGTATCGGTAACAGGTATTTTCAAGAAAGTTAGAGATGATGATGTTGAACGAGATGACTCGGTTATGGGAGAATTTGATGGAGATGGCGTGACCCTATCTTTAGTCGGAGCGGTGGAGACGGTAGGGATGACGTTTGGAGGGTCGTTCATAACGGAAATGACGTGCGTTATTCGGTACTTTTCTAGAGTGGGTGCGGAGAGGGCGGGAACGACACCGGAAAGGTAGAGGCGGGGTATAATTTCGTCTAGGTCGAATACGAGGTTACGAAGGACCTTGAGGACGGGTGGCAAGTCTCGATACATGACTCCTTCAGCGAGGGGATATTGCTAATCAAGTAGAGAAAAAAATATGAACTCTGGGATCCCTGACATGGGTTATTGAACCACTCACTGATATCTTTCCTTCACCGTCCGTTACAAATATCATGGCACTGGTTCGAGTCAGTCCCAGCGAGGGTTTCGGAGTGCATACGGATTTATCTTCACGGTGGTGGGCATTGGGATCGGGTTCTGGAGTAGTTGGGCGCTGAAAGAAGAGGTTCAGACGTGTGGCATGACAAGTCGTTAGCAAACACTCACAGTGGGGGGTCCTTCGGGGTTGACAGACGGTGAACTTGGAGGGATCATGGACATGGCAAGAGAAAAAACACAGAGCTACAAATTGGCAGGAGGCAGGGAGAATACAAAGATGGCTGCCTGTATAGGTTTAGAGCATACAGAATACAAGTGGCCTAAGTCCAGAGGCCAGAAACGAATAGTGAGATAGTTGAAGAATGTGAGAGAGTGGCAAGGGGTGGTTTCCCTGGGGAACAACAAATATCAACAAGCCGTAACAGGGAAAGGTTTCCACCCGGCACCGGCTTACATATTGGCAGCTTTTGCGGCGATAAAATGGAAAACTTTGCCGGCAGAGAACAGAATAGGGGCGTCAAGCGATTCCATGGGGAGTTTTTTTTTTTTTGCACATTGTGCGGAGAAGCGAACACTTTCCTAACTAGAGCAGAAAGCCAGTACGTAGCTGATTGACCATTTATGCAAGGTGTTATGTTCGACAGTTGTATTGTTTTTGCTGGTTCGCCGGGGTTTATGATGGGGTGATCCCTGTCCGCGCGTAAATCAATAAATCAATATGCGAGAAACAGAACGCTTAGTAACCGATGGTTGTCCTGAAACCGCCAACATTGAATGCGCAGCAAATGGCTGAAATCACGTTTATTACGGGGGCGTACTTCCTATTCCAGTTATGGAGGAGAAAAGCAAAGCATCCCAGGTCATGGGCTCGTTCAGCCAAACAACCGCGCGCATTCCATCACACAAACGCGCGCGTGCGCGCCTCGAAATGGCGACGACAATGATGCCTGTATCTCCCCAAATTCCGCCACGCTCGATGCATGCAATCTCCTCCCATGTGATAGATAATGTCGGGGAACCTACCTACTCGTTCCAAGTTGAAAAGTCTTCCCGACTGCGCCAAATGCTCAAGAAATAGATTAATAGTGAGAAGGCAAAGACTATGAGTGCCTGTAATACGGAAAGCTCAGCGAGCTTATTTCGACGATTAAAGAACAACGCCAGGACACAGGAACACGCTCGACCAACTGCATCCAATTGACATGACGCTACGCAAGCCGTTCGGGCACATCCCCAGTTTTCATCATAATGCGCAAGAGTATATCCAGATGGCCTAGAAACTACCCAGCTCGGTGTTGTCGTGTCCTCCTTCGCGTTGACCAAGCGCAATTGCATTTTGCAAGCAGAGCTTCGCTTCCTGTATACCAGGAACTAGACAAAGCTTTTCTCATGCAGCAGGCAAAAGTCCTCTCTAGATCACGGCAAGATATAAGAGCCCGAATGGAAACAAGAAACCACGTCGTGAAAAAGGCGGGAACTGGAAATACTTACACGCCAGAATTCCAGCGTGGTCACGTGAGCTATGGCACGGCTAATTCAGTTCCCTTCACAACACCACAACGTCTTCCGAAACCACTGAGTTCTAACAACACACCACGCTCCTTACATCGCCCACCGCTAGCTGACGCAGCAAGAAATTATATACGGAGTGCTATTCTTGAAATTCGCGCATTCTTCACCCTACTTTCCCCCCCCCCAAGCAGCCAAAATGCCCACGACAGACCGTACGAAAGAGTTCCGCGCATGTGTCGAGTCCATGCGAAGTCGTTCATCGATCCCCACCCGTGATACTCAGTCAAAACAGCGGCCACTCTCGACTCAAAAGAGCGAGTTCTCTCGAATGGCGTCAACTATAGGAAAGGACTTGGCGACTACTGCGGCAAAGCTGGATAAGCTTGCTCAACGTTGAGTACAGTCATTACAGGGAATCAAAAATCAAATGCCCATTGAACTCTCGTTTTTTACAGTTGCGAAGCGAAAGACTCTGTTTGATGATCGGCCAGTTGAAATTAGCGTGAATAGTTTTCGATTCTGTTTCTCTCCAATAGCAACAAAGCATTCACCGACGTTGTTGGGTTACTAGGAACTTACATTCATAATAAAGCAAGATATCGCCAACCTTAATAAGCAAATATCGGCTTTGCAGTCATACGTGAAGCAACAAAAAGCAGGCAATAAATCCGGTTCGAGCAAACAAATCGATGAACACAATACGAATGTGGTCACACTGCTGCAAAGCAAGTTGGCGTCGACGAGCATTAACTTTAAAGAGGTCTTGGAGATTCGCACGCAGGTGCGCTCATTGTCCCTCCTCGTATATTTGTCAGTTGATACGTTTTTATTCTACGTACACAGAATATGAAAGAGTCCAAAAATCGAACTGAGCAATTTATGTCTAACGCTGCATCCGCAGCCGCCCAGAATCCTCCGTCACAAAGTATATAGTTCTACTATAAGCGCAAGCTGAACGACCCCGCGCCCTTGCTGACTTTTGCTACGCAAATTGCCTTAGGCTCGCTCCTCTTCACGACCTCCTCGAGTCCTAAAAAATCAAATAAGGGCAAGGGGCGTGCCAACGATGATGAGTTACTCGCTTTAGACTTGCACTCGGCTGAAGAGAGTATTGGGATGAATGGGGGTCAACCTTACGGGGATGGAGGATACCACCAAATGCAACTAGTAGAGCAGCAGGTGAGCTCCGAATCTTTCTTCCACCGTCCTCTCTGTGTACCTGTCGACGTAAATCCTCACTTTACTAAAAATCACCAAAAAAAAAATAGGATGATTACATCCAACAACGCTCAACAGCCATCACCTCGATCGAATCGACCATCGCCGAGCTTGGCCAAATCTTCACTCAACTAGCGACGATGGTGGCGGAGCAGCGTGAAACCGTTCAGCGTATAGATGCAGATACGATAGACATTGCAAACAACGTTGGCGGGGCACAGAGGGAGTTGCTCAAGTATTATGCTAGTATCAGTTCCAACAGGTGGTTAATGATGAAGGTTTTCGGTGTGCTTATTGTATTTGTGAGTGACGTATGTTGTATCGATGGATCATTTCATGTGGCTGATAGAGATTCCTAGTTCCTACTTTTCATTCTAGTTTCATAATACTTTGTCATTCGGACTTTTGATGCATCTTGTGTTTTCTTTGTCGTTCTATCTATACCTTGGGGCTGGCGCAAGCCCTTATCCCGCCACTTTCGACGAAGGTCTCTCAGAGAAAATTGGACTTATTTCACTGCTGAATACAACAACTCAGAAACACGATGAGCTACGTACACCCATTCATTCTTCCCTCCCCGCAGGTCTTCCAACTGCCTTAACTCTTATCTGTTCGCCTATCCACTCCCCATATATCAGCTGGTTTGCCACACCTGGAACAAGGGATTTGAATGCCTCTCTGGTTGGAATACATGCTGACAGTTTCCAATTGACCTCAAAAATGGTACCACGAGTTGTGACGGTGATGAAGATTTCATCCCATTGCAAGCATCGCTTCATGTGATCCCTAAGCGCTGAACGGAGCTGTTCTCATGAGTCTCCGAACTGAATCGACTGTCCGGGCAGACGAGCCTGAACAGAGAAAAAAGGGACCATTGTGGCGAGAAATGTGAGAACCGAGCTCGACTGAACATCGAAAAAGAGTCGACCGCGGTACTAAATTTCAGAATTGGTGGTGGTTTATGTGCCTCCAAAGATTACCGTAGAGGCAGCTTCAGCTTAGTTTCCGTGCAGGTTGCACGTCTCCATCGTATCCCCATCCCGACTACTACTGTGACAACTTATGGTTCTTTGTTGCCAAATCGGGCTAGGATATATATCCCTCACCGCCCGAGCACCGCATATATTACCGATACGACTAGGTGGCGCTGGCGGCCTGTTCTCTAGAGTGTGATCCACAACTAACTGTACGTCGTCGATTGAAGCCTTAGGTAGGAAAAGCCGAACAAAAGGTCAAAGACCGCTTCGCTAATTTACACTAGATGCCCCTCCCACGTGTTGTCGAAGAAACGGATGAGGATTCGATTCCGTTCATCATGCACTGCACGACACGTCCACGTCTAGCGAGACGTCCCCACCAAGTGCCATTTTCTCCTTGGGGACGCGGGGACTGAAGACGAGGATCCACTTGCCGTGAGTAACTGATTGGCGCCCGATTAATCATCTTGACCAAAGAACCATCATCCGTTCCCCTTAGGATGCTTTCTTTGAGACGGAATCCGGATGGAATGTTTTGGATGATATTGAGCCAATCGAAGATAACAAAAGTACCAGGTTCGCCACTGGAACCAGACCCTTTTTTCTTAAGCGAACCCCCACTACTTTCTCTACATTCTCCAACTTCTCCACCGTCTCCGACTTTTCGACGTTTTCCAATGGTCCGGCCCCATCGACCCGGAGCACGGGCGGACATTTCCCCTGAGGGATCTTTGCGAGAAAGTGATTGAAAAGCACCTATGGCTCCAAATGGCCAGGATCGTTAGCTCATCCTGCTATTCTCAATCACGGAATCTCATCCTGCATCGGTTCCTTATCTTGCAATTACGCCGTCCGGGGAGAAAGGATATATGGCTACGAATTGATCGGAGGCCGGACTGGGCATTCTCTCACTTGTGCGGAAACTCGGCACATCTCCTGCCTATGATACGGTAGGACTTCGTCATTGATCCGTTGCTGAATATGTTTTGATGCCCCTACAGGCCCAGCTGTCGGCATCTAAAGGAAGCCCTCGCTGGAAGGGCACGCCAAGAAAACACGCAGGAATTCAAAAGACCGCCCTTTCTCGCTGATTTCGGTGAATATCTTCGCGTCATCTCTGAAGAACTGCTGGAGTATAAAATCTGGCCGGTATGACTCCATTTCGGGGAAAGACCCATGAAAGATGCTCATAGCCGTAATTGCTCCAGGAGAACTGTTGGATGTTCTGTTCCCTATTGCAAGAGCATCTTGGAGGATCAGGAGACGGGTATTATACATTCGGAGCGCTGTTGCTCCCTACACTGCACCATTTATCCGAGGGAGAATATCGGAGCGAGCAGCAGCCCAAGTGACACCCAATACAGTAAGCCATATGTCATAGTGAATCGGGAGGCTGCTTAGTAACCTATCATCAGATTATGACAGCATTACAAAGTCCAGCTGGGGTATGTGGACCTTTTTCTGTCGGTTTTCTGTGGCCCACGGTTTGATTTCCACAGTCCTTAAGCCATTCATGGAAACCCTTGAGGAGCGTGAAGCCAAGAGGTGGCTTGCTAATTCAATCACCATATTTCTTGCCAAAATGTGTATGCAGTGCAAGGGTTAGATATTCACCATGACATACGAAACATCCTAATGGGGATCGATGGCTCCTCACTTACCACGCACTTAGAAAAGAGTGGTTTGCACTCTCGCATTGCCATATTCTGCATTGACGCCCTTGCTGTTTACCAGAGGAAAATGTTCTCCAACTTCCCAACCCTCTAATCCTCAACTCCGACATCCCAGATCTCGCTTCTCAGATCCGGTCAAAGATCTCATCCGATGTTCAATATGCTGCATTATTTGGCCTTCTCCATGTTGTGGAAATTGAAAACCCTCAGCTGAGCTTTTCAGCAGATTAGAAACATTCATTGCTGAATCGGTGATCAAATGGTGGAAGTCTGAGTCTGCTGGAAGCAGCAAGAAACCCCCTGATCGCATTGGAGAGAGTGATTGTGTGGTGCCATGTATGTGATTTGCCTTCGACTCCCCAATGCGAGGAGATATATAGACGGCAGTTCACAGAGTCAGAGCCACTGTCAGTTAGGAGGTCAGAATCTGGCGACATCTTTGCTTCCGACCTCTATTGCAATGCCGTCGCTTTGCTTACCAGTACTATGGAGTGATTTCGGTTTCTGCTGGACATATCGCACATTCAGCTCCATCTCATTCACCTGATGCGGGTTGGGAAGGCGACACCATGGATCATCCTATGAACACCTCCCAGCAGTGCAATGGCAAGACTCTGGATGGGATGGGTGCCTCAACACCATTCGAGGGCGCGCTGGTTCGGTCCACTCGGTCTCATTCTCACCTGATGGGTCCAAGGTAGCCTTGGGATCCAATGACCATACAGCACGAATCTGGGATGCAATAATTGGGGAAGAACTTAAGGTCCTCCAAGGGCACACTGACTGGGTCCGCTCAGTCTCATTCTCACTTGGTGGGTCCAAGGTAGCCTCGGGATCGATGACAAAACAGGACGAATCTGGGATGCAGCGACTGGGGAAGAACTCAAGGTCCTCCGAGGACACACTGGGTGGGTCCACTCGGTATCATTCTCATCTGATGGATCCAGGGTAGCCTCAGCATCTGGGACAGCACAGTACGAATCTGGGATGCAGCAACTGGGGAAAACTCCAATCCTCCGAGGACACACCACCGGTCTACCGCTCATTCTCATCTGATGCCAGGTGCCTCAGCTCCATGACAGACAGTACGATCTGGATGCAGTGACTGGGGAAGAACAAAGTCCTCCGAGGACCACTGGCTGGGTCACTCGGTGTCATTCTCATCTGGTGAATCCGGGGGTAACCTCAGCATCTTTTGACAAGACGGTACGAATCTGGGATGCAGTGACTGGGAAGAACTCAAAGTCTCCGAGACACACTGACCTGGTCTGCTCGGTGTCATTCTCATCTGATGGATCCAGGGTAGCCTCAGCATCCGATGACAAGACAGTACGAATCTGGGATGCGGTGACTGGGGAGGAACTCAAAGTCCTCCGAGGACACACTGACTGGGTCCACTCGGTGTCATTCTCATCTGATGGATCCAGGATAGCCTCAGTATCCCGTGATCACACAGTACGAATCTGGGATGTGGCAATGGGAGAAGAAATATCCGTCAGCGACGAAGAATCCATCTCAGATGACATCACCCTGGATTCGCCTTCCAACCCAATCACTGTTCCTAATCAGTGCTCATTTGCACAAGTCAGGCATGATGAGCTGAACCATATTCACCTTTTCCTCGGAACATGTGGAACCCCCATTTTATCGCCCCTACTCATATAAGCGACAGGATATCCACTTGGGAGATTTTGGGGTGATGGGCAATCCATTACTGTCCACATGGAGGGAGGGCGTGTTCAGACTATTCAGCACCAAAGAGATATCGGTGTGTTTAAATCCGACATCATGATTTAGGAGTCCGAGCCCCAATTAAGATATTGTGAGTGGATTGCTCTTGAGATCGACAACTTTACTACCTTTTTTTCGAATGACTAATTTTTCTTTACAGATTGCAGACGCGCATTCACTTTAGGCATAATCAATGTGATATCTTCCTCTCCCAAGTACAACCTCCCTCTCGTACCCCACTCAAGCGATCCCTGCCAAATTGAAGTAGTAGGCAAGGGCGGAGGCGTTACCGATGCGGCCCATAACGTTTATATAATTGCTTTGACTTATCCATATCAGGGGAGAAAAAAGTGGTGCTATAATGGGTTTTATGCTATAGTTCCTTTTCTCTAAAATACATAGGCACAAAAGCAAAGGTCGTTGATGCACCATTTCCTTTTTCATCATTTCGTTTTCCTTCTGCAGTCTTCAGTCATTGGAAATCAACGATGTCCTTGGAATATGGAATAGTATGTGTGGGGTGCCCGGTCCAACCCAGTTGCGGGGCACATTGGGCCACTGTGACCGAAAGTATGTTAAGCTTGTAACAACTCGGCAAAGAAGTCCGTGAGCAGGTCCGTGTCAGGACCTCCCTGGCATAAACTATTGGAATATCAATTGATTGTCATGTTTCGCGAGGTCTTGCATGAACCTCAGACTCTTAATTTCGGGACTCGACGATTGGTTCAATCAGAATCTGATAAATCAACATCGACCATGTGCTTGTTGATGGCCGGAGCGCTTGAGCGCCGCATGCATTGGAAATACGCTTTTGAATCTCACCATAATTCCTCAACGGTGTTGTTTCAAGAAGTGTTGTTTCTGTTCGAGTCAGTGATGGGTCGCCGAGCCATAGGGAAATCAGACTCGTACCCAGTCAGAAGAGCTCGTGGATCGTGCTCACATTAATAACAATAAGTGGCAATAGTGATATTAACCACCATAAAATTCCCGAGGATACTGCAGTATCACGAGTTTTGAGCATGCTCCCTCGTCCACCATTCCAAATCCCAGCAAGCAATGTCCTGCTCCGAGCACTCCCCGCCAACAAACTCGAACCATCGAACCCCGTGCGTGGGTTGGGCACACAGAGACATAGCAAGAGTACGAGCCGCCAAAGTGCATGAAGAATGTTAAGCGAAGAACGGAGAATTTGACGATCCATGCGAAAGCTACATATGGGCCTCATACAGGTCATGATTTAATTATGCAGGTGTTTTGAGCTATTGGTTGCGGCGCCGTCGTTGGGAAGAGAGAGGAGGCGGAAGGATGAACGGAACTGCTATTTATCAAAGAGATGGTGATGATCGTTTCACTCCCGACGGGGGGAGTTGATTTATGGACCATAAAAAGCCTAGAGGCACTTCCTGGTCCTCTGCATTTTTAAGTATTTAGGCTAGTGGTAGCGACGCGTGTTTGAGCACAGTTGACTTACGAAAAGGTAGTATGCATCTCCATGTACGTCGGAAAATAGCTGCAGATCGACATCCCGTTCGTGTGTCGTACCAAATCCCGAATCGTACAACACCTTCTCCACGTCTGCACCCCCTTTCTAACTTCCGCCCGCGCACCCAAGTCACCCTGGGGGCTAGGTCGCCGTACCTGTTGCTCTCCATCCGCCGGAGACGGATGAATGAAAAAACTGATTCAGTGTGTTGCAAACATGTGAATCTGAGGGTCAAGTCGAGTACAGCACTTGGTGCATCTGATTTTCAGGTTGTATAACTTAGCTGCTCGAGCGGAAGCACGTTTCAGCCAAGAGTAGCGCGATTTTTAGCCATCAGAGTTGGCAAGCAAAGTAACCTCTGGGCCCCTATATTTCCCACAATACCGCGCGAGAACTAGACCGAAACCAGAGAACAAGACCAAAGGTCTTGAAGCGCGGCCAACAGTCCTGTGAAATAGACAGAATAGTGGAGGGAGCTAATCAACGAGAGTTGGCCGAGCGGAAAAACGAATCTTGCCCGCCGATTTATCATGAGTTGATCATGAGGGTGACAGGGAATAAGACAGCTAGAGAACGGGAAAGGAACTTGATGCCCTCACCACCATGGGTGCGTTCGAGGTTTCAAAGCTGTGCGCAGATGTCACGGACACCCAACTTTAAAGACGGAAAACCCAAGCTGGATTTATGATGTATGGACGACAGACAGTACTAGTAGCTAGCAGTTGGAACGGCGCTTTCGTCACTATATTGTAGACCGGAAGGCTGACATTGTGTGCAGGATTATTTCGGACGAATGGTGTCCAGTGTAAGGCAACAACTCCACGGTCAAGCCGCCTGCCAACAGGGTGGGGGGCATCGAGCACCGCGCCTACATATCTGGCAGTGCCGCGGTGGAATCCTCTGTATTCCAAGGTTGCATCTGAACGGGGCTGACGATCCGAGAATTACGCTGCACACTTCTATTCCAATAGAGGCTGCTCAGGCTGGCATCCTGCCTACTGCTCACCAAGGTCCTTATCGCATTATTGGTTGTGATTTGGGGCCAAGTTTGTAGAGCATCCGGCGCCACACTAGCAGCTAGCTGCAGTGAAAGATGACGGCCTGATTACTCCGCGACGATCAACCACGGTCAACGTTGGATCCGGAGGTTTGTTGGTCAGCCACCAAGCCGCGCTGCCGTTTGCGATGATATACTGTGGCACTAGTTATCGCATACAAGCCGTGTATTGCACCCCTCCGCTGACCCTCGCTCGGCCACACTCGTCAACTAGGAGCAAAAAACAAACGATACAGTAATCACATCATCACGTCAAGCGATGATCATGACAGTACCGAGCGCGTCACGGTGATTCCGAACGTCAATTGAGTGACGCACGTGCGGGGGTGTATGAAAATTCCCCGGAGTGTTTATGTTTGTGCAAAGGCGGACTGAATTCCCAGTAAGAGTGGCCTGTGGGGACAGTATTCTTGTAACTCTCTGGGCTTTTAATGCCCACAGAGGACTTCTGAAGAGGTCCCCACCCGCAATGACCCCTTCGAGCACCTTTATGGTGGCTACACCTATGGCATCCTCTTCTCCGCGATGTGGGTTAGGCTTGTTATGCGGCCTTGGGCTTGCTAAATACTTGGCTACAGACTCTTGGGGATAATCACCGTGCAGTCGAGATCTTATTTTCTGCGTTATTCCAGCGATCCCAACACGACGAAACTTCTGGTATTCCCTCGTCATGATAGCTTGTGACTTTGACGCCACCTCAACGTCTTCCGAAACCACTGAGTTCTAACACACCACGCTCCTTACATCGCCCGCCGCTAGCCGACACAGCAAGAAATTATATACGGAGTGCTATTCTTGAAATTCGCGCATTCTTCGCCCTACTTTCCCCCCAAGCAGCCAAAATGCCCACAACAGACCGTACGAAGGAGTTCCGCGCATGTGTGGAGCCATGCGAAGTCGTTCATCGATCCCCACCCGAGATGCTCAGTCAAAACAGCGGCCACTCTCGGCTCAAAAGAGCGAGTTCTCTCGAATGGCGTCAACTACAGGAAAGGACTTGGCGACTACTGCGGCAAAGCTGGATAAGCTTGCTCAACGTTGAGTACGATCATTACAGCGAATCAAAAATCAAATGCCCATTGAACTCTCGTTTCTACAGTTGCGGAGCGGGAGGCTCTGTTTGATGGTCGGCCGGTTGGAATTGGCATGAATGGTTTTCGGTCCTGTTTCTCTCAAGTAGCAACGGAGCGTTCGCCGGCGTTGTTGGGTTACTGCACCTTCTGGGGACTTACGTTCATGATGAAGCAAGGTATCGCCGACCTTAGTGAGCGGATATCAGTGTCGGCTTTGCGGTCATGCGTGGAGCGGCAGGGGGCGGGCAGTAAGTCCGGTTCGGGCGGACAAATTGATGAACACAATACGAATGTGGTCACACTGCTGCAAAGCAAGTTAGCGTCGACGAGCATTAACTTTAAAGAGGTCTTGGAGATTCGCACGCAGGTGCGTTCATTGTTCCTGCTCGTATATTTGTCAGTTAATACGTTGTTTTTGGTTTTTACCCTACGTACACAGAATATGAAAGAGTCCAAAAATCGAACTGAGCAATTTATGTCTAACGCTGCATCCGCAGCCGCCCAGAATCCTCCGTCACAAAGTATATAGTTCTATAAGCGCAAGCTGAACGACCCCGCGCCCTTGCTGACTTTTACTACGCAAATTGCCTTAGGCTCGCTCCTCTTCACGACCTCCTCGAGTCCTAAAAAATCAAACAAGGGCAAGGGGCGTGCCAACGATGATGAGTTACTCGCTTTAGACTTGCACTCGGCTGAAGAGAGTATTGGAATGAATGGGGGTCAACCTTACGGGGATGGAGGATACCACCAAATGCAACTAGTAGAGCAGGTGAGCTTTGTTCCAATTCTTTCCCGTTCTTTCTTCCATGGTCCTCTCTGTATACCTGTCGACGTAAATCCTCACTTCATTAAAAATCACTACAGGATGATTACATCCAACAACGCTCAACAGCCATAACCTCAATCGAATCGACCATTGCCGAACTTGGCCAAATCTTCACTCAACTAGCGACGATGGTGGCGGAGCAGCGTGAAACCGTTCAGCGTATAGATGCAGATACGATAGACATTGCAAACAACGTTGGCGGGGCACAGAGGGAGTTGCTCAAGTATTATGCTAGTATCAGTTCCAACAGGTGGTTAATGATGAAGGTTTTCGGTGTGCTTATTGTATTTGTGAGTGACGTATGTTGTATCGATGGATCATTTCATGTGGCTGAGAGAGATTCCTAGTTCCTACTTTTCATTCTAGTTTCATAATATTTTGTCATTCGGACTTTTGATGCATCTTGTGTTTTCTCTGTCGTTCTATCTATACCTTGGGGCTGGCGCAAGTCCTAATCCCGCCACTTTCGACGAAGGTCTCTCAAAGAAAATTGGACTTATTTCATTACTGAATACAACAACTCAGAAACACGGTACACCCGTTCATTCTGTTAGAAGTTAGGAAGGAATATCGACGTCCCATATTTTGGGCGCACGGACCTGCAGCCGCCAGAGATTTTCCTTTATTCCTTTCTTGTCTTTCTTGTAGATCGACGTCGCTTTAGGCTTAAAAGCCACTGGACGCGACCTCTTTTGTTTCCCTCAGTTCTACTTTCGTGAACTGAGGTGAGGTCTACCTTTCTTGCGCGACTACTCTTACTAAAGACTGTTGTGTATTCTACTTAGCGCTAATCCTACACTAGGTACACTAATATCATTCTAGTTCTACTTTCGTGAACTGAGCGCTAATCCTACGCTAGTTCTCTCACAGGTTATTTGCCCAGTGAACTCCGTACCCATCCACCTCACCCCTCTCCATGTCTTCCACCGCCATATCTACTGATGGTTCTCGTTATTCCATAAAACCCCTTGATAACGAAGGAAAGAATTACCGAGTTTGGGCATCTAGGATGAAACTCATCCTCGAGGCTGGAAATGTTTGGGAAGTTGTCGACCCCTCTTCTAACGGTGCTGTTATGCCAAAGGGGCTCGACGCCGATGACCCATTGCTTCTTGAATGGACAAAAAAGGATAAGTTAGCCATGACTCAACTAAAACTCTATATCGATGACGAACCTATGATGTCCGTTGAAGAGCAAACTTCTGCTCGAGGAGTCTGGCAAGCTTTGTCTGATAAGTACAATGGTCTCGGTTCTCATGACGCTGGCATCCTTACCTCCAAGCTACATCGCTTCCAACTTGACGACTCTAAACCACTCGAACCCCAGATCAACGCCATGTGACAAATACGTAGCCAACTGGCTGTACTTGGTCAACCCGTCTCTGATTCTGGCTTTGCAATCGCTATCTCCGAGGCCCTTCCCACTTCATATGAGGTCTTTAAGACCCTGACTGTCGCAACTGTCGATGACTCCTCCCAACTGAATACTGCCACACTTCTTCGCCAAATCTACCGTGAAGAAAAACGTAAAGAACATTCTTCCGGTATTGCCACTATGGTGGCTAAAACACCAAAACCTGATCGGAATAACTCACCGAAACCAAGCGGTCAAAAACCCAACACTCCCAAGTCTAACGTTCAGTGTACTAATCCCAAGTGTGGAAAACTTGGTCATACGTTTGAGCGATGCTGGGCAGAGGGCGGAGGATCAGAAGGAAAGGGACCAAGAAGAGCGAAGGCTAAGCGAACGCCACCTGCAGGACCCTCTAGAGAGTCTGCTAAAGTCGCCACGTCCGACACAAAAGTTGAAATGCTGTTAGCTTCTGCGGAAAAAACATATTCCGGTCAAGAACGCCACACAGAGTGGGTAGTTGATTCCGGCGCTACGGTGCACTTATGCGGGAATCAAGAATGGTTTACCGCTTATCGCCCCCTTCATCCTCCTCGAGAGATAATCCTTGGAAACAAAAAATCGATTCTTGCACCTGGAATTGGTCAGATCGAAGTCGAGATCAGAATCGGAGACTCTTCTCGACTCACCACCATCCGTAACGTCCTTCATTGTCCAAAAATCGCCCACAATCTCCTTTCTGTCCCGCAACTCTCTTCCTCCGGTGCCCAAGTACGATTCCTTGACAAGACTTGCCACATCCTCAACTCGTCTAATGAGCTAATCGCCATAGCCACCCTTGACAACGGCCTATTCCGACTACCTGTAACAGTTGTTGGTACAGAAAAGGCCTTCATATCCACTATCAACGCACCAGAAAACGCCAATCTGGCACGATCTGTAACAGCCAGCGCATCACTTGACATCTGGCATACGCGCTTAGGCCACATATCAAAGGAATCTATCCTTAATATGATGCGCAGTGGAATGGTAAAAGGGATGGACGTACTAGGGAAAAGATCACCCGAAGAACCAACTTTCTGCCAAGGTTGCGAAGCGTCTTCCCACCATCGCAACCCGATCCCATCCGAAACACATACCAGAGCCGACCAAGTTCTTGGACGCGTCTTCTCCGACGTCTGTGAAGTCCGAACTAAGACGAGAGAAGGATATAAGTACTTTATTACCTTCGTAGACGACTATAGTCGCTACCTTACCGTCTATCCCATGAAGAACAAGAGTGACGCTCTGGAACGGTTCAAGGAATACCTTGCTGAAGCGGAAAGGTAAACCGGGCAGAAGTTGAAGACCCTGTGGACAGATGGAGGAGGCGAGTATTTCTCGAATGACTTCGTCACATTCTTGAAGGGTATGGGAATTCTCCATGAAAAGACTAACCCTCAGACTCCGCAAGAGAATGGGGTAGCAGAACGAGTTAATAGAACGTTGGTCAGCATGGCTATCGCAATGATGAAAGGAGTTGAGTCTCAGATCGGACGTACCTCCTGGCCCTATGCCCTTCGACACGCCGCTCTCATCAAAAATGTCTCTCCCCATTCATCACTTCCCAATGGCATCTCTCCTCACGAACGCTATACAGGGAACAAACCTACTGTCTCCACTATCCGAACTTTTGGCTGTAAAGCCACACTCCACATCCCAAAAGATCAACGAGGTAAACTTGATGATCGCTCACTCACCGGGATTCATATTGGCGTTGCCCAAGGCAAAAAGGCCTTCTTGATATATGATCCCACATCACGCAAAGTCCTCGAGTCTAGGGACGTGCATTTCTTTGAAGGGGTCGCTGACTCGGAGCGAGTAACGATTGAAGTGCCGATTGTGGAGTCGAGGGGGCATGTTGTGGCGACAACAGAAGAAGAAGAGAAGGACGAGGACGAGGGAAGGGAAGACGTGAGAGAGGAATCAGGTAATAATGATGAGACACCCGAGGAACTCACCGAACTCCCTCGACGATCGACTCGACTACGACACGCTCCCATTCCAGATGATGACGACCGATATAACGTCAGTTCCTACAACAAAAAGAAGATGATACCAGAGTCAGTGGGGGCAGCATGGGTGATGACTGCCACAGGGAACGAACCGCGCACCTACAACGAGGCGATGAACCGACCCGACTCAGACTCTTGGTTGGAAGCGTGCTTGAATGAACTCAAAGCACTAAGGGAAACCAAAACGTATGTGCCAGTTAATCGAAAAGATGTTGACGCTTCGAATATCGTTGGATGCCGATGGATATTCGCACTGAAACGAGGATCAAATGGCGAGATCGAACGCTACAAGGCTCGAATCGTCGCCAAAGGTTTTAGTCAAGTCTATGAGATCGATTATAACGAAACATTCGCACCTGTCGTGAAATGGTCATCGATACGAATTCTCCTTGCCCTGGCTGCGCGTCGCGACCTTGAAGTTCATCAGATGGATGTCACCACGGCTTTTTTGAATGGAGAACTGGAGCATGAGATCTATATGCAACCTCCACCAGGAAGTGCAGACTTCGGGAGACCAGGTATTGTCTGGAAGTTACAAAAGAGTCTTTATGGGTTGAAGCAGGCTTCGCGAGCATGGTACATGAAGGCGAAGGAAGAGTTGATGAAGATCGGATTTGTCCGATGCGATTCGGATCACGCGGTATTCATTTGCTCAAAACGGCAACATATCTGCATCATCGCGCTGTACGTCGATGACCTTATGATCCTGTCTGACGACCTCTCTCTCCTTCGAAGAAAGAAGAAACTTCTCATGTCTACCTTCAAGATGAAGGATCTCGACGAAATTCACTGGTTTCTCGGGCTTGAAATCACTCGAGATCGAGCTCGGCGCCTAATCCATATCTCCCAGAAACGCTATGTCAAAGACGTACTGCAACGTTTCGGCTTTCTTAACTCACATCATACTTACACACCTGTCGCACTCGGTCTCAAATTACCTCGCTATGAAATTCCCCAAACCGATACACGACAATATCAATCTCGCCTTGGATCCGTTATGTACGCCATGTTGGGAAGTAGACCCGACATCAGCTATGCGATCACTCTTCTCAGCCAATACTCGGCTAACCCAGGACAAGAACACCTAACGTCGATCAATCGACTTTTACGTTACTTATCGCTTACTCGCGATTGCGGTTTAACTTACAACGGATACTCAAAGGACGACGACACGATGGCATACTCAGATTCAGATTGGGCAGGAGATCCTCGTGATTGTCGCTCGATATCTGGATTCGTTTTTAAGATGGCTGGAGCTGCCGTTAGTTGGAGTTCGAAGAAACAAGCGTCAGTAGCCCTATCTAGTACAGAGGGCGAATACATGGCTTCAACACATGCTGCGAAGGAAGCCATCTGGATTCGACGCTTCCTCAGTGACCTTGGTGTGTCCATTCCTACCCCGATTACTTTACTCATCGACAATCAAGGTGCTATTGCACTCGCGAACAACCCTGCTTTTCACGCGCGAACAAAACACATCGGGATTCGACATCATTTCATCCGAGAATGTGTCGACAACAAGTTAATCGAACTCGAATATGTGTCTACAAACAATCAACTCGCCGACATCTTTACGAAAGCATTGGGAAGTGATAAATTCGACAAGTTCGCTGAGGCTTTGGGATTACAAGGGAAGGATACGTTTTTCCGGAGATCGGATGGTACGTCGAGTGGGGGTGTTAGAAGTTAGGAAGGAATATCGACGTCCCATATTTTGGGCGCACGGACCTGCAGCCGCCAGAGATTTTCCTTTATTCCTTTCTTGTCTTTCTTGTAGATCGACGTCGCTTTAGGCTTAAAAGCCACTGGACGCGACCTCTTTTGTTTCCCTCAGTTCTACTTTCGTGAACTGAGGTGAGGTCTACCTTTCTTGCGCGACTACTCTTACTAAAGACTGTTGTGTATTCTACTTAGCGCTAATCCTACGCTAGGTACACTAATATCATTCTAGTTCTACTTTCGTGAACTGAGCGCTAATCCTACGCTAGTTCTCTCACACATTCTTCCCTCCCCGCGGGCCTTCCAACTGCCTTAACTCTTACCTGTTCGCCTATCCACTCCCCATATATCAGCCGGTCTGCCACACCTGGAACAAGGGATTTGAATACCTCTCTGGTTGGAAGATATGCTGACACTTTCCAATTAGCCTCAGAAATGCTACCACGGGTTGTGAGGGTGATGAAGATTTCACCGCATTAATGCAAGCATCGCTTCATGAGATCCCTAAGCGTATTTCCCGAACCGAATCGACTGTCTCGGCGGAACAAGCTTGAACAGAGAAAAAAGGACCATTGTGGCGAGAAATATGAAAACCGAGCTCGACTGAAATCGAAAAAAAGTCGACCGTGGTACTAAATTTCAAAGTTGGTGGTGAGTCTATAGTGCATCCAAGACGTTTCAACGATTACTGTAGAGGCAGCTTCAGCCTAGTTTCCGTGCTGGTTGCATGTCTCCATCGTATCCCATCCCTACTACTGTAACGAGTTAGGGTTCTTTGGCATCTGTTGCCAAATCGGGCTAGGATATATATTCCTCACCGCCCGAGCACCGCATATATTACCGATACGACTAGGTGGCGCTGGTGGCCTGTTCACTAGAGTGTAATCCACAACTAACTCCTCGATTGAAGCCTTCGGTAGGAAAAGCTAAAGAAAGTTCAAAAGCCGCTTCGCTAATTCACATTAGATGCCCCTCCCACGTGTTGTCGAAGAAACGGATGAGGATTTCGACTCTGTTCATCATGCACTGCACGACACGTCCACGTCTAGCGAGACGTCCCCACCAAGTGCGATTTTCTCCTTGGGGAACGCGGGGACTGAAGACGAGGATCCATTTGCCGTGAGTAACTGATTGACGCCCGATTAACCATCTTGACGAAAGAACCATCATCCGTTCCCCTTAGGATGCTTTCTTTGAGACGGAATCCGGGATGAATGTTCTGGATGACATTGAGCCAATCGAGGATAACAAAAGTACCGAGTTCGCCACTGGGACCAGACCCCTTTTTCTTAAGCGAACCCCCACTACTTTCTCCACATTCTCCAACTTCTCCACCATCTCCGACTTTTCGACCTTTTCCAATGGTTCGGTTTTATCAACTCGGAGCACCGGGCGAACGTTTCCGCTTAGGGACCTTTGCGAGAAGGTGATTGAAAAGCACCTATGGCTCCAAATGGCCAGGATCGTTAGCGCATCCTGCTATTCTCAATCACGGAATCTCATCCTGCATCGGTTCCTTATCTTGCAATTACGCCGTCCGGGGAGAAATGATATATGGCTACGGATTGATCGGAGAGCCGGACTGGGCATTCTCTCCCTTGTGCGGAAACTCGGCACAACTCCTGCCCATGATACGGTGGGACTTTTCCATCAGTCTGTTGCTGAATATGTTTTTGACGCCCCTACAGGTTCAATTATCGGCGTCTAAGGAAGCCCTTGCTAAAACGGCGCGCCAAGAAAACATGCAGGAATTCAAAAGACAACCCTTTCTCGCTGATTTCGGTGAATATCTTCGCGTCATCTCTGAAGAACTGCTGGAATATAAAATCTGGCCGGTATGATTGCATTTTGGGATAAGATCCATGAAAGATGCTCATGGCTATGATTGTTCCAGGAGAATTGTTGGATGTTCTGTTCCCTATTACAAGACCATCTTGAAGGGTCAGGAGACGGGTATTATACATTCGGACGCGCTGTTGCTCCTGACATTGCACCATCTATCCGAGGGAGAATATCGGAGCGAGCAGCAGCCCAAGTGACACCCAATACAGTAAGCCATATGCCGTAGTGAATTCGGAGGCTGCTTAGTAACCGATCATCAGATTATGACAGTGTTGCAAAATTGGACTTGGGTATGTAGGCCTTTTGGTTACGTCGTTTTTTATGGCCCACAGTTGATTTCCACACAGGCCTTAAGCCGCTCGTGGCAACCCTTCAGAATAGCCTGGGATGGTCATTCAATCGCTATGATTCTTGCCAAAATTGTGTGCGCAGCACAAGGGTCAGAGGATCACTCCCACACGCATGACATCTCGGAGCGGATTGATGGGGCCTCAGTTGCCGCTCACCTAGAAAAGAGTGATTTGCACTCTCGCATTGCCATGTTCTGCATTGACGCCCTTGGCCGTTTGCCAGAGGGAAATGTTCTTCAACTCCCTAACCCATTAATCCTCAACTCCGACATGCCAGATCTCGCCTTTCGAATCCAATCAAAGATCTCCGAAGATGTTCAGTATGCTGCACTATATGGCCTTCTTCACGTTGCGGAAATTAAAAACCCTTCAGCTGAGCTTTTCAGCAGATTAGAAACGTTCATTGCTGAATCGGTGATCAAATGGTTGGAAGTCTTGAGCCTGCTGGAAGCAGCAAGAAACGCTCTGATCGCATTGGAGAGAGTGATTGTGTGGTGCCAGGTATGTGATTTGCCTTCGACTCCCCAATTCCGAGGAGACATATATGACGGCAGTTCACAGAGTCAGAGCCACCGCCAGTTAGGAGGTCAGAATCTGGCGATATCTTTTCTCCGATGCCGTCGCTTTGCTTATCAGTACTATGGAGTGATTTCGGTTTCTGCTGGACATATCGCACATTCAGCTCCATCTCATTCACCTGATGCGGGTTGGCAAAGGCGACACCATGGATCATCCTATGAACACCTCCCAGCAGTGCAATGGCAAGACCCTGGATGGGATGGGTGCCTCAACACTATTCGAGGGCACACTAGCTGGGTCTACTCGGTCTCATTCTCACCTGATGGGTCCAAGGTAGCCTCGGGATCCATGGACACAACAGGACGAATCTGGGATGCAGTGACTGGGGAAGCACTCAAGGTTCTTCGAGGGCACGCTATCTTGGTTTGCTCAGTCTCATTCTCACCTGATGGGTCCAAGGTAGCGTCGGGATCCGCTGACAGAACAGGACGAATCTGGGATGCAGTGACTGGAGAAGAACTCAAGATCCTCCGAGGGCACACTGAATGGGTCCGCTCAGTCTCATTCTCACTTGATGGGTCTAAGGTAGCCTCGGGATCCAATGACAACACAGGACGAATCTGGGATGCAGCGACTGGGGAAGCACTCAAGGTCCTCCGAGGACACACTGACTGGGTCCGCTCAGTCTCATTCTCACTTGATGGGTCCAAGGTAGCCTCAGGATCCGATGACAAAACAGGACGAATCTGGGATGCAGTGACCGGGGAAGAACTCAAGGTCCTCCGAGGACACACTGAGTCGGTCTACTCGGTGTCATTCTCATCTGATGGATCCAGGGTAGCCTCAGCATCTGGTGACCACACAGTACGAATCTGGGATGCAGCGACTGGGGAAGAACTCAAAGTCCTCCAAGGACACACTGAGTTGGTCCGCTCGGTGGCATTCTCGTCTGATGAATCCAGGGTAGCCTCAGCATCCGATGACAAGACAGTACGAATCTGGGTTGCGGTGACTGGGGAGGAACTCAAAGTTCTCCGAGGACACACTGGCCAGGTCCTCTCAGTGTCATTCTCATCTGATGGATCCAGGATAGCCTCAGCATCCCATGATCGTACAGTACGAATCTGGGATGTGGCAATGGGAGAAGAAATTTCCGTCAGCGACAAAGAATCCATCTCAGATGACATCACCCTGGATTCGCCTTCCACCCCAATCACCGTTCCTAATCAGTGCTCATTTGCACAAGTCAGGCATGATGAGCTGAACCGTATTCACCTTTTCCTCGGACGATGTGGAACCCCCCATTTTATTGCCCCTACTCATATAAGTGACAGGATATCCAGTTGGGAGATTTCGGGTGATGGGCAATCCCTTACTGTCCACATGGAAGGAGGGGGTGTCCTGACTATTCAGGCACCAAAGAGATATCGGTGTGTTTAAATCCGACACCATGATTTAGGAGTCCAAGCACCCAATTAAGATATTGTGAGTGGATTGCTCTTGAGATCGACAGCTTTTCCACCTTTTTTCGAATGACTAATTTTTTTTTACAGATTGCAGACGCGCATTCACTTTAGGCACAATCGATGTGATATCTTCCTCCCCCAAGTACAACCTCTTACCCCACTCAAGCGATCCCTGCCAAATTGAAGTAGTAGCAGGCAAGGGCGGAGGCGTTATCGATGCGGCCCATATAAGAGCATAACGTTTATATAATTGCTTTGACGGTTATCCATACCAGGGAAGAAAAAAGTGGCACCATAATGGGTTTTATGCTATAGTTCGCTTCTCTCTAAAATACATCGGCACAAACGCAAAGGCCGTTGATGCACCCGTTCCTTTTTCATCATTTCGTTTCCTTCAGTCATTGGACATCAACGGCGTCCTTGGAATATGTGTGGGATGCCCAGGTCCAACCCAGTTGCGGGGCACATTGGGCCACTGTGACCGAAGGTGTGTTAAGCTTGTAAAAACTCGGCAAGGAGTCCGTGAGCAGGTCCGTGTCAGGACCTCCCTGGCGAAAACTATTGGACCATCAATTGATTGTCATGTTTCGCGAGGTCTTGCATGAACCTCAGACTCTTAATTTCGAGACTCGAGGATTGCTTCAATTAGAATCGGATAAATCAACATCGACTATGTGCGTGTTGATGGCTGGAGCGCTTGAGCGCCGCATGCATTAGAAGTTCGCTCTCAAATCCCACCGTGATTTCTCAACGGTCTTGTTTCAAGAAGTGTTATTACTGCCTGTTTCTGTTCGAGTTGGTGATAGGTCGCCGAGCCATTCGGAAATCAGACTCGTACCCAGTCAGAGGAGCTCGTGGACCGTGCTCACATTATTACAGTAGAATAACAATAAATGGCAATGGCAATGTTAACCACCACAATATCCCCGAGGATACTGCAGTATCGCGGTTTTTGGGCATGCTCCTTCGTCCACCATTCCAGATCCCAGCAAGCAACGTCCTGCTCCGAGCACTCCTCGCCAACAAACTCGAACCATCCGTGGGTTGGGCACACAGAGACATAACAAGAGTACGAGCCGCCAAAGTGCATGAAGAATGTTAAGCGAAGAACGGAGAATTCGACGATCCATGCGAAAGCTACATATGGGCCTCATACAGGGGAGGTGGAAGGATGAATGGAACTGCTATTTATATGATTCATCAAAGAGATGGTGATGATCGTACTCATTCCCGACGGGGGGAGTTGATTTATGGACCATAAAAAGCCTAGAGGCACTTCCTGCTCTGCATTTTTAAGTATTTAGGCTAGTGGTAGCGGCGCGTGCTTGAGCACAGTTAACATAGAATGTACGTCGGAAAATAGCTGCAGATCGACATCCCGTTCGTGTGCTGTACCAAGTCCCGAATTATACAACGCGTTATCCACGTCTGTAAAACCCCCTTTTTAGCCGTCCGCGCACCCAAGATTAGGTCGCCGTCTCTCTTGTTCTCCATCCACCGAAGACGGATGAATGAAAAAACTGATTCAGTGCGTTGCAAACATGTGAATTTGGGGGTACAGCACTTGGTGCATCTGACTTTCAGGTTGCATGATTTAGCTGCCTGAGCGGAAGCACGTTTCAGCCAAGAGTAGCACGATTTCTAGCCATCAGAGTTGTAACCTCCGGATCTCTATATTGCCGACAAGACCGCGCGAGAACTGGACCAAAACCAGAGAACAAGACCAAAGGCCAGAAGTGCGGCCAACAGTCCTGTGAAATGGGGAGGGAGCCAATCAACGAGAGTTGGCCGAGCTTGAAAAACGAATTTTTCCCGCTGACTTACGTAGCATGAGTTGATCATGAGGGTGGCAGGGAATAAGACAGCAAGAGAACGGGAAAGAAATTTAATGCCCTCACCACCATAGGTGCGTTCGAGGTTTCAAAGCTGTACGCAGATGTCACGGACACCCAACTTTAAAGACGGAAAACCCAAGCTGAATTTATGTATGGACGACAGACAGTACTAGTACCTAGCAGTTGGAACGGCGCTTTCGTCACTATATTGTGGACTTGAGCGGAAGGCTGGCATTGTGTGCAAGATTATTTCGGACAAATGGTGTCCAGTGTAAGGCAACGACTCCACGGTCAGGCCACCTACCAACAGGGTGAAGGGCACCAAGCACCACGCCTACATATCTGGCAGTGCCGCAGTGGATTCCTCTGCATGTCAAGGTCACACCTGAACGGGGCTGACGATCCGAGAATTACGCTGCACACTTCTATTCCAATAGAAGCTGCTCAGGCACCATGGTATCCTACTGCTCACCAAGGTCCTTATCGTATTATTGATTTGGGGCCAAGTTTGTAGAGTATCCGGCGCTACACTAGTAGCTAGCTGCGGTGCAAGATGGCGGCCTGATTACTCCGCGGAAATGCAGCCTAAATGTAACCAGGGCGAGGTCATTTTAATTCAATTTAATTTGAGATCCAACCGATCAATTCATTTCTTTTGAATTGAAACCATCTCGATCAGCGTTGGATCCGGAGGTTTGTTGGTCAGCGACCAAGCCGCGCTGCCATTTGCGATGATATACTGCGGCACTAGTTAACGTATACAAGCCGTGTATTGCACGGCTCCACTGACCCTCGCTCGGCTCGTCAACTGGGAGCGAAAAATAAACGATACAGTAATCACATCATCACGTCAAGAGATGATCATGACGGTACCGAGCGCGTCACGAACGTCAATTGAGTGATGCACGCGCGGGGGTGTATGAAAATTTCCCGGAGTCTTTATAAAGTCGACTGAATTCCCAGTAAGAGTGGCTTAAAATTCTCTGTGGGAGAACTTGGGACAGTATTCTTGTAACTCTCTGGGCTTTTAATGCCCCCAGAGGACTCCTGAAGAAGTCCCCACCCGCAATGACCCCCTTTGAGCACCTTTATGGTGGCTACACCTATGGCATCCTCTTCTCCGCGATGTGGGTTAAACTTGTTATGCGGCCTTGGACTTGCTAAATACTTGGCTACAGACTCTTGGGGATAATCACCGTGCAGTCGAGATCTTATTTTCTGCGTTATCCGAGCGATCCCATCACGACGAAACTTCTGGTATTCCCTCCGTCATTATAGTTTGTGACTTTGACGCCACCTTACCGTTGCTGCATTCTCTGTCCAGGTTCTAGTGCTAATGTGAGCCGTACTAGTAATTTCACCGGGGCTGGGACTCTGACTTCACGCATATTTCAGACTAGCTCAGCTCCTTGATCTGTATATGCATCCTGAGCACTACATGCGCTTCATTTTTAACCTTTGCTGTTTAGTGGTTTCTCTCTATCAGGTCAGTACATGGTCGTCATGCGCAAGCATGCAACAGGCATCAACTCATGGTGAGCCTACCCCGAATGGCGTTTAACTCGGCCTGAATTGTTGTTCAGGTATATTTCCGCGTTTGTTGTGATGGATGTGTGTCATGCACTCTGATCACGTCCACACTATCTCACGTAGTGTGCACAGGTAGTGTCATCCTTCTTAGTCCAATCCTACTTCTCCTGGCGTATCAGTAAAAGTATCCTTTGGCTTTCTCTTCCCGAAAATGAGCATGTTCACTGATCAGTTCACGTTCAGTGACCAATATGTGGGTGGCGTTACCGGTGATGCTGATTAGTTTGCTTCAATCTGGTATGCAACAGTTCTACTAATCCGAGCACCCCTAAACTAATGGGCCCCCGCCATCCGCAGCTTTTGGGCTTTGTAAACCATCTCGTCTTCCCTGAAGTTGTCACAAGTTGCTGATCAACTTTCCATCATATCCTTAGGGGTATATATTCTGTGGTGAGTACCGAAAGCCCGATGGACTAAGGATAATGGCATGAAATGCGCTCTTTGAAGCAATATACATTTGCCAGTGCATTCGCTTGCCAGTTGGGCCCGAACTTCAACTATCGGTTTCTGCGCATCTCAGGTTCGTCCACGTCATTCTTTGCGCATCATTCGCGGGAATTGGAATTCTGAGAAGTTTCCTTAGGCCGCCGCAGATACGTTGATAGCAGCAATGATGATCGTCCTGTTGCATCGTAGACGAACTGGATTCTCAAGGTGCGAGCTACTATCTTCCCGGCCGTTGGGCATATACAGGTCTGAACAGATTCCCTAGGACGGACAGAGTGATAAAAATTCTGATTAGATACGCGATTCACACCGGCGCAGTTACAAGGTCAGGCCGTCCTGTGTTTTCTCACTGGCATGTCGGGGGGATGGAGTTAAAATTGCTTCTTTTTTTTTTCCTCGGCAGTGTCGTCGCTTTGACGATATTAATTTCTGTAAGTGGATTTTAATCATTGATGGCAAAAATGACAAACCGGCGTCCCGTTCAATTCAGTTTCTTTGGTATGATGGATATCACTTCTTGACGATGTCTTTTGTGGTGGTTAGTTCAGGAATCACCTTTCCCCCGTCGCTTATATAACCTGAACCCCCCCCCCCCCCTCTCCATCCTTAGCCATGGGGAGGAGTATACACCATCACCCTGCTGGCAAAGTGAGTGCCGCGTTTCGCCGAAGTCATCGCACGCTCATCACTAATTCTTCGCATCGTTCTCAGCCTGCATGCCCGTAGTCATGCTCGAAGACGCCTATTACCAGGGTCCAGAGAAGGTGTTGCTCAGTCGATTCACCTATCCAAAATATCAACCACGGTACGACTTTTGTGTTGCCATTGACTTTGCCAATTTCATGCAGTTCTATGTAGTATTGGTAAATTTAGGGGTTAGGTCCTGCACGTGCTAACATGCCTAAGATTCGTTCGGAGCGTACCCCGTGGATTCTTATTTGGGCGGCGGCAAGATGCAAACTGACAATAAGCATTTAAAGTCCATACCATCTCGTTCGCGTCATGTAACAAGTTCACTGGCTTGTCTTATTGGCCGCTATTCACGGGTGCTATCGTTCCGTTAGATACTGTGCCTAAAACATACAGCAATTAATTGCCTTAGTCAATCCCTGGTTCCGGCTTACTTTCTTCCTCGCCGTTCGATTCGCCCCGAAACTCGCCCACAGTGTCTGCTATGTGAAGTGTAGTATTCTCGAAGGCGCTCGTTAACCAGAAGCATCTGGTACAGTGCCCTGGAGAAAAAAGCTCAGAATGATGACAGCGAGGCGCATGAACACAATGAGTCAAAGCAAACGGTACAACAATGCCTCACTTGATGAGGATCGGGGAGTACAATGCCAGGGAAAATGTCAATGGAAGATAGTTGCTAAGATTGGTGGTGAGATCGAACAGGCCGTAACAGGGCGCAACGTGTATGTACCATTCACTGCGAAAGGAATGAGCGAGAAGGAACCAAAAATTCCGAGCCCACCCATGACGATGGCTGTCATTACACGCGTCCACAGTACGACCTGTCATCAGGTATCGTCAGATCACGCCTGTGAAAGAGTAAATATCCCGCTGTCATGAGATGTGGCTCACTACAAATCGAAGATAACGAGCAAGGTTAGAGCACTGTAATGATTGAGCGCCTTTCATTAAGGGGAAGCGATTAAAGTCGCCGACGCCATCCTAGTTGGTTTTGAGCAACGTACGTTCACACTGTGCCTATTACTGCCGTCCCGAGACAGCCCAACGACTATGGAAAAGTCATGGATGCCATATATCACAGAAGCACGGGAGGAGGAAGCTGAGACGAAAGTCGATCTCACTTTCATCCATATGTATCCGCCGCAATCCCGCACGTATGTCATTTGTTCCATCGTCGGTGGCGAGTCTTTCATTCTCTTCCAAGAAAGGCATGTGGTTTGTCTGATACAGAGACTGTGCCACCAAGTCGCACAGTTGCGCGGCCATTCTGAATACCAAAAAGTCCCGTTACCTCGTTAAAGAGTATGCGAAGTGTTGGGTGAGGGCACGCCCCGGCAGCCATCATCTGATCCGCTGTCTCCCATATTCCCCAAAAGACACAAAAGGGAAATAGCCTCTTCCTTTCGTATTCCTTCAATCAACTTTCCCTTGTGGCAAGAGAAACAAGTTTCTTCGACTTCTCTTTGAAGTGATCTATACACAGCTTTCACCTTACGTTTTCATTCTCTCGCAATTTCCAGTATTCAGCCATTGGAAATTGGGAATCAACCTCGATAAGCAGCTGTGAGCAGATCCACGCCAGAACCTCCCAGGCTAGGTATACGTACACGTAAGGACCCCAGCCTCTATGACTTGGCAATTGGCATACACGCATAGATCTTGGAACTCGATGATTGGCTCGATTATAATCGGAGAATCAACGTGGGCAGTGTGTATGTTGATGGCTGGCGCGCGTGAGCACCGCATTGGAAGTATGTTTCACGCATGCACGGCTGAATGACACCCCTTCCTTGATCAGGTCACTTTCTATGTGACTTGCATACTTTCCAAATCAATGCTATAGTCTGGAGCTGAGCGAACCGAAGAACACGATTGGGTTCTGGATGCTGTCGGTTCGTTGGCCTCCCTATTCTAGCTCTCCTTCAATCCCGACTTCATCAGGAAAGAACATATTAGGTTTAGAGCCTCTCCTCACTCTTCGAGTGTAAATGATAAGTGTTTGTCCCGGAGCGGCATGACATGCTGGCAGTTGGTCACGCGCATAGAGCCTACTCAATGAGAATTTACTCGCCTAAACAAAGTGCAAGGTTGGTGTATTGGTGTCATTGCAGTACCCAGCCATAAATTGTGGGATTATAGAAGGATGGGGAAACCCGTCGTTCTATGACTACGTACAATACTTGGTTGGATTGGTGGTTTTGTGGTTGCTTCGTATTCGATTTGATCGGTCAACGAGGTCTAGCTTTTCAGTCGTTTGCTGGTTAGCCACTAGGCCCACGCCGCCGTTTGATGCTGGCTTGTGATGATGTGCTGCAGTACTAGTTGTTGCATGCAAGCGGCGCATTTCACTGCTCCGCTGACCCCCGCTCAGCCAAAATCATCAAATAGAAGCAAGAAGCAACGATGCAGCAATCGCACATCAAGACCGCATTAAAGATGATTGTGACTGAGCGCGCGCGTCACGGTAATTTCGAATGTCAATTGGGGGGCTGTGGGGATGAAAATTTCCCGGAGTCTTTCTGTTTGCGCGAAGGTAGACTGAATTCCCAATAAGAGTGACCTGAAATCTTTGGTGGAAAAACTTGGGACAGGATTCTTGTAACTCTGGGCTTTTAATGGCTAAAGGATTCCTGAAGAAGTCCCCACCCGCAATGACCCCCTTCGAACACCTTTATGGTGGCTACACCTATGGCCTCCTCTTTTCCGCGATGTGGGTTAGACGTGGTATGCGACCTTGGACATGCTAAATATTTGGTCACAGACTCTTGGGGATAATCACCGTGCAGTCGAGATCTTATTTTCTGCGTTACCCGAGTGATCCTGTCATGACGAAACTTCTGGTATCCCGTCGTCATAATAGTTTGACTGGCATCTTACCGTTGCTGCTCTGTCCAGGTCCTAGTGCTAATGTGAGCCAGACTAGCGTTTCACTGAGGCTGGGACTCTAAATTCATGCATATTTCAGACTAACCCAACTCTTTGATCTGTATATGCTTTCTGAGCACTACGTATGCTTCATTTTAACCTTTGGCGTTTAGTGGTTGCTCTCTGTCAGGCCAGTACAAGATCGTTATGCACGTGCATGCACCAGGCACCAACTTATGGTGAGCCTATCTCGAATGGCGTCCGACTCGGCCTGAATCGCTGTTCAGGTATATCTCTGCGTTTGTTGTGACAGATGTGTGTCATGCACTCTGATCACGTCCACACTATCTCACGTAGTGTGCACAGGTAGTGTCTTCCTTCTTAGTACAATCCTTCTTCTCCTGGCGTATCAGTAAAAGTATGCTTTGGCTTTCTGTTCTCAGAATGAGCATGTCCACTGATCAGTTCATGTTCAGTGACCAATATATGGGTGGCGTTACCGGTGATGCTGATTAGTTTGCTTCAATCTGGTATGCCATATTTATACTAATCCAAGCACCCCTAAACTAATGGGCCCGCCATCCGCAGCTTTTGGGCTTTGTAAACCGCCTCATCTTCCCTGAAGTTGTCACAAGTACTAATCAACTTTCCATCATATCCTCAGGGGTGTATCTTCTGGGGTGAGCAACCATGGAACCGAACTCGGTGGACTAATAATAATAGCATGAGATGCACTTTTCAAGCACTCTGCATTTGCAAGCGTATTCGCTTCCCAATTGGAGCCGAACCTCAACGATCGGTTTTTGCGCATCTCAGGTTCGTCCATGTCATTATTTGCGCATCATTCGCAGGAATTCTGAGAGGTCTCCTTAGGCCACCGCAGATACGTTGATAGCAGCAATGATGATTGTCTTGTTGCATCGCAGACGAACTGGATTCCCAAGGTGCGAGCTATCTTCCGGCCGTTGGGATACAGGTCTGAACAGATCCCATAGGACGGACAGAGCGATAAAAATTCTGATTAGATATGCGGTTCACACCGGCGCAATTACAAGGTTAGGCGACCTGTGTTTCTCACTGGCATGTCGGGATGAAGTTAAAGTTGTTTCTTTTTCTGGGTAGTGTCATCGCTTTGACGATATTAATTTCTGTAAGTGGATTTTGATCATTGATGGTGAAAATGACAAACCGGCGTCTCATTCAATCCAGTATCTCTGGTATGATGGGTATCACTTCCTGACTATGTCTTTTGTGGTGGTTAGTTCAGGAATCACCTTGCTCCCCATCGCTTATATAACCTGAAACCCCCTCAATCCTTAGCCATGGGGAGGAGTATACACCATCACCCTGCTAGCAAAGTGAGTGCCACGTTTCGCCGAGGTCATTGCACGCTCATCATCAATTTTTCGCATCATTTTCAGCCTGCATGCTCGTAGTCATGCCCGAAGATGCCTATTACCAGCATCCAGAGAAGGCGCTGGTCAGTCAATTCACCTATCCAAAATGTCAACTAAGGTACGACTTTTGGGTTACCATCGACTTCGCCAATTTCATGCAGTTCTATCCTTAAAGGGTTGGGTCCCACGTGCTAATCCCATCAGTGGATTCTTATTTGTGCGGGGGCAAGACGCAAACTGACAACAAGCATTTGAAGAATTGCACGTCTCCATACCATCTTGTTCACGTCATAAAACAAGTTCACTGGCTTGTCAGCCGAGTCTTGTTGACCGCTATTCACAAGTGCTATCAAAGTTCAATTAGATACTGTGCCTAAAACATACAGCTATTGCCTCAGTCAATCCCTGGTCCCTTTCTTCCTCGCATTTCGATCCACTCGAAACTTCCCCAGTGTCTGCTATGTAAATTGTAGTATTCTCAAAGTTGCGTGGCAATTCTAACTACCAAGAAGTTCCGTTACTCCTTAAAGAGTATGCGAAGTTTTGGGTGAGGCGCGCACAACACCCACACCGACGACCATCATCTGATCTTCTGTCTCCTATTCCCCACAAGACACAAAAGGGAAATAGCCTCTTCTTTTTTCATCCTTTCATTTCCCTTTGATCAACTTCCCTTGTGGCAAAAGAAACAAGCTTCGGCTTCTCATTGGAGCGATCTATACACAGCTTCCACATTTTCGTTACGTTTTCACCCCCTCACAATCTCCAGTAATCAGCCATTGGAAATTGGGAATCAACCACGTAGGGGTGCCAGGGTCCGAGTTGCAGGACGATGTGTCGTCCCCACCCGGTCGAAGTACATTAAACTCGATGGAGGGTTGTGAGCATGTCCGCATCGGAACCTCCCAGATTAGGCGTAAGGAGGACTCCAGCCTCTATGACTTGGGAAGTAGCATACACGCACGGAACATCAATTGGTTATCTTTCGTATGGTTTCGCATAGATCTCGGGACTTGATGATAGGCTCGTATGTTTTACGCACGGCTGAATGACACCCATTTTCACCTTGGCCGGATGGGCCACTTTCTATGTAACTTGCATACTTCCCAAATCAATGTTATAGTCTGCTTCCGCACTTCACCCCACCACGCTCTCGAATCCACCAATCATATTCCCGCCGCCGGGGCATGATATGACTACGCAATGCTACAGCACTACAGCATACTTTCTGTGTTCTGAAGTGAAGGCGTGCAAGACGAGAGAAATACCAGTGCCTATGTGTGGGCGTGAACGTGAAGTCAATTGCTCGGCTAGTTGAGATCGCCCATCTGCTCTATCCTGGATCCTATCCAACAAAAAGAACCTGAGATTTCCAAAGATGGGTCGGAACGAGCATAGAAAAGCACTTGATGAGCATCACGCTGGTGCGTCGGTGAAGTGTTTAAGTCTCCGTGAGCAATCAATCCATGCAACCACGTATCCTCGTCCCACCTTCAGCGGCGTGGAGCACAGACATTGGAGTTGAGTTGGGAAGGAAATGAGCAACACAGGGAGCATAGACAAAGGAGGTGATCAGAGGACGCGTTGAGAGGACGTGAACAAAGAAATATGGATCCAGCCACAGAAGATTTTCTGCAAACAGCCCACTCTCCTTCGATCCCGACCTAAAGATAGTGTTCGTTCCGGAGAAACCTCCCCAATTCAGAGTAAACCTAACTACACCACCCGGTCAGTGAAGCGGGAGGTCATGTGAGTGAAAAAAAAATAGGATTAATTTAGAAAATTAATTCTGCAATCTGATTCCAGATTTCTATATTTGGAATATTAAAGTGCTATCTACAAATCAAGTGCGGTGACTTTGTCATTGATGCATTAGCCTGATGGCTAATGCCGGCGTGGGTTTATGTTGTTTAGCTGTTAGGCTCCGGTTCGATTCATGGGTAGGTCTGACTTTTTTTTTTTTTTCCGGGTTGTCGGGTTGGGGGTTTGGGTCAGGGGGTTGTGGTTAGGGGTTGGGTTTTTGGGTCGGGGGTTGGGGATTTGGGTTGGGGGTTGGGTTTTTGGGTCGGGGGTTGGGGATTTGGGGTTGGTGGTTGTGTATTGGGTATGTGTCTATTTTTAATGTAAAGGGGGGGGGTGTCGGGTCGGGGGTTGAGAGTTTAGTCGGGGGTTGGGTGGTGGGTATGTGTCTATTTTTTGGGTTGGATGGCGGTGCAATACTTGATTTGTAACAGTGACCGTTGGCTGGTTTCGAAATGAATTGCTACCCATTTTGTTTTCTGGCACATGACCTCCCGCTTCACTCACCGGGTGGTGTAGTTAGGTTTACTCCAATTCAGTCACCTGATGCTCCATCTTGGCACTCGGATTACTTACCCGGCTTTAGGTAGCGGCTATTACTGAGATCTAACACACCCTGGCGGCCGCTTGCCGGCACGGCAAGAAATTATATGCGGAGGGCTTTCTTGAAATTCCACCCTACCTTCCCCAGTGCAGCCAGAATGCCCACGACACAGTGTTGGCATTGACACGATCAGACCACCAATCAGACCATTTTTGGTCTGATTGTGCTTCCCACAAGGGTCCATTGTCTCAAGGTCCGAAATACGGAAGTAGCCGATTTCCAACCAGGCGAGGGATAACCCGAGCCTCATGTGATCACCTTGCGGCTATTTCCGCGAAACTCGTTGCCGACACTGCCGACATTGAACTAGCGAGGTCCCGGCTTTAGCCGACAGACAACTGATGGGACAATTCGGACCATGGGAAAGACGTTGTCTACTGAATCAGACCTTCGGACTTCGGACCATGCGACCATTTGGGACCATGTCTGCCCAACACTGCCACGACAGACCATGCGAAGTCGATCACCGATCCCTGCCCGAGATACTCAGTCAAAGCAGGGCGGCTCGCGACTCAGAAGCAACCAATTACTACAACCAGTCTTCTGGTAATCCTGTTTCTACAGTCCCGAAGCTCTGTTTGACGATCGGCCAGTTGAAATTACGGTGAATATTCTTTTTCTCCAACCTCACAGACAGTCTGACTCTCTGTCAGCAACAATGCCCTCACCAACGTTAGCTTTCGTTGTCGTGTTGCTCCTCTAGGAACTTACATTCATAATAAAGCAAGATATACCAACCTTGATAAGCAAATATCGGCTTCGCAATTATACGTAAAGCAACAGGAAGCAGGCAATAAATCCGGTCCGAGTGAGCAAATCGATGAACACCATACGAATGTGGTCACACTGCTGCAAAGCAAGTTAGCGTCGACGAGTATTGCCCCCTGCGTTCACCGTTTTACACATACAATATGAAGGAGTCCAAAAATCGGATGGAACAGTTTATGTCTAATACTGTGTCCGCAGCCGCCCAGAACCCTCCACCACAAAGTGTGTGGTTCGGAGTGTAGCCGACCCCCGTTCTAGCTGACCTATCTCCCCTGTGCAAATTGCGTCAGGCTCACTTCTTTTCACAACCGCCTCACGCAAAGGCCAAATACAGGCAAACAGTGCGCTAATGATGATGATTTACTTGCTTTGGATTTGAATTCGGCGGAAGAGAGTATTGGAATGGACGGTGATCATCCTCACGGGGACGGTGGATACCACCAAATGCAACTGGTAGAGCAGGTGAGCCTCGATCGAATTTTCCGTTCTTTTTTCCAAAGTCCACTCTATATATTCATCCACGGAAGCACTCACTCACCTTACCAAAACAGGATGATTACATCCAACAACGCTAGACAGCTATAATCTCGATCGAATCGACCGTTGCCGAGCTTCGCCAAATCTTTACTCAACTGATGACGATGGTGGCTGAGTAGCGTGAATCCGTTCAGCGTACAGATAATGATGAAGGTTTTCGGTGTTCTTGTTGTGTTTGTGAGTGACGTATTTTGATCGATGATCTTTTCATATGGCTGACAAGAATCCTAGTCCCTATTTTTCATTCTAGTTTCGTCATTCGGATTTTTGATGCATTCCATGTTTTCTTTCTCGTTTGATCTATACCTTGGGGCTGGCGTAGTCCTAATCCCACCACTTTCGGTCTCAGAGAAAATTGGACCTATTTCATTGCCGAATACAACAACTCAGAAACACGATGAGCTGCGTGCACCGTTCATTTTCCCTTCCCCGCAGGCTTTCCAGCTACCTTAATTCTTACCTGTTCGACTACCCATATACCAGCTAGTTTGCCACACCTGGTAAAAGATATTTGAATGGCTCTCTGGTTGGAAATATATGCTGATAGTTTCGCTTGCAATTGACCTCAAAACTACTGCCCCGAGTTGTGCGGAAGATGAAATTTTCATCGCATCGCAAGCATCGCTTCATGTGATCCCTAAGTGCTGAACGGAACATTTCTTACGAGTCTCTGAACTGAATCGACTGTGTGGGCGGACGGCCTGAACAGGGAGAAATAATTGAATTAGAGGGACCGTTAGCCCTTAATTGTGGCGAGAAGTAGGAGAACCGGGCTCGACTGAACGTCGAAGAAATAGAAATTAGGCTGAAGCAGCAGTTTCCATGCAGGTTGCAGGTTTCCATCGTATCCCCATCCTTAATAACTACTGCTGTAACAACTACTTATGGTTCTTTGGCGGCAAAGTTTGTTGCCAAATCGGGCTAGGATATATTCCTCACCGACCGAGCACCAGTTCTCTAAAGGTGGATCCACAACTAGCTGCACCTCGTCGATTGAATTCTTCGATAGGAAACGCCAACGTTCAAAGATCGCTTTGCTAATTCGCATTAAATGCCTCTCCCACGTATTGTCGAAGAAACGGATGAGGATTTCGACTCTGTCCATAATGCACTGCACGACGTGTCCACGTCTAGCGAGACGTCCCCACCAAGTGCGATTTTCTCTTCGGGGAACGCGGAGACTGAAGACGAGGATCTATTTGCCGTGAGTAACTGGTTGGCGCCCTGGAAACCATCTTGACGAAAGAACCATCATCCGTTCCCCTTAGGATGCCTTCTTTGAGACGGAATCCGGATGGAATGTTCTGGATGATATTGAGCCAATCGAAGATAACACAAGTACCAAGTTCGCCACTGGAACCAGACCCCCTTTTCTTAGGCGAACCCCCACTACTTTCTCTACTTTCTCTAAGTTCTCCACCATCTCCGGCTTTTCGACCTTTTCAAATGGCTCGGTTCTATCGACTCGGAGCACTGGGCAGACATTTCTGCTGAGGGATCTTTGCGAGAAAGTGATTGAAAAGCACCTATTGCTTCAAATGGCCAGGATCGTTGGCGCATCCTGCTATTCCCACTCTCGGAATCTCATCCTACATCGCTTTCTTATCTTGCAATTATGCCGTCCGGGGAGAAAGGATATATGGCTTCGGATTGAACGGAGGGCTGGACTGGGTTTTCTCTCACTTGTGCGGAAACTCGGCACAACCCCTGCCCATGATACGGTGGGACCTCGCCATCGATCCGTTGCTGAATATGTTTTTGATGCCCCCACAGGCCCAGCTGTCGGCATCTAAGGAAGCCCTCGCTGGAAGGGCACGCCAAGAAAACACGCAGGAATTCAAAAGACCGCCCTTTCTCGCTGATTTCGGCGAATATCTTCGCGTCATCTCTGAAGAACTGCTGGAGTATAAAATCTGGCCGGTATGATTCCATTTTGGGGAAAGACCCATGAAAGATGCTCATAGCCGTAATTGCTCCAGGAGAACTGTTGGATGTTCTGTTCCCTATTGCAAGAGCATCTTGGAGGATCAGGAGACGGGTATTATACATTCGGACGCGCAGTTACTCCCAACACCGCGCCATTTATCCGAGGGAAAATATCGGAGCGAGCAGCGGCCCAAGTGACCCCCAATACAGTAAGCCATATGCCGCAGTGAATTGGGAGGCTGCTTAGTGATCTATCATCAGATCATGACAGCGTTGCATAGTCCGGCCTGGGTGTGTAGACTTTTTTGTTACGTCGCTTTTTATGGCCCACAGTTTGATTTCTATAATAGGCCATAGACCGTTCGTGGCAACCCTTGAGCAGCGCGAAGCCAAAGGGGTGGCTTGCTGATTCGATCGTCATATATCTTGCCAAAATTGTGCGCCCGGCACAATGGTTAGATATTCGCCATCACACGCAAGACATCCTGAAGCGGATCACCGACTCTTCACTTGTTGCTCCCTTTTACTTTGAAAAGAGTGATGTGTACTGTCGCATTGCCATGTTCTGTATTGACACCCTTGGCTGTTTGCCAGTGGAAAATGTTCTCCGACTTCCCAACCCTTTAATCCTCAACTCCGACATCCCAAATCTTGCTTCTCAGATCCGGTCAAAGATCTCCGAGGATGTCCAATATGCTGCATTATATGGCTTTTTGCCCGTTGCAGAAATTGAAAACCCTTCAGCTGAGCTGTTGAGCAAATTAGAAACGTTCTTTACAGAATCAGCGATCAAATGGTTGGAGGTGTTGAGCCTGCTGGGAGCGGCGAGCAATGCCAGGATCACGTTGGAGACGTTGACCATGTGGTGTGAGGTATATGATTTGTCTTCGACTCCCCAATTTCCAGGAGATATATAATGTTCACAGAGTCAGAACCACCGCCAGTTAGGAGGTCAGAACCCGGCAAGATCTTTGCTCCAACCTCTATTGCAATGCCGTCGTTTTGCCTACCAGTACTATGGAGTGATTTCGGTTTCTGCTGGACATATCGCACATTCAGCTCCATCTCATTCGCCCGATGCGGGTTGGCGAGGGTGGCACCATGGATCATCCCATGAACATCTCCCAACAGTGCAATGGCAAAACTCAGGATGGGATGGGTGCCTCAACACCGTTCGAGGGCACGTTGGCTCGGTCCGCTCGGTCTCATTCTCACCTGATGGGTCCAAGGTAGCATCGGGATCCAATGACAACACAGGACGAATCTGGGATGCAGCGACTGGGGAAGAACTCAAGGCCACACCAAGAGCCTCCTCTCGGTCTCGTTCTCGTCTGATGGATCCAGGGTAGCCTCAGCATCCATCGACAAGACAGTACGAATATGGGATGCCGTGACTGGGGAAGAACTCAAGGTCCTCCAAGGACACGCTGACTGGGTTAACTCAGTGTCATTCTCATCTGATAGATCGAGGGTAGCCTCAGCATCCGACGACAGGACAGTACGAATCTGGGATGCAGTGACCGGGAGACAACTCAAATTCCTCCGAGGACACACCGACCGGGTCCGCTCAGTGTCATTCTCGTCTGACGGATCCAGGATAGCCTCAGCATCCGACGACAAGACAGTACAAATCTGGGATGCAGTGACTAGGAAACAACTCAAAGTCCTCCGAGGACACACTGACCAGGTCCGCTCGGTGTCATTCTCATCTGATGGATCCAGGGTAGCCTCAGCATCCGATGACAAGACAGTACGAATCTGGGATGCAGTGACTGGGGAAGAACTCAAGGTGCTCCGAGGACACACTGATTGGGTTATCTCAATGTCGTTCCCATCTGATGGATCCAGAGTAGCCACAGCATCCAATGACACAACAGTACGAATCTGGGATGCGGTGGCTGGGGAAGAACTAAGGGCTTTCCAAGGGCACGCCAGGAGAGTTCGCTCAGTCTCATTCTCATCCGATGGATTAAGGGTAGCATCAGCATCCGCTGACTCGACAGTACGAATCTGGGATGCGGTGACTAGTGGAGCAACTTCCGTCAGCAAAGAATCCATCCCAGCTGACATGACTCAGGATTCACTTTCCAATCCAATCACCATTCCCAATCAGTGCTCATTTGCTGAAGTCAGGCATGATGAGCTGAACCGTATTCACCTTTTCCTCGGAACATGCGGAACCCCCCATTTTATCGCCCCTACTCATATAAGCGACAGAATATCCACTTGGGAAATTTCGGGTGATGGGCAAGCCCTTACCATCCGCATGGAAGGAGGGCGTGTCCAGACTATTCAGGCACCGAAGAGATACCGGTGTGTTTAACATCCAACATCATGATTTGGGAGTCTGAACAGCCGATTAAGATATTGTGAGTGGATTGACAACTTTGCCGCCTTTTTTTCGAATGACTCTCCCCAAGTACGACCTCCCTCTCTTAGCCCACTCAAGCGATCCCTGTCAAATTGTAGTAGCAGGCAAGGGCGAAGGTGTTATCGACGCGGCCCACATAACAAGCATAGCATTCATATAATTATTTCGTCGATCGTCCATATCAGTAGTTTTTTCTAAAATACATCGGTGCAGAAGCAAAAGTACTTGATGCACCATTTCCTTTTGCATCATTCGTTTTCCTTCTGCAGTCTTCAGTCGTTGGAAATCAATGACATCCCTGGAGTATGCGCAGCCGGGTGCCCGGGTTCGACTCAGTTGCGGGACCCATGCACTGTGGGCCGCTGCACGCTCACTTCCCTGACCAAAAGTACGCTAAGCTTGTGGAAGGAGGCTGTCAGCAGGTCCGTGTCAGAATCTCCCCGGCGTAAATGCGTGGAACGTCAATTGATTGTCATGTCTCGCAAGATCTTGGAGGAATATCTTGAGACTTGACGATTGGCTCAATTAGAATCGGGCGAATCAACATAGACAATGTGCATGGAAGACTTGAGCGCCACATGCATTGGAAGTACGGTTTCGAATCCCGCGATAATTTCTTAACGGTCTTGTTTCAGGAAATATTATTACTGGCTGCATGTTTCTGTTTTCGTTGGTGATGGGTCACTGAGCCGTGCATATGGAGATGAGGCCCATCGGGGAGTCCAACTGTGTGCTTCCGCAATTCAATCAGCTGAAATACCAAATCCGGATTTCTGCTTGGCATAAAAGAAACTCAGTGTAATATAGAAGCCCTCGGAATCGTTCCACAGCCCTGGCGCACCCTTCACCTTTCCGACTGTCTTGCCATGTTCTCACCTTGAGCATTGGCCTTGCACCACCGTACAGCCACCCGAGCGCTGTTCCCAGTTATCGTTTGGGTGCTAGCAACTGCGTTACCTTGTTCTGAAAGAATAAAGGAGAAAAGGGGCACGATGGATCTCCGCATCACTGCTGGCACACTCCGCGTATATCTTCCCGTGCGCCCATTTCACTTTGATTGGGTGGGCCACTTTCTATGTGACTTGCATACTTCCCAAATAAACATTGTAGTCTGGAGCTGAACAGCAAGCGTGGCCCTTCCCGGACTGGCAAGTAACCTCGCGTTCCGGTACGTCAATAATCCCTGGCGGAGATCCCATTGGTGTGCCTAGTTGGGCATCATTTGGAACGGCGTTGGGTGTGACATATTATGCGTTGGGTTTTGTATCTTTTGTCATCCTCTCAAACTCATTGACATTTATACCTAGGATTATATTGCGGGAGTTGAACCGAAGAGTACAGCTAGGTTCGTTCTATTGCAACGCTTGGGGCGACTGGCATAGGGCTGGAAGGATATGAAGTCATATGTAGAGTTTACCTACCCGCTTCTAGTTCGAGTGCGTGTGAGAGGTGGGTGGGTGGGAAGAGCTATATAGTTGTACATCGTCGTCACATTGCAACACATCGCCCACGACACCAGTGGAACACCGTGCTTCGTTATTACTTTCCTGAATTAATCTGTGATCACGCTGAAGACAATATCGTCCGTTTGCTTTATTCTGGATTTTATTTAACAAAAAGAACCAGAGGCTGCCCAGCGAGATTTCCAAAGATTGACAGGGGTCGGAACAAGCATGCAAAAGTACTTAAATAATAAGCATCATATGGGTGTGTCAATGAAGTGATTGAGGCCTCGAGTCGTCAGATTCATGTCTCCATGAGCAATCAATCCAATCCCATCTTCAGCGGCGTAGCAGCACAAGTATTGCAGTTGGGAACGAAATGAGTCCGAGCAACGCAGGGAGCATGGACAGGGATATAATCTGAAGAAGTGTTGAGAGCACGCGTGAACGATGAAACATGGATCCAGCCGTATACAATAGGCAGCTGAGACTACAAACGGCCTTCCCAGACCCCAGCGATCGGAATGAATGCTCGTTGGCCTCTCCAATCCAATAGAGGCTGGTAATCAACCTAGTTGGCCTCCCTATTTCAGCTCTTGTTCGATTCCCGACTTCGTCAGGAAAGAACATTTAGAGCCCTCTCCTCACTATTCGAGTGTAAACGATGGTGTTCATCCCGGAGAGGCCTTCGCAAGCAGCTGTTATCATCCGATGCTCCGATGCTCCGTCTTGGCAGCTTGATACTTATTTAAATCTCGGCGTTAAAGCATACTCGGCTTTATCGGCTGTTATTGAATTCAGTTCCTTTCACACGTCTTCCGAGCCACTGAGTTCTAATACACACGACACTCCCGCCGCTTAGCCGACACAGCAAGAAATCATATACGGAATGACGTCTTGAATTCGCACCCTACTTTCCCCAAAATTACCCCCGCATGGTGTCGAGTCCATGCGAAGTCGATCACCGATTCCCTTCCGAGATACTCAGTCAAAGCAGCGGCAACTCTCGACTCAAAAGCAACCAAAGAGCGAGTTCTCTCGAATGGCGTCGACCATTGGGAAAGACTTGGCGTCAACTGCAGCGAAACTGGACAAGCTTGCTCAACATTGAGCATAATTGTTACAACTAGGCTCATAGTAATACTCGTTGAACAGTCCTGAAGCGCTTTGATGATCGGTCAGTTGAATATTCTGTTTCTCCGATCTCACAGACTGCAACAGTCAGTCAGCAACAAAGCCTTCACCAACGTTAACCTTCGTTGTCGTGTTATGCCTCTAGGAACGTAAATTCATAATAAAGCAAGATATCGCCAACCTTGATCAGCAAATATCGGCTCTGCAATCATACGTGAAGCAGGCAATGAATCCGGTCCGAGAAAGCAAATTACAACACGAATGTGGTCACACTGCTACAAAGCAAGTTGGGGTCGACAACTATTAACTTTGCAGAGGTCTTGAAGGTTCGCACGCAGGTGCGTTCACCGTTCCCGCCCGTTGTACACGTTAGTCAGTGCGCCGCGACCCACTCACTTCTGTACTTGCCACACAGGTGCCCAAAAATCGGATGGAACAGTTTATGTCTCATACTGCGTCGGCAGCCGCCCAGAATCCTTCATCACAAGGTGTGTAGTTCGGAGTGTAGCCGACCTCCGTTCTGGCCGACTTATCTCACCTGTGCAAATTACCGCAGGCTCACTTCTTTTCACAACCGCCTTCAAGCTCGCAAAAACTAAATAAAGGCAAAGGGCGTGCTAGTGATGATGATTTGCTTTGAATTTGCATTCGGTGGAAGAGAGTGTTGGAATGAACGGTGGATATCCTTACGGGGAAGGAGGATACCACCAAATGCAACTGGTAGAGCAGCAGGTGAGCCTCGATCGAATTCTCCGTTCTTTTTTCCACAGCCCGCTCTGTGTCTTCGTCGATGGAAACACTAAACAGGATGATCACAGTCATAACCTGGATCGAATCGACCATTGTCGAGCTTGGCCAAATCTTCACTCAACTAGCGGCGATGGTGGCGGAGCAGCTTGAAACCGTTCGGCATATAGATGCAGAGACGACAGACATTGCAAACAACGTCACAGAGAGAGCTTCTTAAGTATAATACTAGTATCAGTTTCAACAGGTGGTTAATGTTTTCGGTGTTCTTATTGTATTTGTATTCTTTTTCAATGATCACTTCATGTGGCTGACGAGATCCTTACCCCAGCAAGTCCCTACAAGTCTTCGTTCTAGTTTCATAATACTTCGCCAGTCGGACTTTTGATGCATTCTATGTTTTCTTTGTCGTTTTATCTATCCCTTGGGGCTGGCGTAGTCCTACTCCCGCCACCTTCGATGGTTTGACAAAGATCTCAGAGAAAATTGGACTTATATCATTGCTGTATACAACAACTGAGAAACACGATGAGCTGCGGATGCCATTCATTCTTCCCTCCCCGCAGGCTTTCCAGTTACCCCTGTTCGACTGGCCATCCACTCTCCATATTTCAGCCGGTTTGCCACACCTGGAACATGGAATATATGCTGACAGTTTCGCTTGCAATTGACCTTAGTTTAAAACTGCGATCACAGGAAGCGATGCCCGCAATGCGATGAAAATTTCATCTCCCTGACGCCTGCTGAACGGAGCATTCCCTACGAGCCTCCGAACTGGATCGACCGTGGGCGGCCAAGCCTGAACAGAGAAAAAAAAAACTAAACAAGAGGGGCCGAGAAACGTGGAACCGAGCTCGACTGAACATCGAAAACCGCGATACTAGATTTCAATAATGTTGGTCGTGGGTTTATTGCCTCCAAGACGTTTCAACGATTACCTTAGAGGCTGCTTCAGCCTAGTTCCCTTGCAGATTCCACGTGTTCATCGTATCCTCATCCCCTTAATGGTGTCTATTGACTATTACAGTAACAACTTATGGTTCACTGGCATCTGTTGCTAAATCGGGGTAGGGGTTCCTCACCTCCCGAACACCGCTTATATTTCCAATATGACTATGTGGTGCTGGCGGCCTGTTCTCTAGAGTTCCACAACTGTCTGTACGTCGTCGATTGAAGCCTTCGGTAGGAAAAGCCAAACAAACTTTCAAAAATCGCTTTGCTGATTCATATTAGATGCCCCACCCACCTGTTGTCGAAGAAACGGGTGACTCTGTTCATCATGCACCATACGACGCCGTGAGTAACTGATTGACGCCCGGGTAACCATCTTGACGAAAGACCCATCATCCCTCCCCCTTAGGACGCTTTCTTTGAGACGGGATCCGGAAATGTTCTGGCTGATATTGAGCCAATCGAGGATAACACAAGTTTCTCTAACCACACCATTTCGACGTTTTCCAATGGTTCGGGTCTATCGACCGGGACATTCCTGCTGAGGGATCTTTGCGAGAAAGTGATCGAGAAACACCTATGGCTTCAAATGGCCAGGATCGTTAGCGCGTCGTGCTATTCTCACTTCCGGAATCTCATCCGACATCGCTTCCTTATTTTACAATTATGCCGTCCGGGGAGAAGGAATATATGGCTACGGATTGATCGGAGGGCCGGACTGGGCTTTCTCTCACTTGTGTGGAAACTCGGCACAACTCCTGCCCATGATACGGTGGGACTCCTCCATCAATCCGTTGCTGAATATGTTTTTGACGCTCCTACAGGCTCAGCTGTCGGCGTCTAGGGAAACCCTTGCTGAAACGGCAAAGCAAGAAAACACGCAGGAATTCAACAATCCGCCCTTTCTCGCTGATTTCGGTGAATATCTTCGCGTCATCTCTGAAGAGCTGCTGGAATATAAAATCTGGCCGGTATGATTCCATTTTGGGATAAGATCAATGAAACACGCTTATGGCTTCGATTGCTCCAGGTGAACTGTTGGATGTTCTGTTCCCTATTGCAAGAGCATCTTGAAGGGTCAGGAGACGGGTATTATACATCCGGACGCGCAGTTACTCCCAGAATTGCGCTATCTATCCGAGGGAAAATATCGGAGCGAGCAGCAGCCCAAGTGACACCCAACACAGTAAGCCATACGCCGTAGTAGGAGGCTGCTTAATAACCTATCATCAGATTATGACAGCGTTGCAGAGTCCGGCCTGGGTATGTAGACTTTTTTGTCACATCGCTTTTTTATGGCCCATAATTTGATTTCTATCATAGGCCCTAAACCGTTCGTGGCAACCCTTGAGCAAGGCGAAGCGAAAGGGGTGGCTTGCTGATTCAATCGTCATATTTCTTTCCCAAATCGAGCGCCCGGCACCAGGGTCAGATTACGCACAAGACATCCTGGAGCGGATCCCTCGCTTTGAAAAGGGTGACATGTACTGTCGCATTACGATGTTCTGTATTGAAGCCCTTGATCGTTTGCCAAAGGAAAATATCCTCCAACTTTCCAACCCTTTAACCCCCAACTCCGACATCCCAGATCTTGCTTCTCAGATCCGGTCAAAAATCCCCTCCGACGCTCAATACGCCGCATTATTTGGCCTCCTCCATGTTGCGGAAATTGAAAACCCTTCAACTGGGCTGTTGAGCAAATTAGAAACATTCTTTACAGAATCAGCGATCAAATGGTTGGAAGTGTTGAGCCTACTGGGAGCGGCGAGCAATGCCAGGATCACGTTGGAGACACTGACCATGTGGTGTGAGGTATATGATTTGTCTTTGACTCCCCAATTTCCAGGAGATATATAATGGCAGTTCACAGAGTCAGAGCCACCGCCAGTCAGGAGATCAGAATTCGGCAAGATCTTTGCTCCAACCTCTATTGCAATGCCGTCGTTTTGTCTACCAGTACTATGGAGTGATTTCGCTCTCTGCTGGACATATCCATTCGGCTTCATCTAATTCACCCGATGCGGGTTGGCGAGGGTGGCACCATGGATCATCCTATGAACACCTCCCAGCAGTGCAATGGCAAAACTCAGGATGGGATGGGTGCGTCAACACCATACAAGGGCACACTGGCTGGGTCTCCTCGGTCTCATTCTCACCTGATGGGTCCAAGGTAGCCTCGGGATCCAATGACCAAACAGGACGAATCTGGGATGCAGTGACCGGGGAAGAACTCAAGGTCCTCCGGGGCCACACCGGGGGCCTCCTCTCAGTCTCATTCTCACCTGATGGATCTAAGGTAGCCTCAACATCCATCGACAAGACATTACGAATCTGGGATGCTGTGACTGGGGAAGAAGTCAAGACCCTCCGAGGACACTCTGACTGGGTTGTCTCAGTGTCTGATGGATCCAGGGTGGCCTCGGCATCCGTCGACAAGACAGTACAAATTTGGGATGCAGCGACTGGGGAAGAACTCAAAGTCCTCCGAGGACACACTCACTGGGTCCACTCGGTGTCATTCTCATTTGATGGATCTAGGGTAGCCTCAGCATCCTCTGACAAGACAATACGAATCTGGGATGCAGTGACTGGGGAAGAGCTCAAAGTCCTCCAGGGACACACTGACTGGGTCCACTCGGTGTCATTATCATCCAATGGATCCAGGGTAGCCTCGGCATCGTATGACAAGACAGTACGAATCTGGGATGCAGTGACTGGGAACGAACTCACAGTCCTCCGAAGACACACTGACTGGGTCCGCTCAGTCTCATTGTCACCTGATGGGTTCAAGGTAGCTTTGGGATCCAATGACAAAACAGGACGAATTTGGAATGCAGTGACCGGGGAAGAACTCAAGGTCCTCCGGGGTCACACCGGGGGCCTCCTATCAGTCTCATTCTCATTTGATGGATCCAGGGTAGCCACAGCATCTGATGACCGGACCATACGAATCTGGGATGTGGTGACAGGAGACATCCCAGCTGACATGACCTCGGATTCCCCTTCCAACATTCCCAATCAGCGGAACTCAAGCATGATAAGCTGAACCGTATTCGCCTTTTCCTCGGAACATGCGGGACCCTGCATTTTATCGCCCCTACTCATATGAGCGACAGTATATCCACTTGGAAGATTTCGCCTGATGGGCAAGCCATTACTGTCCATATGGAAAATCGCCATGTCCAGACTATTCAGGCACCGAAAAGATATCGTTGTGTTTAAATATCCAACATCATTGTCTGGGACTGCTTTTCCACTTTTTGTTCTCTGTTTTACAGGCTACCACAACGTTCGCAAAATATCGCGGACGTGCATTCACTCTGGCTGCAATCGATGTAATCTCTTCTCTCCCGAGCACAGCCTCCCCCTCTTGTCCACTCAAACAATCCCTGCTGAGAATTAGGCCAGGGCGGTGGCAATAATTACCGACCCTGTGCATCTAGCAGAGTGGCATTTGTTAGAACGCTGCACGGAACATGAATCGGCCGTGTCCCGCGTGGTCTTGTATGAAATCCTAGACGCTTTCGCCTCGACATTTGGCTCAACGGTCGCTTGCAGACTTGAGCACTACGTTGCATGGAGGTGGGCATGCGTCCTTACAGCCCCGAATCTATTCATTTCTCTTTTAATTGCTCCACGGTCTCAGAAGAACTAATGCTAGCCAATTCTGTTTTCACTAGTGACGGGTCGCAGTTGAAGAATGCCGTATCGCACCATATGGAAATACAGAAGCTCTCCATTGCTGCCATTTGATCCGAAAACCCCAATTCTCGATCGCTGCCCAAAGACCAAAGTCCTTAGTTCTCATCGCTCAGTGAAAAGCTGGGCAGCATTATATCATGTAAGCGTCTTCTTACAAGTTGCAGGGGCTGTATCTAAAGAAACTGGCCCCGCATTTCTCCTGGCTGTGTCCCTTTCCCAATATACTGCATCGGATGTCACGGCGGATTCCCAATTCAAATAGCTGAATTGTTATCTCCGGATATCTTCTAGGCATAGTTGTTCCGGATGACACCACCCAGGGATTCTTGTGGCTCGTACATCCCGAGCTTGCGTATCCGACTCCGTTGCAACGGCGACAAATAGCGGTTTTAGCCATTCTGCTTTTCTTCCGGCGTTTTCGGTTTTCCGCGCCTCCCTGTTCTCGTCAAACTTCAGCGCCTGCTGGTCCGCTGGTAGCATAGTTTGCGGCTGCTGTCTCTAGCGCAATACTCGCACACCGCGCTGTCGCTGAGTGATGCTTTGAAGATGGCTGCGGCGTAGTTGAGAGCTTGGAAGGTTTGTAACAAATAGTTGCTTCAGTTCTTCCACACCACTGATGGCGTTGAGTGATGGCGAATCTGATCCTTTACATTTTGTTCGCAGGTAATAATGCTCCTATACATCGCTTCATCGGCTGCTTTCCATGTGGCATGGTCAGTCATTCCAACCTGCGTCGGCAATTAACTCAGCGGGTGCGTTTTCATTTGCGCCTTCAACCCAATTCCGGCGCTCATATTGTTTCCTGCGATGTCTGCGGACCAAGATGTGTAGCAGTGATTTTTTCAGTCAAATTGTTCAGGCAAGTGAACGGCAAGCAAAAGAGGCAAAGGCAGTGTTGCAGGAGTGTGGCAGGCAAAGAGTCTGGCAGATGCAGCAAGACATAATGAGCAGAGAGCGAGAGTTATCTCGAGCAGGCAGTTCAGCGGTTTCAACGTCTGAGCACTGGGCTCATGACCTATTAGAATTGCGGTATATCGTCTATTAGTTAGATGAGATACCGCGGCGTTCGGTGCCCTGTATTTATACCGTGGCAAAAGGAGAGTGGTGAGGTTGTTGTTGTTGTTGTTTATTCTGGATATTTAACCTGCAGACTGTAGGCTGCTCGTGAGAGCGCCAAGGGCAGGGTCGAGACAAATACACAAAAATAAGGTGAGAAATAAGTCCGATTCGGGTATCCTTAATCTCTCTGATAGGGCGTTGCCTGAATGCTGCTCCACTTTTGAGTTGTCGTATTGGATTGACCGTTTTTAGGTGTCGGTTTCGAAAATGGGATGGGTTCCGCCTTCCAGCGGTGTCTATTCTGTCCTTCTCTCTTTCTCGTATGCTCCACTCGCTGACAGAAATCCTGCGACCCTCTCTATTCCTTTCTCGTCCACCAGGAGGTCGGCAAGGATCAGTTTACCTTCATCGTCTGGGAGCAAGTTTCGGTGGTGTTCCTGCTTGGGACATTCGAGAAGTATGTGTTCTCTCGTCTCTACGGGTTCTCCGCATGTGCAACTGGGGCTCTCTTCTAGTAGGAAGCGTTTGTAGAACTGTCCGATGAACGCGTGGCCGGTGCGAAGCTGTACTGCGGCTGAAGGATTTGCGGGAGTGGGACTTAAACCGCTTTGTTGGTCGCAGTTGCGGTTCTGTGCGGTAGTGGTGAGGTTGACGGAGCTTTGTGGCACCCAGCTCTGGTTTGGTCCTTTGAGGTGCGACGCTTCGCTGCAGGGGTGGAACTTTGGGCTGGTGCAGAAAGCGGGATAAGGTGGGAAGCGGTGGCCAGTGGCTGAATAGTAACGGGTTAGTCGCATTAACAGCCTCCCTTTTCATGCTGACTAGCAGAGTTGCAACTTGCAGCAGAGGTGTCCAAGGGGTGCGGAGGTCGAGAACTAGTGAAGTATGTGTAAGCCTTTCGAATCATCGACGATGCGTCGGTTCTTGTGACATGGTACCTTTCGCAGACTAATTCAGTCGAGTTTGTTGCCCCAAATCCGGCTTTACCCTGGGGATGAGTCCCTTGCTCCATGCGTGTTTTCATTTAGCCAAAGCCCGTTTGTGCCCGCAGGCTCGATGACGTCTGGGCCCGGATCCGGGAAAATACATGCTCGTTCATATGACGGAGACCGGTTGACTCTGCGAGAAGCCAGAGGCGGTGTCCCAGACCAGGGCTGTCATGCAATCAGCGATTGCGCGATGAGCCGGATGAGTTATCGCGTCTAGGGATATTTGTGAGAAGAGCGCTGGCAGCGTGGCGCTCCAGAACCGGATAGTTGCTTTTATATCCTTGCTGTGTGCACCGAGCAGAGAAGTGGTTCGAGCCGTTCATGTATGACTTCATGCGACTCGGACCTGCGTGCGGAACTATTTATGCTAGAGTTCTGCAAAAGCGGTTCCCGAAATAACGATGTATCACTATTACCAATATGTGGATACCCAATTGGAAAGACAATCGGTCACGTACAGTTGAAACCGTGGTAGGCCATACTTGCGATAACCCATAACCTGCCATTACCCATAGGAACTTCCGGGAACCGGCATGGTTCCTATTGGAAATCGGATGTCAACCCATAAACCTGCTGTCCCCCATAACCCATAATGTGAGGGGGGAATTTTATATTGAGATTTGATCCGTAACCCATAGTACATATGAGCAACGATGACAGGTGAATGCATAGATATTGAAACTGTTGGAATATCAACGCTCATCGACAACAGCCGAGCTGCAGCATGGATTGGGGAGTTTTTATTTTAACTTAATATCGTCGTGACTAACAACGACTATACCTTTTTGTTTCAGAGTCGCGGTACCACACGCTCCCAATTTACTTTGTCTTATATTGCCAGTTGTCACTGGCAATTGCTTTAGTTCTCTATTTTGAGACTGAGTTATGCGCGATAGCTCCTATTTCATTAGGTTGTGATCCCAGCCATGGCCACCTCAAACAATAGTTCTAAGAATATTTACAACATCGAGAAATTAAAGAATGATGGTCATAACTATCGAATTGTCAGGGCAACCACACCTGACCATACAACCCCAGAACCACCTTCCCTGACCTCCCCCCACTTCCCTGATCCTCCCATCTTTACACACCTTTCACAACTACAGTGTTAGAATGGGCGGATTCAGACAACTCCGGAGTGGAATCGGAGACTTAGCATGGAAGGACCTTGGCCTCAGCGACTCAGGTGGAGCGCTGTGCCATTGCTGGTTGTCCTGGGGGTCCCTCATCAGCAAAAGTCCATTATGCTCCGGAGCATCAAGAGTGGCTGGAGCATGTGGGAGACAAAACAGCAGATTGGGCACTCCTGGAGCCAATAGTGTTCTCCTGGGAGGGGGTTCAGGAGCAGCTGGGAGTGGTGAGGAGTATGTAATGTGCCAGGAGCAGTGGGAGGAAAATTTTGGTCTCTAAAAAGTTGAAAAAAAAAATTTCGGGAAAAATCAAAAAAAAAATCAGGAACTATAGTGCCTTTAAAGTGCTTTCAGGACATATAATTATTTGCAAAATTGAGGAAGAAATGATGGAGAAAAATGGAAAATACTTTCAGAGACCCGAGAAATAATGAGAACTGAATTGATGGGAAAGTCTGAAAATTGAATAGGAAAGTGAGGGGAAGCCTTGTAAGCATTGTTATTTTCTGCTGTTCTGATTTTTCCTGATTGTTCTTGGTCTCACTCCCAGCTGCTCCTGGACCCTCCCAGGAGCTTTCAGGAGCTTCCAGGAGTATTGAGGAGCAGCTGGGAATGAGACCAAGAAGAATCGGGAAAAATCAGAACAGCAGAAAATAACAATGCTACAAGGCTTCCCCTCACTTTCCTATTCAATTTTCAGACTTTCCCATCAATTCAGTTCTTGGGTCTCCAAAAGTATTTTCCATTAGCTGCTCCTGGACCCTCCCAGGAGCTTCCAGGAGTATCCAGGAGTATCCAGTAGCAGCTGGGAGTGAGACCAAGAACAATCAGGAAAAATTAGAACAGCAGAAAAATAACAATGCTACAAGGCTTCCCCTCACTTCCCTATTCAATTTTCAGACTTTCCCATCAATTCAGTTCTCATTATTTCTCGGGTCTCCGAAAGTATTTTCCATTTTTCTCCATCATTTCTTCCTCGATTTTGCAAATAATTATATATCCTGAAAGCACTTCAAAGGCACTACAGTTCCTGAATTTTTTTGATTTTTTCCCTAATTATTTTTTTCAACTTTTTAGAAGTCCCTATTTTTCAAATTTTCCTCATTTCCCTCTATATCCCCCCCTCATTCCCCCCCTCATTCCCCCCTCATTCCCCCCCTCATTCCCCCCCTCATTCTCCCCCATTTCCCCCTCCCCCATATTCTGCCAGCCCGAAAGTGATTAAGTTGCCAGATTAATCATACATATATCAGGCCATAAATTTTGATTGTGTATTGGTGAGTCTCAGTGTCCTTGATATATAGTATAGTGTTTGATCTAAATGTTAAGCAGTGTCTTGTTGTGTTAGTCTTGTGGTAGGAGGTATTCATGGGGGATCTTCCCTCTTTTTTTCCTTTTCATTTTCAAATGCTCCAGGAGCTCCCAGAAGCTTCTCACCCCTATACACTTTGAAGCATTTAAATTGTATTTACTGGATATGTTTGTGCACAAAGCAATGCTCCAGGCCCTCCTGGGAGTGCCCTGGAGTACCTAGCCAACTCCGGAGGAAATGGGCTGTTCCTGGACCGGCCAATCTCCTCCTGATTCTCCCAGTGCTCTCGATACTCCGGAGCACTCAGGAGCATAACAATTTTTTGCTGATGCTAATTTCGGATCTAGCAGAGGGAAAGTCTCTTGGGGGAATTCAAGTCGATTTCGGACTGAGGTTACAAGTTACTAGGTACATTGTATATAAGGAGGGGTCCGGAATCAAAAGGAACAAGGGTAGGACGAAAGGAGACAAAGGGAGATGGAAAGAGGAACAACACTGAGGGTCAAGTGTTTGACTCAATGGTGTTTCCCAAAGGAGGAATGTGTCATATCCATCCCCGGCCATCGACTCCCGGGCTCTCCGACCCCCCCGTCCTCACTCCGCTCCCCCCTCACCAACCTCAGAGCCCCCGTATTCCGCAAACCTCCCGGTGCCCCTCGATGACCACCACCCCCTCATTTCAATTTATTACCTACGCCTCCCTAAGTACGGAGCCCCGAAGACTTCCGGACAGCTCCGACGTCCGCTAGCGCACTCCCGCCTCCGCTGGGCAATACACTCGCCTGCCCTGCAGAGTCCACCTTCGGGCTTATCCCTCCTTTCCGTTTCTGGGTTAACGCCTGCCTTTCCGCTAACCCCGCGAACCGACTCGTCGGTAATATTCAGTCGGCTAATGTCTTAACCCCGTTAGCTCCGCTCCGTCTGGCTCCGCCAATTGCGGAACCGCCTCCGCTGTAACCATATATATACACTACTTGTACATAGGTTACGCCCCAGCAAATAAATCAACTAGAGTTACCCCCACTAGGTTCTAAGTGCCAGTCAGTAAGTTAGGGCATGGACGTGTCACTAGGCACAGCGCTCCTGGCAGAAGTCGCTGAGGCCAAAGCCCTCCGTTACGGAGACATTCCTTCGTCTTAAAATCTGGTCTCTGACAGAATGAAGGGCCAAGGCCCAAGGAGGAAGGAAGGAGGATGGGAGTCGGGAATGGCTAGCTGACTGAATAGAAGGAAGCAGCAGCCCAAATAGGAATGAGGGAGAATAGCGGAATTGAAATGGACAATGCAATAGTTGCAAGGTCCGGGGTAAGTCCGGAAAGTCCGAACTCGGAAGTTAAACTCCGGAATATTGGCAAACATAATCAAATGGAATGAGCTAACCAATACAATGGGTATAAGCGGAGGTGGGGTCAAAGTCCGAGGTCGGAGCTAAGACCGGAGGTTCCGGAGACGGAGACGCGAATGGGATTCCAGAGCGGAGGTCCGGAGTCGGGAGCATAGGTTTTGCGTACTCGTCTGGAAGGTGTCGAGGTTGGGGTCGGACCCGGAATGTTCCGGAGTTGGACCGAAGGTGGTGTCTGAGCCGGAGGTGGGATAACCTCTTGGGAGTCGGCAAGGAGAAAGTGACGGAAGGGAAGTAGGGCTCCAGAAGTCAGGTTCGGAGTTCCGGGAGCCCGGAGCAGAGGTTGGGATTGTATGGATATGACATACAGCCTGCACGCGAACCCACGGGAAAAATCACGTGGGTCAAGGCGAGCAACTTGCCTTAACCCATGTGACACCTTTTCTGCATCGCGGGAACATGCTCAGCTCCTACCCTTAGTCACGTTACAAACTGTACAGTACATTTCCCTTTTATAGTAGCCAAGTGGGGAATAGGGAAACTTACCCTTCTTCTCAACTCAATCCCTGCTTAGTGAGTTTGAGGAGCTTGGGGTAGGATCCAGCAGGACAAGCAACACAGGCCTAGCAGGTGGTTAGACCTGAGATGCTCAGCGAGTGGAGATGGGCAGTGGGCAGCCAGGGCAGTTAGGCCCTAGTTACTCAATTGAACAAGAATAATTGGGTGGAGGTAGTTAGACCCCAACCCATTAGAACAGGGATGGAACAAGAATAGAAGGTGACAAAGGTGGTCAGACCTTCAATGCTCTCAAGGAAGTTAAGTTAGGCAGCCAAGGTTGTTAGACCTTTTCTGCTCATTGTACAAGAAACACCCCATCCCACTCATCGAATGTGAGAAGGGGTTACCAAGCTGAGGGGACATCAGTCCTTCTTGGCTTTGCCCTTTCGGGTGGGTATGGACCCACTAGCCTGGGGCCCTCTAGATGGGCATGCCACTGCATTCTCAGCAGAGGGGGCCTGCATCCATTGGGCTGCCAGGAAACATCTCGGCCTTGGGGCCTCTTCCACAACACCATCATCCACCAGCATTCCCTCAGTGTGGGGAACGGGTTATGGGGGAGGGTGGGTTCTATTACCTGCGACTATGGCAGCAGTGGATTATCCACTGTTGTGTAGTGAGGAGGCAGAACCTGGGGGGGGCCCGAAATGGCAGAAGTAGGTTCACTTATGTGCAACCTGGAAAGGCTGTATGCAGTGGCGCTAGTCACCTTCATCATTTGAGCTGCTTCTGAGCAGTAATGTTTCCAAAGGCAGCAAAGAAGGTACTTCTTCCCTGCCTCAATAGTGTTTTCAAAGTTTTGGGGATGATCCCCAAAACATCCACCAAGTTCAGTGGTGGACACGTTTTGTCTGTTCATGAACTTCATGTCAAAAAACTGACCATGGAGTTGGCAAGCCTCCAGTGAGGCACTGTTGAACCTGTCCCTCATTTCATGGTTGAGCCATTTCAAGTCCACCATGAACTTGAACCCTTCAATCGAGTTCAAGAATGGGTGAACCCAGTCGTTCCACTGCTTTTGGCAGTGGTTCTGACTCTCTGTTACCAGCCAGTTTTGGCCACTAATGGTGACACCAAAATGGAAGTCACCCTGGAAGAACGTTCCTGG